TTTTACGAGAATTTCTTCTTCTAAGTGATATTTCCATATATATATATATATACATAAAAGCCAATGAAGAAAATCAAATTTTTCATTTTTATTTGCTGTTCTCGACAGGTTTATCTGTACATATCTTTCTCTTTTTTTTTTCTGTTAACATTCCATCGAACAAACCCAAAAAAAAACGCCATGTTGTTATTGTTTTCTTGTTATTTTTTCCTCTTATCAAACTGTTGTACTGCGTGTTTTCATTTAAAGTTCAGTTCAACTTGCTGATTATCTTCCTTTCCAGAACAGAAAAATTGTATGTTGATGAACATTGAATCTTCATTTTTTTTTATTGTAGATCAAAAATAATGCACGAATTATTTTAGTCCATTGAAAAATTAAAGTAATGGCCTCTTGTATGTATCGTGTCGGTGGTATGTATCAATTTCACCTAACTTTTTCGCCTTCAATTCTAATATTTACTTTTTCTTAGATTATGTTTATTTTGAAGGCAATCCTACAGAACCTTATCTGATTCGACGAATTGAAGAATTAAATAAGGTTTGTGTCTATTCTGAGAAGTTTCTTTTTTTTTTGTTTCGTCTTGTATAAATGGATACGATCAATTGAGTAACTCAATTATCTTAACATATTTTATTGGCGCATCGTGATATTCGTTTTGAATGCAACAGCATTAGTGCTTTAGAGAATAGAAAGAAAATGTCCCTTGTTGATTTTTCTCCGTCTTCACTCGCGTTTCCTAATATATTCATTGTCAATGTCAGTTTGATTAGAAGAAACGAGTCAATGAATAGGAAATTCATCTCGATTTTTATTCAAAATATTATCATCAACAGTAAATTGTACTACAAATGTACGATAGAAAAACGCCAGAGATTACCAAAATGCTCGTGACGAAAGATTAATCATATTTAGTCATGAACTTCGTTTTTTATTTATGAATCTGGTTCTGTTTATTGTTACTATCCTAAACTTCTTCTTTGTTCATCTGAACTATTCATTGACATTTCTTTGTCGATGCTTTAGACACCTAATGGTAATGTTGAAGCTCGTGTTGCTTGTTTTTATCGTCGTCGTGATATATCATCCTATCTTGTCAATCAAGTTGATCGACTTAAACTCGATGGTAAGGTGACTTATGATGAATATCGTCAAATCGAATTTCCTATTTGCATAGCTCCTTGGGATGATGAAGATGAAATGTCAACAGATACTAATGGAAGTGTAAATAATCCATCGACGAGTAATTCGTCACCTCAACCAACAGAACTTAATGAAGTTCAAAAACATCAATTACGTCATCGAGAAGTATTCTTAACGCGACAAATTGAAACGTTATTAGCGACAAATATACGTGGAAAATGTTTGGTTGCACTTCATAATGAAACGGAATCATTTTTATCTTATCTTAATACTGAGGTTCGAAAAGAAATACTCAATGATGATATGGAAAATCTTTTCTTTTGAAGGATCTATACTTTTATCAACTTGTATACGATCCAAATCAGAAGACATTAAATGCTGATCGTGGTGAGATTCGCGTTGGAGGAAAATATCAAGCAGATGTGCCAACACAACTTCTATATACCGATGGAATGGTCGAGGGTATGTGAAAGAATTCTTCATCTCTAATTAAATTCATTTCTTTTCCTTTCGGTATATAGAAAATCCTGAAGTACGAGAAGAATTGACTTGGGATTATAATGGTGGTCTGACAGAAAAACAAATCGATCAATTTTTAATTGTTGCCCGGTATTTATTTCATTCTTTACAAATAAATTGACAAATTTCACTATTGAATTAGATCGATTGGGACGTTCGCTCGTGCTTTGGACTGTCCAACAGCGTTAAAACATCCAAGTTTGCATATGAGTGCAGCATCTGCTTCACGTGATGCTACTTTAGTATGATTTTTTTGTCTTCGAATTTCACCCTGTTGACATAACTTGATATTTTGTAGTTTTTCGCCATGGATATCTTACATAAACATCATTATGACTTAGCTTTAGCTACATGTAGTTTAGTACCGAATACGGGTCCGATTCTTGTCAAAGATCAAATGGAAGATTGGTCAGCAGCTGAAGCGAATTCATTTGAAGACGCAATTGAAAAATGTGGCAAGGATTTTGGAGAAATACAAAAAGAATATGTAAATAGAAGACTGTTGATTGTTTTTGTATTGATTTCCTTTGTTCTAGTTACCATGGAAGAGTTTGAAAGGTATCATTGAATATTATTATATGTGGAAAACAACAGATCGTTATGTTGCTCAACGACGTTTGAAAGCAGCTGAACAAGAAAATAAACTCAAACAAGTTTTTATACCAAATTAGTTCGTATTTTTTCTTGTTTTTCTTTTATGCATGATCGACATTTGATTTTAGTAACAAAGCTCATCAATGTTTACTTCCACAACGACCACAAAATGAAAATAAACCATGCGAATCATGTGGAAGTATGTTCAATGAAATGAATGAATCTCACAGGAAAAAAAACCATCTTCATCAATTTCAGATACATCATCAACTCAATGGTATCAATATAGTACTGCACAACCACATACACGATTATGTTCAGAATGCTGGACTTATTATAAAAAAGCCGGTGGTTTGAAATTTCCGAAGAAGAGCGGTAAGTTTTGATTGATTTTAATTAAATTACCAAATTTATTCTGCTTTTTTTCCTTAGGTGCTGATCGACGACAAGGTTCGTGATAAATAAACATCTCACATTCACATTTTGACCTTATATTGTTCTAGAACGCGTGACCAATATCAGTAAATTAATCAGTTACAACTGTACAGTTACTGGTTGTGAAAAGGTACGAATGAAAAATATTTTCTTATTTACAAACCAACATTTTCATTTTGTTTCGTTCAGGATTGCAAAAACAAAGCTGCTCTTCAACGTCATTACGCTCTTACTCATGGTATCATGTACCGATCGGGCAGTCCACGTCCATTATCCAAACCTCGCAATACATTTGCAATCTACACTACACCATTAACACGAGCTGTTCGTCCAATGTGTCCAATACGACGTCTGGCTTGTCATTCGACTGAAAGTATCAACATTAGTGACATACGTAATCAATGGGAAAAACATATTCATGAGAAATCTGCCGATGAAATTCGGTCGACATGTTCGAAACTTCGTCAATTATACGAAAAAGGAGCTGCGCGTCGTAAGACTTTGCATATCGATACTTTATTTCCATCTGAAATTCGGAACAAAGAAAATCAAACACTTGAAGATTATTTACCAGACTGTGAAAAGAGAGAAATCAAGGAAAATGAAACTAATTTACCAGTACGTTATCCAAAATTGCACGAGGATTCAAGTGAATTTTACGCCCAATTTACTCATAATAGCATGAGTATTATGAAAAAACGACCTTATGAATCTAATGAGAATTCTAATGAAGGTAACTGAATTTCAAAAAGAATGTCTTTTGCTACTTCTTTCTTTGTAGGTCCATCGCCAAAACGAACATTAATTAGTCGACAAAATCTAATCAAAACAAAATCTCCGGTAAGATCGAGTTCATTCTGATGAAATTTCCGATAAAATAGAAAGGATTTCCTGACATATTCATTTAACCTTGAAAAGATAGAAATCTAATCATAAGAAATAAAAAAAAAACGAAGAAGAACAAGAAGGAAATATAAACAAAAAACGCGAACAATCAGGCGATTAACGTTTCTGTTCTTTCTTGTACGACAACCGATTGGATAATGAGACAAAATAAACATTATCAAGGACAAATTAGTCTCCTTTCTTCTGGAAAAAAAGAATCTTAACCACTACTACTGATTAGACTTATCATCGATAACAGCATTTATCTAAAGGTGAATGAAAACAAATCTAATCGACGACACGCGTTCTCATTAAAATCATGATGCTTATCTTAACTATCCCATTTAGGGTGCGGGCAAGTTAACCCGATCACGTGCTTACACGGTACCATTCGTTGATCGTAAGTGAACAGAATTTTTCTTTGGTTAACATTCAAATCCCTTGCGTGTCTTTGCTTTTTGTTCTTCTTCATTCAGCTCCTGATGGTATTTACCTTCGTGTTACAAAACAAATCAAGTAAGATTGGACTTTTCTTGCTGGAGAAACCACATTCTATTTCTTGTTCTTCTCATAGACGATTGAGAAAGGAAATACCTTCGAAAGATATTCGCCGTATTGCACGTGCACCCTGGAAAAAGCTGAATACAAGTTTTGTTTCGTATGTCGATGATGAAATTGTTGTGCTTGATTAAATCTAATTCAATAGTTTCTTCTTTCTTTGCTGTATATAAGATGACATATGAAGTTTTTCACTTTTTTCTCAAACCGATCGGTTCTATAGACCTGAACATCAAACTATACGAGAACTTAGACAAGAAATTTTCCTGTTACTGTCATAATTGACCACTGTGTATGTTCTTTTTCACTTTTGTTATCAACTCTACAAAATATTTGTGTGTATGTGAAGATAAACTCAAAGTTCGTTCATTTCTTTACTTTCCTGTTGCTCTAAATCTGTGTATCATCTGTTCGTCTAAAAGATCTTTTGGAAATAAAACCAATCTAATCTGTTTCTTTATTTGACTTGTGTGAATAGTTTTAATTGCGAATTAATGAGTTAGAAAATTCTTTTTTTTCTCTGATTATTGCTTACTTGTAACATTCATTAACCTTTCAATTGAAAGTTATTGTACTCGAAGGAACAAAGCAAGTGAGAAGGAGAAATGACCGATTTATGACTTTATCGAGATCAATGTTATACTGTATACAGGTTATATACTTCTGCTTACTCATGTACGCAGTGTAATGATGTCGGACATAAGTACTAATATAGACACGAATCTATTAGACGCGATCGTGTCTTGACGAGAGAAACGATAGTAATCGCTGTCGATCTAAATATAGACCTTTTTTTCTTCTTCTTCTTCTAGATGAATATACAACATTGATTCTCTTCAATGTCTCAGAACACTGATCACTATCACATGAATACACCGACTTCAGTCTCTCCGAGTAATAACAATATCAAACGACTTCCAACAAATCAACATTTTCTTGCAACAACTTCAACCGATTTGAATGTTGTGAGTAGCACTATTCGGAATGATTGCTCTTCGCCACAATCTCATACGGTAAGACATCCCGTCGATGAAATGAACGAAACGAAGGAGAGAAAAGAAATGATTTTTATACGCAATTTCACTGTTCTTTCTCTTTTTTTTTCGTTCGCAAAACGAGAGAACGAACGAACATTATAAGGTTCAATGTATACATTCATATTCGACATTGTTTTGTTTAGTCGCCCATTATCAGTGATGTTTGTATGAGCAGTCAAAATAGTGTTCGAAATCCATCGACCATGATGAAATTCAAAGACGTTGATTCATCTAATGGTGTATGTAAACATTTCATTTTAAGAAGAAAATGAAATCGATTGAATCATTTTGCATTTAGAACCATTTCAATGAAAAATACGCGTTCACTCTGGGTAAGAAGATTGAATTAGTTGAAAAGAAAGATGAGTGAATCGATCTATTCTATTAGACTTTTCATCGCCGGTGTCTAAAACAAAATCCGAACATAATCGAACTTCGGTAAGATCAATGTGAAAAATCCTCCTGAACCGATCTTATCCTAATCATTTCTTTAGCAAAATTACACATTCGAAATGTCAACTAACGACGAGCAAGATCTTCACTCTCCTTTTGAATTGGGTACGCGAAAATGATTGAGACAATGCTCGTCACTGTTGATACTTTGCTCATAGATGTTCCAATTTGTGAAAATCAGCCAGTGAAGAAAATTCAGAATGATTTTCTTATCGATCGAATGTTAAAAGATGAAACAAACTCGAATTATTCATCTCAACATCGATCGATCAATCAATCATCGTACACAAATGTTCTCAATCATTCATCTCCACTTGTAACACCCTCCTCTGATCATCACGATATTGATGCATTAAGTGATGCAGGTACTTACATTATTGAAGATGATCTGGACATTGCACACGATGACGAACCTGAACAAGATATCGAAGAACCACCACCACAACAACAACAACAACACAATGACACTCAAGAATCGATTTCTTCACCATTGTCAACTTCATCACCGTTTAAACGATACGCAACCACTAAACGAAATCGTCATGGCACATTTGATATTCATGGAATATCATCATCATCATCAACAGCAACATCTACACATGCGGTTACTCGTCCTATTGTTGATTTAAATATTCCAACACATGACTTATCCTCACCATCGTCATCGTCATCAGCTAATCTATCGTCATCGTCCTCGTTACTTTCACTACCCACAGAAAGTGAAAATAGTATACGAAAAGAACGTGAAGATGTTTCACATAAGATCAATGGTACTAAGTCTTCTAATGGACTAACTTATGTCAGACAGAGACCAAATACTCTTCTATCACAACGTCCTATCACTCCTCCACAAAATCAGATCAAACCAGCAGAATGTTTCGGTATTAATGATTTGAAGAATTTTAGTTTCGATATAAAATGTTTGCTTTAGTTATTTCACCAACGTTGGACACGAAACCTTTTCCAAACAATATTGGCAATGGTTCACGACGAAAACTCGATGCTCAATGGAAGTCAGTTGCATTTCGCATCGCTGTACATCTTTCTAATGATTGTGTTTCTTTTAGAACAAAATTATCGTCTTCGGCTATGCCAACAAAAGACACGAATGTCGAAATTTTAACGAAGAAATCACCTCCATCACCACAACTATCGACTCATTCAAATCAAAGTGACACCGATCGATACTCATTTCGTCTTCGACAGCAGCCGCGCAATCCCGATGCGAAACCACAGCCATCACGTTATCTCGAAACGAAAACTCAACAACCATCAGTACCTGCAACAAATGCGAAATCTTCGTATCAAAATTCCGAATATACATCATCTAAGTCAACTCTTCGACCACATTCATCTACTAATGACCAATCGTATTCATCACCATTTCAAAGGAATGCCACTATCCGTCAAACAATGCCAGCAAGTACACAATACAATCGACCAATGTCGTCATCAACAACTAATAAATATCTCGATGATCATGAAGAAGTTTCATCAACGCATCCAAGTTTAACGAAAGTTTATATGAATAAATCATTTGCATTGCGTCGACAACGCTCAAATCTTGTTCCATCAGGAGCAACAGCCACAGCTAAACCTGGACAACAGCAGCAGCAGCAGCAACCGCAACAATCTTCACAACAGTCACTCGTATCTCGAACGTTACCATCACGTCAATTACTGAAGTCAACCCCTTCCGCACCGTCAGCCAACAATTCTGGCGGACAAACGAATCGTGCTGTTGAATTACGTCGTGCACGTGCACAAGCTAAAATCGAGGAGTTAGCACAACGCACTAGACATCAATTGCAAAAAAGTGAACAACAAAATGATCTTATGAGCGCATCATGGCATAGTAATGCCAGTAGTACAAGTAAAAAAGATCTTTTTGGTCTTCGTGCTAATCCACGTTCGACTAATAATAATCATCTGTCCGCACAAAAGCAAGATTTGTCCAAAACCAGAACTATATCATCATCATCACATCATCGCTCATCATCAGCAAGTCCAAATCCTCTTGGAGAAACGATGACATCATCGATGCCTACGAAACCATCAAAATATCGAAAAGGAATGACATCAAGTGTGACCGATGAAACACAATATCAACGAATGCACGGAAGTACTTTCAGTGAAGGAGTAAGAAGAAGAAATTTTCTCAACTGATAGGCAAAGTAACAAAATATTCTTTAGGATCGTTGTGAGTCATTACGTGATGATGGACAAAGACTGGCAATAAAATTAATCCAACTTTCATCAGGAATTTTAGCCAAACTCAAGTAGGAAACGATCATCGGAAACTTTCAATTTCTTCTGTATCTGATATTCTAGACCGCATAACATCACTGACGACAATGATTCAAATGTTCGCGAATTAGAACAACTTGTTGATCAACTCCAAACAGTTAATCGAACATTGACCAGTACGTATTCTATTGAATCCAAGGATTTGTTCATTCAGTTTTGAAAAGCTTCTTTCGTATAAATATGTTAATATTGAAAATGGAAGACTTTTTCATCTTGTACATAGAATGAAGGACAAAACTCAATGAATATTTGCTTTACATTGCATTTTTCTTTGTGTATTTTAGCAATCGATGCCTCATTAAATGGTCCAATCAGTGATGAATCTTTAATTTAATTCGAATATTCAACGTCTTAAATGCTATGTTGAAGAAGAGAATTCTTCTATTCTACAGTGCTGATTTCACTCTTATCTAATTAAATTATTTTATTATTTTTATCGTTCATCGTACTGGTTTGCTTCCGCTTTTTTTCTATTCAAGTCAACAGCTACATTATTGAAAAGAAAACTAAACCTTTTCTCTTTCTCTGTCCCTCTCTCTCTCTGTGTATATATCTATTTATCAATGTATGTGCGTGTAAGAAGCAAGATCGATTGTTTGTAACTACTTCGCGTTCTTCCAGAAAACAGACAAATAACAACAGACATTGATTGAAATAAAATTTTTTAGAAAAGAAACAACATCTTGTGTACTTTCATTTCTTATAGATTATTAGAAGAAAGAAAAACGAGTTCTTTTCTGATGCCATGCGTCGAAATCATCGTTTGATTCTAAAATGGTTCCTTCTCATAGGAATCTTTGGATTATTATTTATAAAAATATCCAATAGTTTAGTTAATCTTATTCTATCTTCATCAGATAATATAGAGGAGAAAATTTCCTTGTTAAATTACGAACAGTCTTTGATTGCGTGGGCAGCAACTGGCCGAAGTTCTTTCAAGAGAAAAGTCCCGATGGAACGTAGTAAAGCAAGATCTGATTTGCAATTGATTGGTGCACAGATCATTTTTCGACATGGAGCACGAACTCCGTTATTTTTAATGCCTAGCCTCGAAGAGGTAAACTGATAAATTTTGTACGTCGATTCGTTGGAACATTGTTCTCCTAGGTGATTTATAGTAATGAGCATGTTGAAAATTATGCTCCAGCAAAATGGGATATTAAACTAATCACAAAACGAAACGGTGTGATCGTAGCGAAAGAGAATATTTCATCAGCGGATGATAAGGATGGAAAACGAGATCGACAATTGAAAGTAATAAGGATGTTTGTGAGAAGAAAATCTCGAGATGATCTCTCTTTAGTCGATGTCTGGTTTATCAGTAAGAACAGGTCAGTTAACAGCAATTGGAGAAAGACAATTATTTCAACTTGGAAAACTTATTCGATCGGAACTGATTGACCCTAAGGAGAATGCCGGACTTATACCCGCGACTTACGATCCTCAATATGTTTAGTATGTGTTTGAGTTTGGTTTTTTAGTGAATCAATTGATTTCATTGGATGTACTTATAGTTGTCGATCAACTTACATGGATCGAACCATTAGTAGTGCTCGTGCATTTCTGGCTGGTCTATTCACTTCTGATGAAAAAGATCACAAAATTCAAGCCACTGGTAAACTTTTCGAATGATATATATATATTTCACCTTCTGATTATTATTAAATCAAATAGGTCCATTCGAAATTGAAGTTAACCATTTTCCGGATGAAGATCTGGTATTTCGACTTCTGTTTTCTTTCAATTCATTTTCCATTTGAAATTGTCTTTTCAGTTTCCTAACACCAATGTTTATCCTATTCTTAAAAATTGTCCAAATGTAATAACACTCTACGAGTCATTCAATGACGATCATGATATGAAAAGAGCTCGTCAGAGATTACTAAACCGCATTGGTATGTTTGATTCGTTGCTAGTTCAACGGTCTCATTGTGAGTCTTAGGTGCTGCTGATCAAGCACATGGCATTGTCGAGTTATATGATGATATTGTTTCAAGACGGGTGAGCGATGAATACTTTTTTTTAATTTCCAGTGAAAATCGATCGATCTTCGTATTCTTAGGCTCATAATTTTTCGGTACCGGATGATATTCTCCACTTAGTAAAAGATTTTGAAGTGATGTCTGCTCGTGAATTTGTATATAGAGCGTAAGTTGATTTGATCGAGGATATTCATCTTAATTTGACAGATTATATTTGTGATTTTAGAACAGATATTGGTTTTGACGTGTTTCTCCGTTCTGGATGTGGTCCACTTCTTAGTTTAATTCGAGAGAATTTCAATTCAATTTTGAAAAATTACCGTGAAGAGAAAACGTCCAATACAAAAAAGTAGTTTTCTTTCATCCAAAACAACAACTTTATCATTCGTTTCTAGACCATTTCAAAGATTTTTTATCTATTCCGCCCATGACAGTACAATTATTCCATTAGCCATGGCATTCGAGGTACAGTCTTGGATTTGATTGAACTTGATCAACAGAATGAATTTTATTCAGATCTTTCAAATGCGCTGGCCGGAATATGCGGATTATATCTTTCTGGAATATTTTGTTTCCAGAACAAATCCAGACGAAACTTATGTAACCGTGAATTTTGCAGGCGAAGTAAGCGAAAAATTTGACTTCAAAATGCTCTGTTTCTAAAAATATGTTGTTTAGCTCCAAGTTTTACCGAATTGTGAGGATTATTATTGTCCTTATTCAACATTCCTGACGAATCTAGAAAAACGTTTCCAACAAACGAAAATATCCGTTTAACAATAACTTTTTCATTCTTAGGTCACATGAACATATAATCTTTTGTTTTTAGTATTCACGAACACATCTGTTTTGACAATACATATGATAAATATATTTTTTTATAATTATCGACTAAGCAAGAGTCTTTTCTTTGAAAATTTTCTTTAGATGACTGAAACAGGTAGTCATCACACAGGCTTTATCGCAGTTCATGTAGGTAGGTCAAACATAACTTCATTCAGATGTAAAGACATACATTTTCGTATGGCGAATAGGTGCTGGTTTGCAGTCTCAAGCTCGACTGAATCAATATTTTGAAACGATAAAACGAGCTTGCCTTCACGGAACAAGAGCATTAAAGAATGGAAAGAATGCATCAGAAGCAGCCTGTATCGCTGTTGCTGTTCTTGAAGTGAATCTTTGGTATCACAATTATTCACGTGAAAAAAGATTTGTTTTTCAATAGGACTGTCCGTTGACCAACGCTGGAATTGGTTCGAATTTGACTCTAGATGGAAACATTGAATGTGATGCATCAATCATGGATGAAGAAGGTTATGGAGCGATAGGCGCTGTTTCAAGTATACAAAATCCAATTACATTAGCATGGGCATTGTTACATACGCAAAAACAAGGTTTGATGGAAGGCGGTCGAATACCTCCATGGTAAGGGTGAGAGTAAATATGTATTTTCGAGCTTTGGAATGTCTTATGAATAGTTTCCTCGTTGGAGATGGTGCTAAACAATGGGCACAACAAAATGGCTTCTCTTTAGTTGATAATCAACAAATGAAAACAGGTTTTGGATGTCTTTTAAGTTGCAGCGGATTAACTCGTTTGAATTTGATTTAGAGAACAGTACTTATATGTTTGATAAATACAAAAGAAAACTTGAGGAAAATACATTGGAATCAACAAAAAGAGCGAAAACGGTATGAAACGAAGATTAATGAATTTGTTTTGCAGTCTCTTCTAGAACGATAATGAAAGATTAGATACAGTTGGTGCTATTGTTATTGACCAAAATGGAAATGTTGCTGCAGCTGCATCAAGTGGTGGAATTCTTTTAAAACACTCGGGACGTGTTGGACACTCTTCTATGTAAAACTCGAAAATTTTTCTTCACAGTTTCATAGAGATTTTTGTGTTTCATCAGGTTCGGTTGTGGTTGCTGGGCGGAACGAAAAGATTCGTGTTCGATAGCAGTCGCTTCGTCTGGTGCATATCCTGTTTTTCCATTTGAACGTCGTCATAGTTTTGCATTCTTTCAGGAACGGGAGAGTTTCTGATGAAAAGTCTATTCTCAAAATCAATCAGTGATGCTTGCTCGGTCGATGAACTCACACCAGACATGATCCAAACTTCGATAAATAATCTCTACCTTAGTAAATATTTTTCGTTTATTCCCATTTGCTCATCGCGTTTACACTCTTAGATCGCAGAATGACACCGATTAATGCAGAAAAATATGTTGGATTCATTCTTTTAAAAGCAATGAGTAATGAAAACAATCAACAATTCATTGAATTCCTCTGTGCACATAATACTCAAACAATGTGTTTCGGTCACATGACGACACATCAAAATAAAGTAACTGTAAGAGACTTGTATGCATATGTTCTCCTTCTAGTGTACTTTACAATTTAGACGGTCTTTTCGGAATTAAAATCGGGCGAATCTTTAACAATCAATCTCGATTTCATCTCTTCAACATGAACAAAGAAATGTTTATGTTTCTTTTCTTGTGAAATCTTTACTGTATTTCCCTTTTCTTTCTTTGTATACTGTTCAACAATAACAAAAAAGACAAACAGATGTTAATCATTCGAATATCGATAAAAACCACTCGAACAGACGAAAAGGAAGATGATAACAAGAAATTGATGTTAATTCGGTTGTTTTTTGTTCACTAAAATCAAACAATAATCACTCTCATGCTCAAACATTCATCAAACAAATCACTTACGTATTTTTCTTCACGAAGGCCATCTTTGAAGTAGATAAACACGGGCGTAAGACCGTCTTCACGATAGTATTGAAGGACAACCATGCCATCGATATTCATGTTTTCACCGAGATAAAAACGATATTCATCAAATTTACCGAGGATATCTTTGGCCAATTTGGTCATACCAGTTTGAAATGGTTGAACACGGTTTGGTGAATTTTCTTGAAGGTAATCCTTAAGTCTAAACGAACACAATGGAAACAGTTGATATGATAGATGTTTTCATCCAGATCAATCTACTTTTTTGAGTATGTTTTTAACCAATCCTTGAAACTTGCCTTGTCGAATGGTGTTTCTTGTAATTTGTGTGTTAAAACAACATTGATACCGGTTACAGATGATGAGACGACACCACCTTCTTCACCAGCGGCTTCACTACCTTCCGGTGCTTTGTTTCCACCGATTAATGATTCATCGATATCGTTGCTTTCAGTGATATTCTAAACAGCAACAGCCTTTTCAAAACAAATTTCGTAACTTTCTTCAAGTCCTTACTTTGCCTTCGACTTCGTAGTAAACATCATCAACAAGCTTCAATGGATATGAATCGCTGAATAATTCGTCACCAGTGAATATATCGAGAAAGAGTTTCATGATTGTAATTGATTAAAAATAGAACGAATGAGCAGCGATAAATATCTACAAAAACAAGATCATTTTTTTTGTCGATGTAAAAGTAGTAATGTCCATGATAAGAAGAAATTCACTGACTGCCTGTAAACATACGTAAGAAAGTCCAAATGACTCATAGAAAAACTTCGTCGACGATCGGACAGAAATTTATGGAGGTTTCCGAGATAAGATTTTGCTCAAATGTTCTTTTTATCCAAAAAATTCGGATATATCAAGTGAAAATTCACGAGAAATCTTTTGCTATTTAATCTGATTTTTTCCGGCCAAGAAACAAGCAGAGGTCCTCAGATGAATTTCCATTGGTCAAAGAAAAAGAAACAAACTATTGGGTTATTGATGGAGGCGTACGTTTATTTGCTGTCATAACATCGTGCGTCAACAGGAAAAGAGATGAAAACTATGACATAAAGAGAAATTGTGTAAAAAAATAATTTCGGAAAGAAAGTTGTTTTTTGTTAACAAAGCTACCATTAGGTAGCAAATATTCGACAAAGAAATTCTATTCAGCAGATATGTCACCAGCACCTGATCTGACTGAAGAAACAATTATCTTAAATTCATTGCCAAACACTACTGTACTTAACGTTCTTTCATCATCTGATGAACTTGATAACAATCAATTCAATGAAGAATGTATGGATCTCGGGTAAGTTGATTATTCTAGTTTAGAAAAAGAAAACAATTGGCTGTGGTTTGATAGATCATTAGCAATGGATTCCATGGAAAGTGTTGATCTATCGGGAGATGATGAAGAACCAGCAACAATCACTAAAGAAAATGTCGGTGCATTTACAACTTGTTCAGCACCTTCAACACCAACCGGTGAACGTGATCTACCAGGCGGATTTCGCCGACCATCATTATCTGCAACAACGACAAATGATTTATCACAAATCGAAGTGACATATCAAGGGGTGGGAACGAATGAGAATAGTCCAAATAATGATGATGGAACTGGTCTCATCGACTCATTCTTGGGTTGTTTAAAGCCATTCTTCTCTGCGGTAAATAAAATTGGTGAAAATATGAAATATTCTCGCGACACATCAAATTCATCGTCAAAAACAACTGAAGATTGGATAATACCTATCGACAGTATTATGAATGATTTAGTATTGATTGGAACAGGTATTGAAGGAAATGTATATCGAGGAAAGTTAAATGGACAAGATGTGGCTTGCAAACGCGTGAAAAGTGAAGAAGAAACAAATATCAAACATTTGAAAAAATTAAATCATAACAATATTATTCGTTTTCGAGGTTTGTTGTTGTTACTTCCTTCTCGTCGTATTCAATTCAAATGATTCGTATTTCAGGTGTATCAATCTCTTCGCCATTATTTTATATCGTCATGGATTATTGTCCATATGGTTCTCTGTACGATGTATTGAAACGACGCCGAGAGAAAGATTCATGCACAAAACCCACTCAAGTTCTCGATTGGTCAAAACAAATTTCGAACGGTGTCAATTATTTACACTCAAATAAAATCGTGCATCGCGATTTGAAGTCACCGAATATTCTCATTGCTGATGACTCGATCTTGAAAATCTCCGATTTCGGCACAAGTAAACAGTTGGGAAGTAAACAAGGACAAATCATGTCATTCAATGGTACATCAGCTTGGATGGCACCAGAAGTCATTCGACGAGAACCATGTTCAGAAAAGGTCGATGTTTGGTAAGAAATTCAATCTTGAATGCTAGAATTTCAATGATTTCTCTAGGTCATTCGGTATCGTACTTTGGGAAATCTTAACTTGCGAAGTTCCCTACCATAATATCGATCCAAATGCTGTTATGTGGGGTATGCGACGATCATCGTTCTCTGATCTCAAAACTGCTTTTTTTTCTCTTGTCTAGGCGTGGGTAAAGGTAGCTTAACTTTACCAATTCCATCATCTGTCCCTGAAGGTTTTAAATTACTGATGACGATGTGTTGGAAGCAATGTCCGGCAAATCGGCCATCGTTTCAACAAATTATCAAACATCTAAATATCAGCGAGCCAGAAATCGTTATCTTTGAGCAAGAACAGGAGTATGTAGAATTAACTCGCGCTTGGGCGACGGAAATCAATGAACAATTAGCACGTTTGCCAACGATTGATATATCAGCGACTCTTCAAATGAGTAATGATGAACTTATGAAAAAACGTAAAGAAGAGCTGCAACATCTTGCTGATATGCGTGCACATTATCAGACAAAAGTCCAACAAGTTAATACACTTTACGTTGAATTATCCTCATTGATGATGCAATTGCAAAAACGTGAACAAGAAGTCAAGAAGAAAGAACGTGCACTCAACATTCAGTCACATTCATCAACCGGAACAACGACAAATAAAAAACGAACATTGAACTCCATTTTAGAAGCCCGAAAGAAATCGGTACAATCCATCAAAGCCGCAAGTTTCAATTTAAATGATCCAATTACGATGTTATCACAAGTATCAAGCAAAAAAAGTTATTCATTCAAATCAAATACTGGACGTAAGTAGCTTAATTAATCGATGAAACTTATTTGATTTTGCCCGGCAAGAGAAAAACATGTCTCGCATGATGTAAACCCGTATAAGTAGAGACAGATTGCATGAGGATGGCGAAATTACCGTCACTTGCAAAACATGATGTTTTTCTTTCCTTACATTGCGTTTATTTTTCTTTTTATTGCTTCATCTAGTGTCAAATAGTCAACCACCAGTCGGTTCACATCACAATACAACATCGGCGTCACCGTCGACCACATTGACAGTTGGTAATAATCAAGACTCGTCGAGTATTAAAACAGTTCAACGACGTAAGAAAGGTCTAGGGCATCGTCGCAATAATAGTAAAGGAAGTACGACATCATGGGCGCCACCAAGTCTCGCGGCGATTGCCGATCAAGAAAAGAAACGTGCTTCGATTAATGTAACAGTCAATCAAATATTCGATCCATCCATTGAAATCAAATCTCCTCTACCAACAATTTCTGCTGATATTGATTCGAAATCAAATACGAATAATCGTCAATTAAACCCAAAAAATCTTAAACTTGACCTTCAAACTTATTCGACAACAACACAATTATCACCAACGAATCAACAGCGACCTCCGACCATATTCACATATGCACCACGTAAATCATCGAGTAGTGACCCAGAAGACTTCGACGCGAATCAACATCATAATTTAACCCGACAACGTCGACGACGTCTACTGAATCAATCGAGTACGAAAACAGCGTCACCATCATCGACGCGATCAGCCAAGTCGATCTCATTCGACCAAAATACACCGCTCGCAGAGGAGTTCGATCACGAGAAGAATTTCATAGAAGATAAACATGACCATGAAAAAGTTAGTGATCTACGCAAATATCCACGAAGTGTTAGTTTTCAACACGTTCCATCGACGACCAACGACCTTAGTCCATCTTATCATTCGCGAACATCGTTCAATCGAGTAATTACCTACCGATCTCTTCATTTCAATATCATTTACAAATATTTCTACTTAGACTAAACGATACAGCTCATCCGAAGAAGGTGAAGTAGAAGAAATTCAAAGTGACGATTACGTTCTCGATGATGAAAAACATCGAGCGAGACATGAAAATCTAAATCGAGAATCCATTGGAATTTTCTCATCAGAAAGCGAAATCTACAATGAGAACATCACTGATACATCATTGTCGAAAAACGAAGGTAAATTCAACATTCGAAGAAATCATTTGAAGATTAAATTTCTCTATTAGGAATGTTTTCCGACGAAGGTGGCCACGTCTCCGATGACCGACCACAATCACGTGAATCACTGTTAAACAGTGAACCGGAACATGAGTGGCTTGATCGCGATTAGTAACATAAAAGTGACTTGGATTTCTTGGAATCAAAGCTGAAAACGTCCATATCTTTTTGTTTTTGCTTTTTTTGTATTCTATTTCTTTTTCTTTTTTAAATCAATGTCTGTCGGCGTTGATTGTTCTAATTAAATGCACTTTCGAATTCAATATTTAATCATTCATCTTTAAGTTATTCTCTTCAGCCCTTCTCGACTTTTTAGAACGTAGATTTCTCGTGTTCTTCGACGTATTTTTTTGTAAATGTTTCAGAAACATTCGCTTCTCTTTCCTTCTCTTCTCTTCTGTACGCATATAAGCGAGAAATTCGTTCTTTTTTCTTTCTCTGTTCATAAACAAAACAAAGGTCCAATAACTATTTTTGTCTGTGTTCTAGATTAACAATATTAGCAACAAATTCGAAATCATGACGGATACTACTGTTTCAACAACTAATCCAAAAACAATTTCATCAACAGAAGAAACTGTTACCAATGGAAATGTCGTAACAACAACCACAAAAAGTAAAACGGTACCGTACGAATTCTGTCTTTTTTCCTTCGAATTTATTAGTTATTTCATTGATTTTTAGATCAATCCGGATCATTCAGTCACAACAACAACCACAATAGATAAAACTGATCAGTAAGTGAATTGAATGATATTACTCTTTCATTCAATATTCGAATAATAATATTAGAGCAAATGGGGAAAAGATTACGACCACTTTATCCCAAACAACATCGTCATCGTCATCGGATCCTGATCTTGATAAGAAAATTATTCGTCAAATTGAATACTACCTCGGTGATGTCAACATGGTCAAAGATAAATTTCTTAAAACCGAAGTAGCCAAAGATAATGGTTGGATTCCATTATCAGTCTTAACAACATTCAAACGTCTCCAATCGTTAACAACTGACTTCAATGCTATAACAAATGCATTAAAGAAATCAGTTTCTGGACTTTTACAAATCGATGAAGCTGGAAATAAAATTCGTCGTCATCCAGATCGAACATTACCAAATAGTCAAGCTGAACTCGAATTATCATTACGTAGTCGTACAGTATATGTCAAAGGCTTCCCGAAAACCGCCGATGTTACAATCGAAAAACTTTTGTTATTCTTTGAACAGTAAGCTTCAGTATTCAGATTACAATGTTCTTTGATTTACATAATTTATTTGTAGATTTGGTTCGATTGAAAGTGTTCAAATGAAAAGACAATTCAAATCGAAAGATTTCGGTGGTGCTGCATTTGTTGTTTTCTCCAATGAAGAAAAAGCTCGAGAATTCGTTGACAAATGCAAAGAAACACCAATCAAATATGAAGATGGTTCAGAATTAGAATGTTCGTTACAAGATGATCATTACAAAAAAAAAGCATTGGAAGCAGCCAGTGGAAAGAAGTCTTCCGATGATGATAAACAAGCACGAAAAGAAAAACGAAAAGAAGAATTAGAAAAGAAGACGAATGAACATTTAGAAAAATTAAATAACGAAAATTTGCCTGGTGCTTTGATTCATCTTGCTGGTAAGACAAAATCTTGAACCAAAAAGTTCATAGAATTGAATTTATTTGAAAAGGTATGGCTGCCACTGCTACACGAGAACTCATTAAAGAAAAATTCAATCCATTTACTAAAACACCTTGGATTGATTTCAACAAAGGTGATGCTGAGGTAAAAGTTTGTTAATGATTGGTATTCGGATGGAAAGTTGACACTTTTTCAGGCTTGGGTTCGATTAAATGAAGCAAATACAGCGAAGGATGTTTTGCAAAAAGTATTAGCAGCTGCTCAAGGCAAACTGGTCATTGCAGATAAGGAAGTAACAAGTCGAGTAGTAGAAGGTGACGAAGAAACTCAATTTTGGAAAGAAGCGAATGCAAAACGTGCTGCAGAACGAACGAAAAAAGGAGATCGTTTTGGTGGAAATAAACGCGGAGGTTTCGGCAAACGAAATCGTCGAGGTGGACAAAAACGAAAACGTAATCAAAGTGAGTCAACACAGTCAAATAGAAGGCGAATATAAACATGTAATTTTCTCATTTTTAAATCAAGATGATGATGATGATGATCAATCGAACGATGATGAAGATCAATCAACAACATCGAAAAAAGCAAAAGGAACAACAGCTGATTAGATATTTCATTGCTATTTCGTTGTCTCAAAGTCAAATGTTTGACTTTTTGTTTGTTATTGAACTTGTTTTCTTTTGTTGCTATTTGTATGTTGTTATTCCGAGTATAACTGATGATTATACATTGTGAACAATAATCCAGATTGTCAACTATGATGACAAGGATTAATTAGACTCTTGAAAAATAAATATATTCATGTCATCAGAGAAATCAGAAGGTTTTGATCATCTACTGAAAAATGAAAGTGCGAGTCGGTAAAAGAGACCTTCACCTCTATGCAACAGGAGTTAATTTAAATCAGAGTACTCGAAAAAAACCTCTATCATTGAACGAAATAATCTCTTATACTTACTCATAATTAGAGAGAGTCGTGGAATTATTATGCTTCGAACGAACTGTTCATAAGATTTGTACAGATTTAAAAAGAATTGACAGATTATTCCCCGACCATTTGCTACTAAACGTTAAATCATTTCACCGTAATTACTGATCGACATTACTTTATAATATACAGATTAAAAACCATCCATTCAGTAACCTCGACACCTGATCTTTGATATGTATTTGATATATTTACGACGCAATACGAAGATGACCAATCGAAACGAAAAGAAATACATTTATAACCTGTTCCATCACTCATTCTTTTCCAGTAAGAGTAACGTCTATGTATAATGCTTCATGTGTTCGTGTGTTACATCTCGAATTGACATTCACGTACATAGTGAATCCCTGACTGCCTGTTTTTCAGGTGTAGATTAAAAGATAAGTAACGATTTCAGATAAAAATGACCGTGTAATTTGTACAGGAACTCGCTAATCGTCATGGTTTTTGCTTGTGCAAGGCTAAAACTTCGCAGAACCAGGTTGAAGAATCATACATAAAAATAGGAGCTTCCGTTACATGAAATTTTCAGATAAAACCAAAAACAAAGACAAAAAACTCTTAACTTCTCCAAAGATTTCTGACTGGTCCCCAAAGATCTTCTGTTTCTAGCAAACTTCAATAGCGGGTTTATAAAAAATTTCGCAGAAACTTGCTGCCATTTTCAAATTTGGGAGGGAAACTGAACTTCCCAACTCCCTTATCGGATAGCATGCTAATAGTATGAGACTAATTAACATAGGTATTTTAGATATTCATCATTGAATAAATTAACTTCATCACATTTTCGGTTTTATTTTCAGTTGTGTTAACTAAGATAACACATTAATGGTTTAAAAAAAACGATTTAAAATCTATCTACTCATTATTCTCCAGTATTGCTTTTTAAAAAAGTAATGAATCGTATTTTTCTACAAAAATCACTGACAAGAGGTTTCGACAAGCTAGCGTCCTGCAATTTCTGACGAGAAAATCAATTGCCATAGAGAGATAAACTGAGCTTTGAAAAAGACTTGGTGAATTATATCTTACCTATTATAAAAGGTGTTCTTGTTATAGAATGTCGAATACCAATCGTAATTTTCAAATGCGTTATGTTTGGAAGAACTTCAATAGTATTATATTCAAGGGAACGTTTAATAGAATAAACATAATTACACGTGAATGTTAATGGTTTAATATTATCGATAGCACGAGGCATGTTTTCAATATAGAATCGTTCCATAAGTGATGTATGTGATGCTCCTGTATAATCAAAACGTAAATCAATCGAATAGCATTTATCAAATGCAAGTTATTCCAAACGACGATTATTAATATCAAACATAGCACAAAGTAATAACACTTGAGGACCACTTTTCTTCATGATAGTTAATAATATTTCATCAGGTAAATCCAGTAGTTCATAGAGGAGTCAATCAGCAACAATCAATTATTATGAGAGAGAAAAAGATTATTTAGGAAAACAAAGAGAGGATAAATGAACCTATTCAAGCAAAACATTTTTACAATGAGATATTGATTATGGAAATGAAAAATTCTGATATTGTCCAACAGTTATGTGTGCTACCAAAAAGTGCATGAAGAAATCACCTAAAGAAGAAGAAGGAATAATACTGTTGTAACAACTCGGAAATAGTTGTCTCAATCAGATATATTCTCGGACTCGACTCAGATATTTATGAAGGTGAAAATTGGAAAAAGAACTTTATATCTTCACCCAACAAAGCCTAAAGTAACAAAGTAACCTATCGGACTTGTTTATAATCCTAACTAGACACAAGCAAATACTTTCAACTTTGAACATAAGAAAACAATTGTCTCGTGTTATAACAGAATGTCGAAAAGTTTTTTGTGAAATTTTTCAATAAATCCGTTTTGCAACGATTCTTTTATCTCGTTTTCACTCAGTTCCCGATTATTTGTCAATTTGCTGATTTTCTCTTATATTTGACACAACACTAAACTTCATTTGTTACTTTACGCAAGCACACTGACAATGAAATACTCTACTCTACTTTAATTACGTATGGTTCTATGTCAATTAACAAAGATATAGTCGTTCAACATTGATTAATGGATAGACGAAGCGTCCGAAAGCGTGATCAAAGTGAGTTAAACATAGCCAAATGCATCGAAATGGAATGGAAACATGAACATATGATTTTTTTCATTTCTAAATCAAGATGCTGATGATCAATCAACAACAGCTGATTAGATTCTTGAAAAACGAATGAACATTGTTAGTTAAGCCAACGTTTGCAATCTTTATTAAAATGGTGAGAAAAGTTCTACAGCTATTTAGGTTATGTAGGAGAAAAAGAAAACTAAACATCTAGAACGCTGAATTTAAAATCATATTTGAATATTGATGGAGGTTTGATGTAAGTGAACATCAAAGAACTTATTCTTCAGCTTCTGGTTCCGCTTCAGCACGCGAAGCACCTCTAGTATTTCCAGCAGCTGCAGCGCCAGGTGGTACAGGATAATTTGGTTTGTTTCTAAACAAATATCGCGTTCATTAGTCGAAATAAAATGAAAAGCGACACTTACGGTAGAGATTCCGTGTTACCAAAACGATCACCAGTATCCATACCAAGAGCACCAGCTCCGACACCGAAACCAACACCTCGAATACCGAATTTGCGCGAATAACATTGCTTGCAATAGACATTTCCTTCATGTTCGGCCATTATCGTAACTTCGAGCATTTTTTTACAGAGACCTGTTCATCGAAGAGGACGATGAGTAACGATCAAAGAAGTAAAACATTGATTCGACTTACCGCATCTGTAACAAGTCTTATGCCATTGTTTTCCAGCGGCTGGAATTGCTTCAGCATGGAAAACAGCTTGGTTACATCGAGGACAACGATTAATTTCTTGGTTTCCGATCGGCATTCTAAATAAATGAATTTCTTTTACATCTGCTCAAATCTTTGCAATAAAAATAAAAGAATCATCTCGACTTCTATGATATCCATACTAATATAGCGAATACTCTTCTCAGACTTAAATAGACATGTCTGGTGCAAAAAAAACTGGAAATATATAAGACCTGTCTCAGCTTAACTGACTGACAACATAGAGAGACAGAGAAGTCAAAATTAGTAATGGTATTTTAGTTTGCCCTTCGTTTTCAGCTTTCTACAGTATACCATTTCATCCCTATCGTCAATGTTAATGATGTACAATGTCTAAAATTGACACCCGTGATAAGAAAAAGAAGGAAACTGTCAGGTTGTATTCATGACGTGTAAGTTAATATAGTAGAGAAAAACTTGTCAATCAACAAACTAATACAAGAAGTATACTTTGTTTGTTCGGTGCACATGTGTTGTTATTCTTTTTTTTCTATACATATGAAGTGAAAAACCACAAAGAAGTATTCGACAGATGTAGAAATGATCGATTTCGGATTGGAAATACAGTTGAAATTTTGTCATCTGTGATAATAATGATAAATGATCGAAGTGTAAATCTTTTTTTTTGTTTAATTCAATTAGCAATGAATCTTTGTGTTGATTTCTTCAGAACGATTATCGATTCTACCGGATGTCTTTAGCTGCATATGTTTTCTGTTTGAATATCGTACATGGAATTGTATGTTTCGAAATACGAGATCTTTCTTGATCAAGAAAAGAGAAAAATCAAGTCATCAATCTTGAATAGATAAGATCAACAGAGATAATTCCTATTCCCAATGATTTATTGTTGAATTGTAACAGAGAATAATTCAATCAATATGTCAGAGATTTGTGTCGAGCTGCAGACGTTTGCTTGCGAGATTTAATGAGAGTATTTATTCTGTTTTAATCTTCTTCAAAAAGAATTTGAATCATATCCGAATCGAGTAGTTGATTTTCTGAGAGACGTTTACTCTAAATACATGTGCGAAAAAGACAAATGTCTTTTTTTCATCGCGAAAATCATTTCATACTGTTCCCCATTCGACTAATGTTGGAATAGTTGTTAAGCGAAGTTGTGAATCTTTCCGAAACGAACTATTCGAATCTTTCCAACTAGAGATTCAAAATTTCATTTGTATGCTTTCATCAATCATATATTTTTACCTTGCTCGATCACCGACGGAACATTCAATGAAAATTCCATTTGATGGCAATAACAATGGAATCATTTCTGCTACTGGTTTCTCTACGAAATTACAATCTGAACACCTGAAATACAAATCAAAATGGGAATCGATTTCAATCAAAACATGTTGAGTTTGTATATACCAACTGTGTCCTTGATTGTCTTTAGCACCGTAGAACAATACAAAGATGCGTTTATCTTTCTCGATCGTTTTCACAAGGTTTTTCAATTCATCGTAGCTATTCACTTGGAAATATTTATAAGATGATTCCATCTAAAACGCTCACCTTACGAGTACTGATAACCTATTCATTTCTCTTTATGAAATTCATTTATCTGTAGATATCTCAGTACGTTCATAAGTGTATATCTATGCATTATTTTGCAATCAATATTTATTCTCCAATTAAGAAGCATATTATCTCAATTTTGTCGTATTCATGTGCTGGTATTTCGGTGCAGAACAGTCAATGTGAATACTATCTTAATTTTGATTGGTTGATCTTTTTCCCTGTCGGATGTCAATCTATATATGCAATATTCTTCTTTAGGTTTTTTTTCATTTGAAACAAAATGAATAACGATTTACAAGTTCGTCCGAAACCGAAATTCGGTGTTAGTGACGATGATGAAGATGAAATGTTGAATTATCAAGAACTCTTTCAACGTTCGAATCTTCAACCATCCGCTCAAGTTATTCGAGAACCGAAAATCAAACGCCAGCAGTCGACTGAAAATGAGGATAGAAAACGCAAGACATCCAACATTGATCTTACTGAAACCACAGTTATGAGACCGATAATTGTCGTAAGAAAAATTCCATATGAAAGCAGAACATTTCTATTCCACCAGTGAAATTTTTAGGAACGAGATGTTAGTTCAACACCGATTCAATTACCGAAACCCATCAATGATTCATTTCCACAAGCGAAATATCGTGGAAATGAAGACGATTTAGAAGTAACCGCTTGTTTTCATTTCCAAACATGACAAAGAAGTTTTTTTGTCTGTTAGAAAATCACAGTACCAAATGTAAAGAAAGCGTCGATGTTTGCCAAACAAATGTATCGTGACGGAAAATTGAAAGTTTGTCAAGAATTAGAAGAAAAGAAGTCATCGATACAAAATGAGAAAATGTCGCACTCGAAACTTTTAACTGGTTGTGGACTTGGAGAAGTGACTGGTGAACGAGAACTTCAACGTATTCATAATGAAAATGTCGAACGATTAAATTCAATGAATGAAAACGAAATTCTCGAAGAAAGAGAAAAACTATTGAAATCATTAGGTAAAATCGAGAATATTTCAAAGAAGAAGAATATTATTAATGCAATTGTCTTCTAGATCCGAAACTAATTGCATTCATTCGAAAACGAACCAAACAAGAGGATGAAGGACTTATCTATCGACCCTCAGCATCCACTGCACAACCAATGGATATTGAGAATCAAAAATCGACAACAATACCAATCGAAACTGATTCGTGTTGGCTTCATATGGACAAAGTTGAGTATGAAAAATTAGAATGGATGAAAGATTTACCAACGCCATCAGCTCAACGAGCGCCAGATGAATCTGTAAGATATCGAGTTGTCTCAGTTGCTGAACAAAACCTTTCATTTAGAATCCAGATGGAGTGCCAGCTCGGTTTGATTTCAAAGGCAATTTGATGTCACGTACTGCTGATATTTCAGTGACAGCTGCTCTTCACCATCATGGAGAAGAACCAGAAGCAGCAGGGTATACATTAGAAGAATTATTTCACCTTTCTCGTTCAGCTGTTCTGCAACAACGTGTTATTGCACTTCAAACATTGGCGAATATCATCCGTCAAGTGAGTTTCTTTTTCAATTTCATTCAATTCGATTGATTTTCGTTAAGGCGCATACCGGTGTCTACGATCTTGACCTTCAATTACCATTAATACAGAAATTACTCGAAGCGGGCATTGTTTTTCTTATACGCTGGGCCATGGATGAGCAGATTGAAGCGATCTATATGGTTGCAGTTGAATGCTTAGCAAACTTAATCGCACCACGAAAAGATGAAGTATGAAATTGAAGAGAAAAAAAAAGAGTTTTTTTGGAGAAAAAGTTTTATCACGTTCTCAGGAAATCCTTTCCCGAACAACCCATTGGCCATGTGGATATTACGAGCCCAGTCTGACGCCAGCGGAAATTGAACTAGGTGAAAAAAAGTCCGAATCAGATTTAACCGACGTGGAAATCTTAGAACAAGATCTAGTCAAATGTTTATTCCGAATGAATGTATTGAAACGGTCGGTTTATTTATTGAATGGAATGAAATTGTTACCAGCATTGACCAGCACAATCACAGTGAGGAATATCTTTCATATTCTCATCCGCATGGCCAGACATTCCATGACTTGTGCTAATCAAGTGAGAGTCGTTTGATCAATAGAACATTTCATTGATATTGTTTTAAATAGATTTTCGAAGAAAAGCAATTAATGGATTTCATCGTTCAAGAATTCATTCCGGAATTCGCAATACCAAATGGTAAATTTCAATTCGTATCTCATTTGATCTATTGTTCATTTAGATGAAGGTCATGTATATGGACATTTGTTACCGGAAGCATTGAAGTTCTGTCGAGTACTAGCGAATCATGGAAGCACTCTTACTTACAATCTGATCCATCGTTACGAACTACATAAACGTTTAGGAAATCATTTAGTTGCTGCAATGAAGTAAGTGACCATAAACGACATTTGACACAAGTTCATAGGAATCATGTTGTAGCCGTTCGTTATCTTCTGAAGATAATCAAGCACTTGCGGAACTCTTTTCACTTTGGCGGATATTCATTCTACAAGGTCATATGGCCGATGAATTCGGGTATTTACAATATCGATTTGTTATGAAATCTATGAAATTCATTTCTTTGAATAGTTCATTAATTCCTACAGTTATTCTTCCATTCTGTCGAACATGTATTCAACAAATGCCGAATATGATGATCAGTCAATTATTAGTTCAATTGATCGCCTTGTTTGATGCACTGATCATCCATATTACAAAATTTATCATGAAACATCGGTAAGTGAAATACTGAACTAAAACTATGAATTGTAGACGTGAAATTTCCAATAGAAATTCATCGGAAGAAGAATCCAATGCGATCAATTGGTCACACATCGATGGCCTCTTCGATATTATTCTAACAGTTGAAAAACAAACTCTAATCGAAACTGACGAAGAGGTCTTTTTTCTAATAGAACGAAGGTTTGATTCTTGAAAATCTCATTCGGTTCCGTTTAGATTGATCTTGATGCACTTCAAACAGTTGGTTTATCGTGTTTAGCATCATTTCTCATCGGTCAACAATTACTGGTTTGTGCAACGGATAAGAATTTTAGCTCTATCAGCTTATTTTAGACAATCAATTTGTTAGATCTTCCATTGAAAGTGCATCAAATTCGCGTTCAATTTCTTGAACCACTTTTACGATCGACATCCATGAAAAAACTCATTGAAACTGTCAAACTAAAGTAAATATTCTTTCATTTGAGAAAAATAAAATGTTTGTATAATTTACTTCTCAGCACGGCAACACTTCCGACAAATTCAACTCGAAATCTTCCAACATTGACTCAAACGAATATTTCATCATTCGGTTTCCTTAATGCTCTTTTACGCTTGACCAATATTATCTATCAAATCGATAAATCTCTACCGAACTCGAAGAAATTTATCACTGAACTAATGTTAACAAAGAACAGTGAAATCGTTGTTTATGTTAAGAAAATGTTGAATAAATTAACATCGAATTCGATACGGAAAGTTCCCTGGTTTGAACAATTCGAGCATGGTTTTCTATTTCAATTCGTTCAAATTCTTTATCAAGAGGTAAATTCATTGTTTTACTCAATTGAGAAAACAAATTCTTCATTGTTTTTTGTTCAGAAATCAGATCAAGATCTACCATCGATTTACTACGAAATCTTACTTGCATTACTACCATCTCTTTTGAAAGGTTATCATTTTCTTGCTCAGGAAACGTTCAAATTGATCTTCTTCGATCTATCCTACTGGAAAAGGTAATTGTAATCATCGCATTGTCGAGATTTACGTCAACAAAAACAATTTCATTCTTTTCTTTTAGATCCAATGAAATTGAATTGGCTGATTTATCATTAATTACAAATGAATCTCTTCATTTAGCTTCGAATCAATCAATAATCGTCTCTTCATCTCAACGCACGCTACTCTACGAACGTGCTATTGAACATCTTCCATCTTTGTACACTTATTACAAAAACATTCTTCACATAAATCGTTCGTCAGTTGATCTAAATATCTGTGATATTCATTTCGGAAACCTATTTCAATCAGATGATCTATTAAAACTAAACATTCATTATTCTCATACGTTACTGGACATAACATGGCCGTATGGTTTACTTTCATCGCTTTATACAAATGTTCTCACAATTGCCGATGAGAATCAACGATTGGAATTGATTTTGAATTCGTTACGTTTTGTTTATATCTTAGAAATGAAACATTCGTTAATTTTATACAAAACTTTGAGTAAAACAACACGATTCTCGATGATTGCAGGAATCTATCTACTTGGTTCGGAGATTTTTCTCGAGAAAAACATCGCTGATTACTTAGTAGCATTTCTCAATTGTTTCAACGAACAAAATTTGTTACAAAAACTCGAAACCAAAAGTAACATTCAATCTTTAATGACATTCTTCGACTTGTAAGTGATTTTTTCCATGTTTTCGAAACGAAAATCGTTTTACTTAGTTATCGTACACTTGTCGATCAATACGAAGCATGTTCTTTCGGTGATATTCTCTATTCTAACTATCTTCTCATTCCTTTACAACAAATCTATGATAATCAACTACGAAAACAAGTTTGGATTGAACATTCGACAGTGTTAAGATACCTTCGTCTCAAACCTGATCAAGTAATATTGTTTGTCTTTATGTTTGACTAATGATCACTGTGATGATTTCAGATTTTATTTCCATTAGAACATTTCTTTGTTCCGTATGAGAATGACTTAGAAATTCTTCGTTATTATGCTCAAGTGTTATTGAATGGAACGATTCAAAAGTCGATTCAACTATTTTTATATATGATCGCAGTGCATCATTTGAATGGATTTCTGTTTGATCAAACACGAACGGAACAATTCAATTTGCAACGAACAATCATGAAAACTATTCAATCGATTTCAACAAATAACAAGGTTATTTCAATACAAAATGAAATGTTCCGCATTAGTTCACGTTTTTTGTTTTAGATATTACATGATGAACTGGTCAATTACAAAACATTTTCACGTGAAGGTCCGGTGATATTTGCATCTTTACCTTCGATTCGAGTTCATTGGTTACAAAAACTTTTGCAGTGATTTCGTTTTACATTGATTTTTCTATTGATAATAAAGATATATATCTTTTGACGTCACATGTATTCACATGATCGATCTAAGCACATTAGAATGTGCCGCCCTCTGCCGATTATTTAGTATAGTATAGTCGAATAAGAAATAAATATTTATTTACTTCACTTCATGCGAGTCACTATCGACGATCAGAAGTCGAACTTTCAAAGTAAAGTCATGCTCTAATCTTTCCGTGAATCATTTTGTAATTTCAGTCTGCGTATGCTATGTTGCGTCTTATTTTTAACGGTATTTGCACTGTAACCAACACATTGCTAAATCGAAATGAAACTCAAGCATCAACATCGAGATGGCGAATATTTCGCAATTTTCTCGGTTCGACCATGTCATCCCTTGGTCGCCCATTGATCAGATCAATTGTTAATAATGAAACTGTTTATGAATATGTAAATACACTCTTGTCAAATCCGACGACTCGCGAGCATCATCGACGAGCAAATTTGGGTCTTGATCGACACTCGCGACCTACTTTTCGTCGACGAACATATCATCATGGGGGAATACGAATTATTAGACCAATAATTCATGTTCACGTTCGTCAATGATAAACATTTTCATTTCTTTTTCTTTGCATTGTATATTTCATAATAAAATAGATGTTGTTGTTTTAGATAAAACACATTTTCTCTTCAAAACTTACAAAATCAAATGGCTCGAGGACACCAAAAAGAATTAGCACGACAACGTAATGAAAAAAATGGCGCTGGCAACAAACCAACATCACAAAAAGGCACTGCCGGTAAGAAAAACTGCCTTTAGATAAACGCCATTCTCATTTTCTTATTTAGCTGCTGGCTTAACTTATCAATGTCCGGTTTGCAAAGTAAGTCAAAGAAAGTTTTTCTTTTCAATTTTTTTATCGGATCATCTTTCGTAGACTCAAATGGGTGATCCAAAGACCTACAAACAACATTTTGAAAGTAAACATCCGAAAAATGAACTGCCAGCTGAATTGAAAGATGTTTAAACTTGGAATATATGATGAACCAAGAACATTTTCTTTTCTTGCTTAACTATTTTCTTTTGCCTGACTATTACTTTTCGAATAAAAGAATCTTCTACATATTGATCAATCGATGTGTCTCAAGAATTGTGCTGAATGAGCACGAGAAAAATAACTTTTATCAATTACATCGGCAACGATAAATATCTATGAAAATTTGATTTGACAGATTGGAAATTGTTTTCTCGTTTAATAGTTTCCTTTTAAACTAGAAAATAAATGAAATCAAGTCGCTAAGATACACATGTATACATCCGGTGTAAGAAATTTGTCTTGACTCGTTCTCTCTCTCTCTCTCTCTCTGTTTGATCTTGTTGACAGAGAATTGTTGCCTATTTTTCTTCTCATTTCAAGACATCAAAACCGATCAAAGTGTAAGAAGTAACACGACTTCATTCTCTTGTTTTGTTGTTATTATTAGTTGTCTTCAACTAACATCATTATCGCAACTTTTCAAAATATGAATCGAGTAAGTCGATACCATTATAAGTCAGTTGAGATTTACAAATGAGAAGGTAGGTTATGAAAGAAAACTTCTTCATTCTTTTATTTCTTTAGTCTCGTAGTCAATTGGATATATGTCAGAATCGACCATTATCGATACACAAACCGGGTGTTGTACCGTATGCATCGCAGAATATCTCGCCGATTAGATCGAATCGTCATAAATATGAATTGAAACAAAAACTCTGGCCAAAACAATCCGTCGAATCATGGTTTACTAATCATTCCTTCGATGGTAGATCAATACGAATCGAAATTGTTAAAGAATCTGTTTTTTGTATCTTAGATCGCCGAGCAGTGTTTAGTTTTCTTAATACACTTTATGATGGTGACGATAAATGTATGAAAAAAGAAGAACGAACAGCAGTTGAACGTCGTCAGAAATCGCCCGCGACTCGATTATCCAGTCGTTTATCCACTACGGTTGCTCAATCGCCTAATCAATCTGCTCAGCGACGATCAAAAAGCAATCACGGACGAGAAAGTCGAGCATCAAAGCGTGATCTCGGTGAAATTCTCGAATCACTAGAAAGGTAATTATAATCGTATACAAAGTTTTTTTTTCGCGTCGAATAATTCATTTGAAACCATTGAAAATACGCGTCGTCAACACATACGATCCGATCAATAAATAGAAAAATATATATACATATATATCTTTGCATTATTGACTCAGACTGAAGTGATCGATGATTCAGGATGCTTTCAAAATCATAACAAGGGCCTTGTGAACTAGAAGTTTGATAAAGTAGTTTTCTGCCTTCTAGTTTCCGCCCGGCAACTTCAGTACAAGAGAAAGGTATTCAGACATCGACGTTGTCTATCAATGGTACGTTACCGGACGTGAATGGAGCGAAGCCGAATCGAAAAATCGAAAAATATACTCGACGATCCGTTACATCACTAGACAAACCGGCAGAAACCGAACAGAAAGAACAGACGACTGAAAATGACGAAAATAATAAACTTAATCGCCGTTATCTATCTCAAACATGGCGTGTTATTAATCCTCGAGAAGATATGGAACCAACTGTACGTCCCGAAAATAATCGTTCATCGTTTTTCAACTACACGAAAAAAGTCTATCCAGAATACTTTTTTATTCATCCAGATTGGTATTAATATTCGTAGCAGATCACAAACTATAAATCCTAACAATTCAAATTTGACTTTTCTCACATTTTCTTGTCTTTTTCTACCAAAAACAAAACAATAATAAATTAACAACAAACATAGTTTCATGAACGACGTTCAACACAATGTCCGTAAGGATGTGACGCTCGCTGTGGTGTCGCATTTTTACGTCTGGGATTAAGTGAATTCGAACGCATTGTCGCTTTATTTCGATCCAACAGTGTGGATGCGGGCGGAATGATTACTGGATGTGTATTGAATCTCATTGTTTTCACACGTTGATTACCATTTGGTTGTACAAATAAATTCGGGTTATTTTGTGCAAAATAATGCTGATACCGAACATCGTAATGCAAACGTCGGATATTTTCACCGAGTATTTGTGTTTTTTGCCTCTTTTGTTCATCGGAAAGCCTTCGGGTGCATCGCGGACAAAGACAATCGATGAAATAGGAAAATTCGTGCCGGGCTTGCTTATTCAAAGAAAAGTAGAAGATGAAACTGAAACACATCGACATCATTGACAAAAGATATAATGAATGATGAATATATATGAATCGTTGTAAGGAGCTACGCGTACTTTCCATCATTGATAGATCTGTTACGTTGAAATCGATTGCTAATGATCGATGTAGAAATGGTTCAGTTTCATTCGAATTTCCGGCTGTTTTGTAAATATGATGCCATGCAAAAATGTTATACGGCGCCCAACAGAGAACGTAAAATGAGAGTAGAAGAATCAGCAATAAAACAGTTCGTCGTGCATTCGCATTTGCTTGTAAATTGATTTTATAGAGAATGATTGGAGATGTCATCGATGTGTAAGTAGTTTCGTTTGATGATCGACTGGTGGTTGAAGAATTTGATGAATGATTTGGCCCCATTGGTTGACCGGCTGTGGTTGTCGTCATATAAGTACCAGCTGTATTCCCCACAGTGTCTGTATTGAACATAACCGCTTTTTTCATCGATTTTCTCGGTGGTAATAGTTGTGCATTGGTGTTATTACGGGTTGAATTGTGTGGTCGCGATCTTTTCTGACTACCATATTGAGAATCATTTGGATTATTTCGATTCATCGACTGTAAATGATGCGATTTAGTTGATAAATAGTGTTGAATATGTTTTGATCGGATAAAATAGATGAGTCTGGCGTGTAGAAAAAATGCGAGTAACAATGGGAGAATGTAAAATATTAATAAAATGCTGATTAAAATCTGATGAGTATATTGAACAACGCAATTTTTCACGTGCAATCTCGTGTGAATGACATGAGCATGAAGTAAATTACAGATTGCGATTGGTAGACTAAAGATCATAGGTAACAGTAGAAGTATGCTGGAACCTGTTTTGGTTGATATGCGTCGACACCATGTTGACCATGTTGATATTGAACCAGATGTATGAGCATGGATGTAAACGAAACGGTCAAATGCTCCTAAATATCAAGTGGAATAAAGTCATTACAGTTGTTATTCACTCAGAAGTTTAAAAAAACATTTGCAAGTCAAGAACAATGATTGTGTTCAACATTTTCTTGTCAGTATCTTTGTCTTTGACAGTTAAATTTTAAAAACGGATTTAAATATAGATCCTGATGAACAAAATTAAGCACGTGCTTCGTTAAGTTACTCCTGAATATGTCATATGAATTTTAGTTCATTTGAATTTGAGGTAAAAACAACTTTGATATGAACTGGTTTTCTTCACGAGGTCGAATATTTCCTCTATTTAGCAACTTTATCAATTAATCAATGATTGTTTATAAAATATCTATTATTTTCCGAAATATTTTTATTAATGAAAGAGAAAGCGAAAGGAAATGCATCTTTGCAGAAATTTCATAATAATTTCATATTTAAATGATTTCGTGCCTTTTTTTATATAACAGTCTACTTTTAGGTACCTTTACGTGTAACCACTTATTCAGCGCAACTTTCTATAATCTACTGTGAATTACAATAAAGTCACATAGCCGTTTGTGAGATATTTTATATTTCTTCCACCTTAATCATATGTCTCCAACATTCAAATCAGTAGAAAATTCTAACTTCTGTCCTTCATTTCCATAATAAGTTGAATAGATCAGATGTTCTGAACATCAGAACTCAGATATATGACGCCGAGACAAGATTTACGTGCTTAATTGAACGTGTTGAATTAGAGAAAGATCCGATATTTTGAAATAATCATGCGTGAGAAGTCCATTGAAAATTTCTGTTGAATATATCAATACAGACAAGTCGTCTAAGTATGTCTGGTTATATTTAGATTACTTAGTATTCGCTCTTAATAATATTCGTCGTTTTAAAATATCGCATTTCTTTGTAAAAGATGCATATGTAATGCTCAAATAAATATACAATGGAGAATCAATTTACGGTAAAAATATCTCTTTACTACTACTTAAATGAATTTGAAACGATCGTATCTATTTTCATCGAGCGATTGGTAGAAAGAAACGAAGAACCTAATCGATAAACATCCACACTAAACTCCAATTGAAGTACAATTTTCGTTATAAATGTCGCACAAATGATGACATACAGAATATAGCTATTTAATAATTCATTCAAATCATGAATTTGCTCTAATATGTCAAAGGAATACTTGAAAACATATGTCGAAGGTGATGCATGAGTTATTGCATTTCCTTTTCGAGGGAAATGCAACATCTCTGTTTATTTTTGTTTGTTTTTTTGTTTCAGTTAGTTTAACAAAATTTATATTCAATGATAACATCTTCGCTGAATAAAACATGATTAGAAGATACTGATTCACTGCACTAAGAAAATGTGGAAAATATTCATGTCACGTGTCAAAACATGTGAAGTCTTTTCGTAGTAGATAACATCGTGTGTAGTAATAGTATGAAAACTGACTTGTGACGATATTCTTTTACTTGAATAGAATGAATATCGTAATTAGATTTTACTCGAAAGGCTCGAGTTTAAGAACTAAGAATGCGCTGTAATAGAAAGAGCACGTCACTCATAGTAGGCTTAAAGAAAGCGTTTTACATCGTCAATTCAGAAAAACTCATTTGAGTTTACCTTGTTCGTATATCTGAAAAGCTTTTTATGCAAAAGACTAGAAACACTTCTACATAATTATCAACAATAGTTGCGAACATGTAACACCTGATAATCTCAGCTCTCAATATATTATAAAACGTCATTTCACATATGCGTCACTCAGCCGAATAAATAAAAAAAAAAGAACGAAGGTCGTTCGTCAAGTAATTTCATTTGGATCACTGAATAATCTATTAAGTTTTTCTTCTAGGTCTATAATAAACATCTCACGGGTGTTCAATGATAAGATCATTGACATATGTCGAAAATAAATGTATCTACTCCAAGACACACCTACATATACTCTCTTGTAACTCATCGTATAACTAATTATCTCTAGCATCTTTTTCCACCTATATCACAATCGACTGTAGATCATGACTTTACACCTTCGTATTCAATTCCCTTTTCTCTTCAGGCACTTAATTAAAGCATCGAAGGCTCCTTCTCGCATTCGACATGTTCGCAAGTCAAATTTCCGTCTCCAAATAGACATATACTGACTCGCTCACTTATGCGTAGAAACAAAGCACAGGAAATACGTTGAAATTGGCTTTCACTTTTCTAATTAAACAGATATCCACCGCATATGGAAACAATAATCTCGTAATGGAATCAAACATATGCAATTCGATAGTTTCTTGAAGTTACGCTCTCGTTCAGATGAAAATAGTCATGAACTTTGCTTATTCTTAATGACTGATGCCACTCATTTGTATCAGATGAAAACTTAGACACCTCAGGGGAACTAAAACGTTGATTGGAAAAGACAAGAACATGTCACGTACCCAGTAGATGATAGAAGATGATGCATGATGAAAAGAATGATTCGAAAAATGTATGAAAGTGACACAACCATGTGATCGAAAATGAATATGATAAAAATCGATAGATTTCAGTTGGTGAATCTACTGAAACAAGACAAAGTTCACCTAAAACAAGCAAAATCAATCAGTGGAAATGAAATCCGGAAAATCTTAAATCCTTCGCATACTTATCGCTAAGCATAGAACAATCCGATCGGTTTGTGATAGACGAAGACGTTTTGTATACAAAACTTTTGCTAAACATAGATTTCCAATAATCGAGATAAAAGAAACAAATGCGATTAGATAAACGAAGAGTAACAATGAACGTGAATGTTCATCGATTCCAAATGTTAAAGAGGATTTCTTATAAGAATTGTTCGTTGTATTTGTATGATTAAAAAGATATTCGAGTTGAGCGACACATTCTTCCGTTGTCTTTGTTTTGTGAAATGTTAAATTGTGTTTACCTAACAATTCCAAAATATCCAATTGAACAGATGGTGAAAGTGATCGATTAGGCAAATATGATTGAACGAATTCACACTGTGTGAATAAGATAGCTGAATGTGTTGGATTGATAATTGGCGACATAGGACTTGTCTTTGATGCAATAGTTTTTTTGCTTTATGAAGAAAATGATTAAAGAGATTTCTTTTTTAATTATATCTGAAAAAAAAAGGTTAATAAAATGTTTTCGATGAAAAAACAAATCGAAGATAATTAAAAAAAATATTAATAAAAAAAAAGTACACTTAAGTCATTTGATGTTCGTGCTCGAGTAATTTTTGTTTAAACAACATTGTGTGTCAGACACATCTAATGTTTTCCATTTGCTTCACCATTAATAAATCTGCACTTAAAACATGATGAGAAAAGGAGAAACGGCAAGATAATTCTGATTATTATTGTCAGTCATTAGTGTGCTTATCTACTGATTTCCCTCGAATTACTCGGTATGTACTGGTGAAACTGACGAGGAAAGAGATTTGAAGAAGCTGATGCATGAGATTAACGATTCATCGATACGAAGGGAGAAGGAATTGACGATGTTTTTTTCTGTTATGAAAACTTCACGCTGATAAGGCGAAATCTGTCTTCAACATGAAGCAAAACTGCACGAGTGAGAATGCGTCTCTAGTCAAGTGTCAATCATGAGTTGTGAATAGAAAAATACAAGGGTTTCTAGAGAAAAATCACAACTAGTTGAGATATTAATTCCTGAAAAAAGAACGACAGAATGCAAACGGGATGCATGAATAAAAATGAACGCTAATTTATGTAATCATATATTTACTTTTTTTTTCTTCTTTTCCTCACGACATCTTTCTACTTGAACACATTGGAGACTTGGTTCCGATAGTATATTATCCAGCGAAAAATACATCAGAACTTTCCATTGATTAATTCAAAAGGATAGATAATTTCCTCACACTTAGTATTGCATTTCACACTACATGTGACGAAACTAATCTTTTTGTCATTGAGAACATTAACATAGGTCAATGAGAAGCATGACTCAATGAAGGAGAAGGTTCTTTTCAGTACAAAGGATAGGTTGGCTTCTCGTGTGAAGTGGAGCATTGATTAATTTTTATCATTTTAATTTATCAATTATTTAAGTAAAGGACAAGATTGTTCAAATGATATGTTCTCTTGTTTATTCATAGAATGTGAAAACAAAAAAACAATAACAATCATTAAGAAACTTTTACGGTTGTTTTTTTGCGTAGAAATTATTTCGTTTTCTTCTATTTAGTTCCATCAATTCTGTTTCCGTTTGAGGTACTTCACATTCGATAAGAAGTGGAATGGCCTGTCACTGTCAACAAACGATAGAGAAAGGGGGGATCGAGTCTTTTTCCTCCATAACTAAATCTAGTAGTTCACTCGAAGATATTCAAAAGGAAATCTATGTCAATGTCACGCAGAACTAAGAAGTTCGTGGTGTATTTTAATAGATGACTACTTACAGATTTTCCAAAGAACATCATCAAAGACTTCATGCAATGACCTGCCGTGCTATCAAATTAATGAGAAAAATAGATAATTTCTCTTTGTATTCTCTCATTTTTTCTGCATAGCTGTCTTACATTTCTTTTTTCAAAAAAAATAAAAACTTTCTTAGGCTTATTTTTCTCTTTTATGTTGTTTCTCTTGCCGATGGTGTTATATAAATCTAGGCAACTGCGCATTTTGAAATCTATTTTTGATGAAAGAAATCTTTTGAAGGGTCATCAAGGGATTATCTATATTGCTTTGCCAGAATGATAGAAAACCAAGAAGAGAAGAAACGATCTCGCGTATCAACATATATTTAGGAACAAAACCCAGCATATCTAATTTCTATAATAAAAGCAAACGATCCAATTAGTAATGAACAAATTATTGGATTAAGCCGTTCGGCACTGCTTGGATCAGAGTTGGACCATTGGGAGAGAAGACTTGCTGAGGCTGTTGGATTGAACCTTGTGCTGGGCCAATAACTTGTCGAATAACACGAACACCTTTTGGCTGAACGACATGCTAAAAAGTATCGAATGACGTTAACGGATATGAAACACAATCAAGACATAATTTAGTTTGACATAATTAAATGAACTGTCTCTACTCATCGAACGGCGAAACTTACTTGTCGCGTTGCGAAAACCGGCACTAATTGTTGCATAGCTTGCGGCTGGTTGATAATTTGCTGCTGTTGTTGTGGAACACAGACTAACGCTGGCTGAGCAATGGGTGCTGGTTGAGGAATTTGTCGAACGATTTCTCGAACAAGATGACGTCCTGGAACTTGTTGTCGAATGACTGGATATGCGCCAGGTTGACATATCTCACGTCTGACGATGACTTGACGTGGTCCCGGTGGAGCAGATGGAAGATATTTTTCATATATTATAGTAGGGGGTCTTGCAGGTGGCGCAGGATAGCGTTCAACAATGACTATAAGAAGATTTCTATTCTAGAGGGAATTCATTTCAAAGGGAAAAAGTTACCTTGTCGAGGAAGTGTGACGGATGGAATGCGTTTTTCTATAATTAATGGTTGGCCACAGGGTGGACATGGCGGTGGTTTTTCTCTACAAAAGAAAGTTATAATGTCGAATGAAATTGCTATAAGAAATTTTTGTCATTACCGAACGATGATGGGAGGTGGTGTCGGTGGACACCGAGGTAGTTGTCGACAGACGATAGGAGGATCAGGTTCAACTGGTGCTTGAATTTCTATCGATGGAAATTCAGAGATTTAAAATAGAAAACAAAAGCGGATAGACGGTAAATTTACCTCGAATAATAATTGGTGCCGGAGGCGGTGGAGTTGGAGGTTGCAACCAGCGCACCATGATATTTTGTTTATAAACAACTTCTTGATTATTGGGCTTATAAATTACTTGTGGATTATTTCCACTCATTGATAAGTCATGAGCACTATTTGTTCCGGAGAGTCCAAAAATAGGTGGAGAAGGCGGGCGCATAAACTGTGGTGAAGACCGATCCGCCAATGGAATATCATTATGATAACTGGCACTTTTATTAACTGTAATAGGAGATGAGCGTTGATTCTAAATAGTAAATGAAGAAATAGAAAGAGTTTGTCAACACTTAAGCACGTTTAGAGGACAAAATTTTATCTAGCAGAACTTACCATTGATGTATTCATTGATATATCATTAAGTCGCAGAGAACCAAATTGTAATGGTGGACTGATAAGTTGTAAATTCGGATTTGCTAACAGTCGTTGAACTAGTTCGTCATGTCCTGGATCTTGAATGTATGAATTTGTTTGTGAAGTTGGTAATGGTTGTGTTGGTTGAACTAAAGGGCTGTTTCGTTGAATGTCAATCGACGATGACGACCTACCACTACCGTGAAGTAAAGGAAATGAAGGAGAACCTTGATTGACTTGTCCTTGCTGTTCCAGTTGTTGTTCGTGTAATTTAAAAGCACGCATCAATTTCATTACTAAGAGACAAGCATCATCGGAACTTTGCGTGAGAAATGTGTAACATAGTGAATTATCAAATCCATGGAAAACAGCGACAAATATCGGCGGACCTGTGATATATTGTGCAAATCGATTAGCTAAATCGACATTTTCAAACTCTCGTCGTTGAATTTGATCAGGATTGCGTTGATCAGATTTATCGTATAACATCCGTCTCAATGCACCACAATACGCTAAATGTTCAACTGGTAAATGTAATGTTCGGTTTTTTGGATCGTGCGGTTCGAATGTGAGAAATTCTCCTTGTTCATCAATGGACAAAGCGCCGTCTTGACCGAAGATGTCTTCGTCCGATCGCGATAGTTGCGATCGAAGAATGTCTTGAACAAGATCAGTGCCATCGGCTGTTGAATGAAATTTCAATGGTTCAACAGAGACAAATTGGACAATTAAAGTTTTCCGTTCTAAATCAAGAAAACGTGACGCCATCACTGACTGACTTGTTACTCTTCTCGATCTAATCGATTGTTATATGAATCAAGTTTTCAAATAAATGCAACAATTAAAAATTTTCATTACAAAACATAAACCAAAACAGATCAAGACAAACGACGAGAATTTCTTCTCGAGGTGTCTAGCCAATCAATTCTCATCAATCCAACTTGGTCACGCTTGGTCACACTCATTTCGAAAAGAAAAATCGTTGAAAGAGAAAAAAATCTCGCTTGTCATCGATCACCGTAAGTGAGAATCAGTGTCATCAACGATCGTATCTCTCGTAGATATACATGTCTATGTACCAATCGTTTAGAACAGACGTAGAGCAAAACGACAAGGTTAATGGACATTTTCACATTGAACTCACATACATTAAATATCAAAATGAAAAAAAGCAATTTTATGCCGTGTAATGTCAACAAATTTTTCTTGCTTATTGAATAGTTATTTAGAAGTCGTAGTGAAATTCGCAACTACCCAAAAGTTTGCTTAGGTGATCTGTAATTTGTTTTCCGTAATCGGATTAGAAAATAATACGATAATGAAAGTGTTTTTTACGAATTAATTAGAACATATCGAACGTTTATGGTACTTTGTTAATCAAAGATAACCCACTTGCGTCAACACTTTTTGACATATTTTTCATGGGATTAACTCTCGACCTATAATGAACGTTCATTCTCAAGTAACGCGTTTGATTTTATCAATTGTTGCTTTGTGAACGAGAATCATCAAAACAAATTTGTTCAATCATCCTCCTTCATTGAATCGATACAGATTAAATCGCAAACATTTACACACACACACACACATTGATCAATGTCATCAATTGATCAACATTTTCAAATAGTCACACAATGGTCAGACCCACTAGAGACATGAGTAAAAGAGTAAACCGTGTCTGATTACTTCTCAATGAATTCAGTTAAGAAGTACTGTCTAATTACATAAATTTTAGCACGTTCGTCCATCTGACGAACAAGATCTATGAAAGTCTTGTTACATATCACGTAGATTTCAATGAAGTACTGAAAAGCAGTAAGAACAAACATCCTTTTAATCACGCATGCATAACAGTGACGTGAACAATCATCACACTGCGAACTGAGTAGATAGTACACACGTACATGATCTTGAATTCTATATTTTGAAATAAGACTGTTACTGATAGATGAATTCTATTTGTTTATTGTTCTTGAGAAAGATTCTCTTACTTCGAATGTAATACATCGATTGTTTGTGTGAAGACTTGTGTACAAATAAATGAACATGTAAATGCAGTTTATTCTTGTCAATAAAGGAGTGTGATGACATTGAGCACGAAAATAAAAATATTTGCTTATATTACTGTCTAAATACTCAAATGTTCTATAGAGAAATCTTTATGACTGAACGAGGAGAAAAAAATCTATGAGAATATAAAGGATAATTCAAATCAGGAAAAGATCTATTTAGTTGAATCAATACCGATAATGAATGTTTCGCTGAATGAACCATCTTCAGTGTCAAGTTTTTCTATCAATCGAATTCTTTTTATTCTGCTCATTTGCATAACTATTCCAAGCGTATTTATTAATCTTTTTGCTTTATATCGATTGAATTACAACAAGAAATCAAGTGTTTTAACATTTCGTCTCATTCTTTATGTTTGTTTATTCACAAATTGCACATGTGTACCGCTATTTCTGTTCGAACTGTATTTTAACCAATAATTTCCCTTTTCGTCGCTCGTATGTAAAATCTGGTTAATATTTGATTATTCATCGATTGTTTCTCTTGGTTTACTCGTTTGTTGGACATCAATTCAACCCCATATACTCATCTTCGGACAGATGCATTTGAAGAATGGCAATCAACATTGAGATTTAAACTGATTCCGTATTTTCTGACGATAAGTTTGCCAATTGTATGATATTCAATACTTGTGTCCACATGTATATACGAACGAACGTTCTCACAAACATTTGAATGTCGATCGTCCTTTGAAAATTGTAAAATTGTATTTCATTCGTTTACGCTTAACAGTTCTTCGTTTACACCCAAAACGTTGGTGTCGATGTAAACGTTTAACACGGCAAATTTTACTGTTTTCCTCGATTTATCTCGTCGGTCTTGTGCCATATGTTCTCACAAATTTGAACTTTTATAAAATTTTTGACCATTGATGAACTCGCCATGGTGTATCCAAATTTCCGATGCATTTACATATGTTCCTTGTTGTTTCTCATCGTTCTTAAGTATATACGCATTTCCGAATATTTGGGCAAATCCAAAAGCTCATCATCACCACTATCACCATAGAAACAGACGAAGAACGAAAGCGTCTGTAATTAGTACATTGATTTCGTCGCCAATAGTGATCTCGAGTCAAATATAATTGTTCAAATTGAACCTGATATTCAATATTTATATGAATCAAAGAGACAAAAAATGGTAAAAATTCTAACGAATATTCGCTGCGTTTTCTAACCAAACCAACGCCGACTATGATCCCAAACAAAAAGTGAAACAGCGTTTAAAAGAAATGCACGTGTAGCTATTGCTGTCCAGCCGCAATAAAACGCGTGTATACCATTTTCTATTCGATAGATTTCCACGAGACATTGTCCTAAGTTCTTATTTGTATAGCCAGCTTGTTGTTTACTTTTACATATATCAACCGGACAGGCCAATGTCCAACTGATCACTCCAACGGTACCACCTGAGATGAATCCACCGAGAAATTCACTACTGAGTAGTTCGTGTAAATAGTCTCGTAGTGGATCGTAAATCATCATGTAAATGCCTGGAAAAGATATGATGATTGCTTTGGAGGGTGTCAATTGTGATAAACTCAACTAAGCTCGATTAGTTTGTCAGATTTGTTGAAGAAAAAAAAGTTTTTTTAGTCTTAAACAGTCTTCTTCTCTTTGATAAGAAAGTCATTTTGAATTCTTACCGTATGTAGGTGTATCTCGCCAAATAGTTGCATGTAAACCACGAGAAAGACCTCGAATACCTTCAGTTTGAAGCACATGTCGAAGTACTTGATAAAAATTTGCTTCCTGTTGGTGAGCTGAACGAAATGAAGAGTAAAAAATGAATTTTTTCTCGAAATAAATCTTACTTGTTGTCTGAAGACGAATCTTGAGTAACTCTAAAACACTTGAAGGAAATGATTGAACGAGTCCACCGAAGCAACCAGCAACGAAATTGTCAAATAATGTTATTGACGCACGATTATCTCGATTACAACCCAACATACGAAGACAGCTTGCATAAGAACCATAAAATGCCGTTTGAGATGCACATTGTGTTAATAAATGTGGTGCGACACCACGATAAAAGCCTTGAATCTACATTGAATTTACAAAACAAAATCATATTCTTCTAAGTGTATACTTTCTCATACAGAATTCAATTGAATAATTGATTTCACAGCTCCAGGAATACTATGCGTTGAATGATATTGCATAGTCACTTTAAGTGTATCGATTGGATGTGAAACTAATGTACTAATTACACCTGAAAACAACTGAGAATTTCTTTTTTGATCAGCTAACAAAATAATCTTACCAGCGAATAGTCCTGCTGCAAAATCCTTCATAATTATTTTCTTATATAGAACGAAATGTCGATATTATTTGTCGACTGCTCACTTGTTTTATTATCAAATCTGTTTTCTTTTTCTTTTCTTATTCCACTATCTGTTTATCTGTAGATGACATGGACATTCTGATATAAATGATAAGACTATATCGTTTGATCCACATATCTTTGAGCTTTTTAAATAGAATATTACCATGACTGGTCGAGAAAACATTTGACCTATTGATCAAAGAGAAGTTCATTGGAAAAATTAGGACTTGGCATCGCCGAGAAAGGTCATAGGTAAGAAAGATTTCATAAATATGTATTAGTGATATCCGTCAGGTAAAATGACATTCTTTTCATATATTTTTCTTATCTTAGTTATATCATAACCACTTTTAAATATAAAACTCTCTCTCTCTACTCAATGCTCCTTAATTTCCATGAATTCCATGATTCGGATAGCGAAAATCTCGTTTATTACGTGTTGAGAAACATCAATGGACAGGTATTTTATTCGACATGTTGAAAAAAAATCTTAAACGTATAATAGACGAACACGTGATGATTGTATTTCCGCATCTCCATCGTAGAATTTTGTTTCGATCACCACATTTCCACTAGAAAACAAAATTCAATACAAAAACCCAAACATTCGTATTTTACTTGAGTAGATTAGCTGGTATCATATTATTCTCTGCTCCTTCAATTAACGATTGCCAAGTGTTTGTCGATTCAGGTATGACAAATCCGAAGGAAAATGCCCATTCTAATTTCGTAATCAGGATTTATTAGAGAAAAGAATGATAATCTTACCTTCGATAATAACATGTTTGAAATAGACACGTTGTTCTAAACGGAAATCTTTCATTGCATTTTTGGATGAAAAATTGATTTCTCGTGACACCGCGCGACATCGAAGTATTGATTTAGGTACTCGTGCTTCATGTTCAGTGCCCGGTTTCGATCTAAATCGATACCAGATGCTCAATAAAAACACTAGACAGATCATTTTACACTTACAGATCATCGTCAGATTGCCAAAGCAATTTTCCTGAATCTGCATCACGTAAATTCATCGAATTCAATTTGAATCCATTTGATGAACTTGCAACTGTGTAAGAACTAGCCATCTAACAGAAACTACACACTTTACTCAACTGAATTTGATTCTCGTAATTCTTTTGTTTCTTCCAAGTACACCTAGGAAATAGAATTCATCTACTTCCTTACAAGAATTTCAGCCTGCCATCCTTCTTTTCTTCTTCCGTTCTTCTTATTCTGTGTCACTATTGACAAGTTTTGACTCGAGAGCGACCTCAGGTTAGATTTTATTGGTTTATTTCTTAAACCATTGATATCATGCAACATTGATATGGATTGTTTACTTTTTCTTTTTCAAATCATTCATATTCTTTCAATCAAGACAAAAATGCGATATCTTTATGTGTTATTCTTCATCATTCATCAATGTTATTCCGCAGGAATTATGGATAATGTGATATTTGCGGTGAACTGTGGTGGTGATTCACACATAGATGCGAACGGTACAATTATACAGGATGAAAAGTGTTGATTAATATGTTTTTTCATTTGAATAGGCATAAGATATCGAAAAGATTTTCTCAAAAGTGGAATTGCGTCGGATTATGGACGAAGTTTAAGTATTAGTCGTGTTCCAGTTGAAGATATGATCATCTATCAAACTGAACGATATGATTTACAGAAGTTTTCGTATGAAATTGAACTTGCTGATGATGGTGACTATGTTCTTTGGATGAAATTCGCTGAAGTTTGGTTCAATGGAGCGAATATGAAAGTTTGTTTCTCATCAACACGAAAACAATCTTTTCATCTGGATAATTTAGGTTTTTCAAATTGTCTTAAACGACGAACATGTTATTCTTGAGGAATTTGATATATTTTCCAAAGCTGGTCGAGCAACTGCACATGACGAATATATTCCATTTCAAATAAAGAACGGTCGTCTAGTTGTTAAATCTCGTAGTTCTTCGTACTCAGGAACTTTGAAAGTTACTTTTCAAAAACTTGATCATAGAGATAATCCCAAAGTCAATGCACTGATCATTTGGAAAGGATCGGTCGATCGTACGTATAGAACATTTCTTGTTGAGATAGTCTTCTCATTGGATTGTGTCTTTTATTTAAGAAATACCGAAGTTATCTGCTATACCCGAACCGGAACAAGTTGAAGAGCCTGTACGTGAAGAATATGATGAACCACCAGCGAAAGCAACGAAAGTTCAACGAAATTTGAAAACCAGTGGACCAAAAGTGGTCGATCCCTATGCCGAAGATCAATCTAGTTACCTAATTCCTTTCTTAGCTGCAGTAGTTGCTGTTATTCCTGTTATTTTTTGTTTATGTCGTCTTTAACGCAATATTCGCACTTTCATAACAACAAGCATAACAAAATCAAATAACGTTTTTCTTCTTTCTCTTTCTTTCCATCAACATGATTAGTAGTTTCAACGGTTATCTTATCGAACAGTTCATGATAAAAAAAAAAACGACTCTTTTTGATAGGAACAAAAGAAAACTAACGAACTCTGAGTTTTTTCTGCTTAGACGCGTCGATCACGAACGACAGGTGCTTATTTTAACGTCAATCTTCTTCTTGCCAGTATTCATATAAATGTATGTCGTTGTTTAAAAACAAATTGAAATAAACAAAATCTAGGCACACTTGATTTACACTGTCTTGGCACTGATTACAGCCCAAGGATTCGTTGGAGCAACAGCTGGATGTTGAAGATGCTTATGGACAATAGTGATTGCACGATCTTCGCTACGCGATTTTCCTAATGCGATCAAAATGTTTAGAACATCGTTTGTACAGTTGGGATTGTCCCAAATATCTAATTGTCTGAGATGTTGACATCCAGAGACGAGACGTACGATGGCGTCACCGGTGTAATTCTGATTGCCCGAAAGGATCAGATGAAGAAGATTCTCGGAATAATATTTCGTTAAATTATCCAATGTACGGTCAGTTAAATGCCGACAATATGACAAATCAAGAGATTCAATCAATGGACATTTCTAAATGAGAAAAGTTCTTTTCGCTTAAAATCCAGATGAGCGATTTACTCGAATTAGTTGTTCACAATAATGGTCATTGAGAATATAACCACAACCTTTCAATGAAAGAACCCTTAAATTTGGACATTTGGTATATACAGCTCGGATTCCTGATTCTAAAAATGATCTAAGTGTATATTTTTCGCAGTGTTAACGAAGAGATACGAACCAGTAAGATAAATTCCATCGAGATCTAAATGCTCCATTGTTCCTGATAATATTCCTTGTAAAGTTCTGCTTGTTAATTTTCCATTTCGTTTAATTCGATGAATAACTTCACTGTGAATATATAAGACAAATGTATTTCCTCTATTCGACAAGATAGACTAATTACTTAATAAGAAATTCATCTGGAAATCCTTCAAAGTCATATTTATCAATATTCTGACAAACGTATTCTAACGCCAAGTCTAATAAACGACGAATTTGTGTTTGTCCATGAAAAGGGTTCTAAAAAATCAAAATCAATTTTCTCCAACAAACAATTTCGAGAAACTTTACTCGTTCAAATTTTCGTCCATAAGCCGCTCGAACATAAATTCCATTCGGTCGTGTCTCCCATTGATATCTCGGTGTTTTTCTGTATGAATACGATGTTTGAATCTCACCAAGTAATTCATTTTCTGTATATTCACTCAATAGCGGAATTTTCGCAAGTGCAGATAAGAAAATCCAACCTTATAAAAAGCCCAACACAATCGAAATGAAATTTCTCGCAAAAACTCTAACATACCTTCATCTACTTGTAAACCTTCTTTTTCTGCTCCATATCGAAGTACATAAGCTAATCGTTTCCCTAGCTTCAATTGTCGTCGTTCATATTGTTTCACTAACTGCATATTATCTTTATGTTCATGGTGTCTCTCAATCGTGTCTGTTATTGATAACATTGGTAAATTTGTTTATTTCAACACGCACGCACAAGAAAAAAATTACAAAAATCGACCTTTGTTTGTCGTATGGTGACTTATATACTACTCATGAGAAGAACGAGGAAAAAAACATTGACGCATGGATGATGCAATGACAGTATTTCATAGATTACTTGCAACTCGACAAAATTCACTACGCATTGAGAAACGGCCAACTGCACTGTGATTTGCCCATGAAAGTTGGTTACACGGAACGCCAGAACTACATTGAGGATCTGCACCACCGTTACAATCTTTCCATATGACTTGAGTGGTATTCATCACCCATTTTTCATTGGAGTATTGCGGTTGTACACACTCTTTACAGCCAATGTGGGGAACAAGATCGTTTCCATTCACAGTACGGACGTAACGTTGACTTGGTGTATCGAATTTTGTTGTGACCTGATTGACAAAGCTTGCTGAACCGAGTAAAGGTTGACCAAAGGTATAAATCGCTGATAAACGTGAATTGATATCATTAAGACCTATGAAATATGCCGCATTGAGAAACGCCCATGATGCGCCCAATGAATGACCGACGACAACGAAAGAAAATGATGGAGACGAATGTTGTTGCAGAATTTTACGAAGAGCAGTTACAATTGGTATCTTTTCATGTCGAAATCTTGTATAAAAACCACTATCAAGATAAACATCTTTCGATTGAAGTAGATAAGGAAAATCACCAGTGAGCTGTCCGTGTGAATTATGTATTCTACCTCGATTAAGATCGTCGTAAACATCGTTCTACAATCATAAATAAATAAGTTTTCAAAGGAATATTTCATATGAAACATACTCGATTCGATGATCGTGTTCCTCGATGAACAAGAATAATCGATTGTTGAGGAATATTTACAGCGATGTACCAATATAACACATTGTATTTATCGAAACCAGTCGCTGCAATTGTAAAGTTCCCAACACGAAGGTTTTTTCCCGACATTTTTACTATCGATGAAATGTCCGAAGGTGAATTAAGTATACTTGATTTGCAATACACCATTGCTTGATATTCAGCCATTCGAAGAATTGTGTCGGGATCTAGATATGAGATAATAGACGAATCGTTTTGCTTGAATTTGTTGTGGCGATTTACCTCGGAGATTCATTTGTCGAAATGGAATGGAATTTTTTGTATTCGTTCGATAATTTCCATCTGGAAATGTACTTTGCCACGCAGCGGTGATCGCATCGACACTTCGATTTTGAAAAGGTGATTTTCCCATTTCATTTTTATAAGTATTCTAAAAAGACATAAAAGTTTTTCATAATATCTTTATTATATTTCATCCCTTACAAGCAAATCGTGCATATCACATTTCAATCGATTCAATTCCGTTTCCAAACCATGAACTTTCCTGAATAACTTCGCTGAAACACCATTCGTACACAAGACAAGACATACAAAAATACACGCCCACGTCATTTGCACTACAAAATCACCGTCAAGTTATGTTACAATTCTAATGGCAGTGATATAAATATATAGTGATTCATGTAACCTATGTACTTTTTCGGTTCTTACAATTCATTTACTGTCCGCGTATTATACAATGTAAGAAAAAAAAGGCGACGACAACTGCAGTCGACGACGAACTGGGTAGACTGTTTAATAGAATAAATTACACTTTACAATATACAAACGAATCAAAGATGACTCATTTTCGTAAACACGGGTGTTTTGTGCACAAAAAAAACTCTATCTTTAGAATTTATCACCCACGATAAAATGATACGATCGTTCTTTTGATCGTTTGTAGTGAGCTTCACCTTGTCACTTTTCCTTCACGATCCAGATCACTAAATTGAAGATTAATCTTCTAAACACATTACGGGAAAACCTTCATTTGTCAATACAATTAACAAATGTCAGTGACTATGTTTTCAAGTGATACGAAAAAGGTGTCATAAGCTGTATAACAATTGTCTACGACATTTCTTGATAAGTTTTCCCTGGTTTACAAATTTCGAACATTGAGAAAACTAAAATTAATATTGGTTTAAAATAATTTCCATTCTTTCGTTCGATTTGCAATGGAGCTCAGATATTGAACAAGCTCGTTTCATTAGTTGACGATTAATTGGCTATTGATTGTAATTGAACGAATTAAGTAGAAAATGTTTCTTCGAATTTCATTGGTTCCGATCGTTGACTGTTTTATCTTAAACGACGAATGCTCATTTTCGTCACTTCTCTCTCTTTCTCTCTTTAATTGTTTTGTTTATATTGAAATATTCAACAAGGAAAACATTCACATTACTCATTCTGATCTTACCTAGTTTGTTGTCTAACCGATCGAACGCGAAATATCTTCTTTTTACACAATGCAATCGACTCCTAACAATGGTAAACGACTAGCATTGGACAATGTTATGTAATATTCACAGTTTGATTTGATTCCTTTTAGTTTATTATCGAACACACGGTGAATATGATTTAATTATGAGTAATAAATATCAACTTCATGATTCGGGTATCGTCGATGAAGGTCTTTCGGATGAAACGGGTTCGATCGGAGAAGATTTGAATAATCAGTCAAGTAAGGATCAATCGAAAGAAATGAGATTCTGGATTGTACATTCTATTTAAAGATGAAAACGATGGTCCAAAAAAACCAAGTCAATCGTATTTGGAAATTATCGCTGAAGCGATCTTGAAGTCACCGAATCGAATGATGCAATTGTATGAAATCTATGATTATTTTCAACGAAAGTATGTAGATTTATTTACGAAGATATCTAAATTCATGGAAATTTTATTTTAGATATCGATATTTCGCTGAAGATGTGAATAAATCTTGGAGAAATAGTGTCCGACACAACTTATCATTAAACGAATGTTTTGTCAAAGCTGGTCGTGGAAATAATGGCAAAGGTCATTGTAAGTACTTCATAAAGCGATCTGTCAGATATGAAAGAAAGATTTTTGTTCAGTTTGGCGTATTCATGAGTTAGCGGAAGTCGAATTTGAACAAGGCCGTTTTCGTCGACGTCGTTATCGTCAACAAATACGACAACTACATATGCAACCTCCACCAGTACACCAATCGTCTTACACATCACATCAACCACTTCCCAATTACTATCAATCTCCTCCGCATCCATATTACATGTGTTCTTCATCTCCACCATCATCATATCATGCAATGTATTCGACACCAAATACGTCCATAGATTCGCATTCAATGAGTTCCTCAACACCGAATTCGTATGCACTGTATGATCCATATCAAACATCTTATTATCCAACCGCGTATCATTCGATGACTTCGTCTTATTCAAGTCCAAATCAATCCGTTAGTTATGAAACAGAATGAAAGACTTTCTTGAATGGTTTTATTTCGTAGAATTGTGTGTATATTTTTGTTCATAAAAAATAAAATCGCAGAAGAAAACATGCATTTACGTTTGATACTCATCAAGAAAACATGAGCAGAAATAATAAGCATGATAATCTTGAAAAACAATTAGTTCGAGGCCTATTAATGGAAGAAGAAGACGTTCAAACAGAAGAAAAGAGATAGCGTGAAATCGTTGTTGTCTTCCTCTTCTCTAATGACACATTCCTTTCTACTGTCGGCATAGAACAAAATGACTTATCGAATAAAACAAACTCTACCTCACGGCTGTTTTTGTTGTTTCACACTTAACTCAATGCTCTGACTCAATAAAACAAACAACAGCAGGGAGCATACTTGGCTTCACACTCGAGAGGTTAATCCAATATTTTCGATTTATTTCTGAAGAAAATTTCAAATGAAAAAATGTCAATTTTAGTCAAAGTTTAGGAATGATAACGAGTTGAACACTTCGAATTCGCAAATTGCTTGTTCGAGGAAATCAAAATCAACCTAAATGATCAACATCGGAATGAAAGATCTTATCATCTTCGATGACACATGTTACTTCTAATTTTTGAATACTCTAAGCGATTGGAATTCGTTTCGCTAAAGGAAGAGAAATCGATCAGATATATTCGGTGGTTCTCTGTTCGAGACTTACATCGACCTCAAAGTAAACCATCAACTTGAATGGATCTTTGGGTGTACTCCATAGTATCTAAATCGATTGTGTCATCCACAGGATTAACGTGGAGTATCGTTACAATTTTCCTGCTTTCTAAATAAAAAAGAAAGTACAGAATAAAGTCAGATTTCGTCTAATCTATCAGTAATCGCGAAATTGTAATGAAAATAAAAGATTCCTGGAAAGGCATCTTCTTTTGAAAATGTTTAATCAATCAGTTTCATACTTACAAATAGTGTGTAGTGCGTTTGTTCGGCTGGATCTACTTCATTTGTTGAAAACCCGTTATTAACGTGCATCATAGGTTCTGCTATGATTTAGTTGCAATATATTTAATTCGTGAAAAAAGAAACGGATTTTGTTGATTCAAATATTCATTCATTTTATAACGCAAATTTTCGCAATAATTACAACTTAGCAAAAACTTCGTTAGTAACCGGTACGATCTACGTCGAGGAGAACAAAATTCATCAATAGATGACAGCACCTTCTTTCCTATACTAATTGGAGGAGAGAATTCCCAATAACACATCCTCCAATTTCGCAAAACGGGAAAAGAGACAGACACGATTCAATATCTCACACTCATATGACTTGTTTCTTTCTAGAAAGAGCGCTTAGCAATCGTTTCCGTATAAGCAGTATCATTTGAGTACATTTTCTTCTAGAAATATGCGATTGACATATGTTGTGTTTCAGATAATATGAAACGAAAATGTGAACTAGATCAAGGAAATGAAAGATTGAAGAAATTTACCATTGATTGCAATGAAACAAGTTTTCAAATCAACCAACATAGCATTTTCGATAGGAATACATTCTCACAAAACGAACAAATAAAAACTCATGCCGGCGAAGAAATGGAGCAAGAATATTCATTAGAACGAATGGAAGCTCTCGATCCCAAAGTTCAATATGTAAGAAAAATATTTTTAGTGAACATAAACATTGATTTCTTCTCGATTAGAATGTTAATAACAATTGCTTTTATATACAAAATGATTCTGTTGAATCGGATATATCCAACAATATTGAAGATTATGATCATCATGAGTTCGACGAAATCAGTGCATTAAAATCTTTATTGACAATCATGCATCCGACTGAAACTATTCTCTATACCATCAAACGTCTTCGAGTAGCTGCCACCAAGTAAACGAATTCTTTATATCTTGATGTTGACTGAACTATCGTGTTTTGTAGTAATAGATTTAAACAACGTGCAAAGCAACAGCAGTTCTTGTTGAGTGATTTAACTTCAGAAGAATCGACAAAGAATAAATATTTACTTGAAGAAATCACTGGTCTTGTGGATCGATTTGTATCTAATGGTCAACCTGATATATATCACGAAACTTATGAACAGTTGAAAGCGAAATTGAATCCGTAGAATCAACAGGTAAACGAACGATGTTAATCTATTGGCAAAATCTGATCTTTAAACAATTCGCTGATGACACAAGTGCAATTTACAATCAAAAAATGTTTTTTTGTTAGTTTTTTTTACGTTTTTATTTTTTGAATATACATGCAGTGTTTGAGAAGGAGAGAAATAGTTTAATCATCCTTTTTAGTCCGATCTTAACAGCACCCATTCAGAGACGGAGTGAGGAGTTGGACGAGGACAAGACATTTAGTTTAACACATTCCTACGAACACAGTGAACGATGGACAATGAAAACACAAAACATATGACATGAAAGACAAGACAAAAGACGTGGACACAAGAAGAGGGAAAAACATAGATGAATGAGTGTGGACGGATGAAAATGTATAAATATAAAACTAGAAAAAGAAAATCGATCGATTTAAGCTGGAGAGGAGATAATTAAAAGAGGAAAAAAGGACAAGATGTTACAATGCATATAAAAAACTCCTTCTCCATACCAGATGAAAAAAAAATAGAGTCATTCGAATCATTCGGCATGCTCAGTTAAACACGGGGTGGTGATGGACGTGGTGGTGTTGGTGGACGTGCCGATTGTTGCATTTTAGCTAATTGTTCGAGGGTTGGTCGAGCCTTGTGAATAGCTTCAACGTATGAGTATCCGAGGAGTTTTGGTTGAAATTCGACGGGCATAAGACGAATTAATTGTTGTTCAGGTTGAAGATAATCGTAGACGCGAATGCGAATTGGTGCCCATTGGTCAATGAATGATAAACGTTCGAGACACCAGTCAAAACAGATTTCTTTACCGTACATGGTTGATGGAACGGTAAGGAAGAAGTTGAATTTGTTGAGGCGTGTATCAAATGTGAAGTACATCATTTCTGGAACTCGGCTTAAGAAGAATCCAATTTGACGAAGGTTGACACGTGTTCCTAATGAAAGAAAAAAAAAACGAATATCACGATTAGATAAGAGATCAATTTGTCTTTGAAATTTACCTGTTGGGAGTTGAACTTCAACGACGATTGTGCGGTTGAATGTATCTTTGATTAATTGTTTGTCTTTTACTGATGGTGTATAGGTGACACATGTATGGGTGGTAATTTCACTGAGCCATGGCATTGGCATAAATTCGTTCTTGAGTTGGAATGGAGCTGGTGGGTTCATTGGTTGTTGTTGTTTTTCAAAATAAACTTGACGAATGAGAACACCGGCAACACCGAAGCCACTGACTGTGTAGGTGATTTCATTGACTGGTAATGTGAAACGAAGTTTTTGTGTGATGTCCATGTTCTTCGAGTCAATCTTGAATTGATGTTTTTGTCCCTTGTCAGTTGAAACATCGACGGTGATGGCGAATTTTTCTGGTGAGAATCGTCGACGGAAGAGACAGTCAGTTCGGAGCCAAGCTTCAGTGTGGAAGACAGCATCTAAAACTGTGTCGTATTGTGGGTGTTTGTCCATTTGATCAACAATCCAACGAGCCATGTCTGATGTTGTTTTGATGTCACCGAATGAACTGTACATTGAGAGGATCATAGCGTTGACTAAGACTTCATCTTCTGGTAACATGTTTTCTTCAGTATATTTGAAGAATCGTGATTCATCGCCAGGTACAGTTGTCAAAGCACGAGCACGAACATCTTCGAAGATTTTCATGCGTTTGTCTTCTGGCATGACTGGGCATTGAATAAGAGCCAATTGCATTAATGTTGTAGTTAACACTGATGATTTGACGGCATCGAAACGTGATTCTAAGAAACGTTGAGCACGTGCGACTGGACTTTGTTCACCCAAGTACAATTGACGGTGGATGAATTCAGGTGCGTATTCGGAGATGTTGTTGTATGTCATTGTATATAAAACAAGAGCTGTTAATGATTCGCGACGGAATTCACCTGAGCAGAATCGGTAGTGTAAACATGAACCTTCATCATCGAATGAACCATCTTGTTGTTGGCGTGATAAGATGTATGATAATGTACGGTTGAGTGTAACATTGTCACGGACTGTCATGAATGGTGACATGATAGCACCGAAAGCGAATGTTGATAAGTAGAGTGATGAGATTTGTTCACCTTGGTCAGAAATGAACGAGAATGAACCGTCATAAGCGTTATAGAGTTGGAGTTTTTGGTAGGCGGCTGAGATATTTCCAGCGACTTGCATGGCAAGTGGTGTTTGTAATTGTGCTGTTTCGTTGAGATAACGAGCAAGACCAGTTAAACGCCAGAGACGAATGAGAGCAAGGTCAATACCCATTAATGAGTTGGTTTCAGATGTGTATCGTTCAACGAGACGATCGAGACCAGTGCCTGAACGAAAAATCAAATCAAATAGATATCGTTGAAATATGACGAAAGGTAAGATATATTTTACCTGAGACTGAGAATCGAATTGATCGAAGGAATGGTGATGGGGTCATTTTTTCAACAATTTTACCAGATGATTCCTTGCCATTGGTTAAGTCGAAAACGCGAGCAACTATTTCTTGACGTTCAATACCTGATTCACGTACGTAGCTTGTTAAAACTTCATAATCACCACCGAATTCCGATTCAACTTCAAGGACGATCTTGACAACGCCGGCGCGTTTTGGTACAAGAACGATATGACGTGTGAGTGATCCGAGGGCTGGGAGTGTTGGAATGGTCATTGTGTAATCTTTGCTGTTGCTTGATGTACTACGTTCAGATGGGTTCATTTCGATAANGAATGAGTGTGGACGGATGAAAATGTATAAATATAAAACTAGAAAAAGAAAATCGATCGATTTAAGCTGGAGAGGAGATAATTAAAAGAGGAAAAAAGGACAAGATGTTACAATGCATATAAAAAACTCCTTCTCCATACCAGATGAAAAAAAAATAGAGTCATTCGAATCATTCGGCATGCTCAGTTAAACACGGGGTGGTGATGGACGTGGTGGTGGTGGTGGATGTGCCGATTGTTGCATTTTAGCTAATTGTTCGAGGGTTGGTCGAGCCTTGTGAATAGCTTCAACATATGAGTATCCGAGGAGTTTAGGTTGAAATTCGACGGGCATAAGACGAATTAATTGTTGTTCAGGTTGAAGATAATCGTAGACGCGGATGCGAATTGGTGCCCATTGATCAATGAATGATAAACGTTCGAGACACCAGTCAAAACAGATTTCTTTACCGTACATGGTTGATGGAACGGTAAGGAAGAAGTTGAATTTGTTGACGCGTGTATCAAATGTGAAGTACATCATTTCTGGAACTCGGCTTAAGAAGAATCCAATTTGACGAAGGTTGACACGTGTTCCTAATGAGGAAAAAAAACGAATATCACGATTAGATAAGAGATCAATTTGTCTTCGAAATTTACCTGTTGGGAGTTGAACTTCAACGACGATTGTGCGGTTGAATGTATCTTTGGCTAATTGTTTGTCTTTTACTGATGGTGTATAGGTGAAACATGTGTGGGTGGTGATTTCACTGAGCCATGGCATTGGCATAAATTCATTCTTGAGTTGGAATGGAGCTGGTGGGTTCATTGGTTGTTGTTGTTTTTCAACATAAACTTGACGAATGAGAACACCGGCAACACCGAAGCCACTGACTGTGTAGGTGATTTCGCTGACTGGTAATGTGAAACGAAGTTTTTGTGTGATGTCCATGTTCTTCGAGTCAATCTTGAATTGATATTTTTGTCCTTTGTCAGTTGAAACATCGACGGTGATGGCGAATTTTTCTGGTGAGAATCGTCGACGGAAGAGACAGTCAGTTCGGAGCCAAGCTTCAGTGTGGAAGACGGCATCTAAAACTGTGTCGTATTGTGGGTGTTTGTCGATTTGATCAACAATCCAACGAGCCATATCTGATGTTGTTTTGATGTCACCGAATGAACTGTACATTGAGAGGATCATAGCGTTGATTAAGACTTCATCTTCTGGTAACATGTTTTCTTCAGTATATTTGAAGAATCGTGATTCATCGCCAGGCACAGTTGTCAAAGCACGAACACGAACATTTTCGAAGATTTTCATTCGTTTGTCTTCTGGCATGGTTGAGCATTGAATAAGAGCCAATTGCATTAATGTTGTAGTTAACATTGATGATTTGACGGCATCGAAACGTGATTCTAAGTAACGTTGAGCACGTGCGACTGGACTTTGTTCACCCATGTACAATTGACGGCGGATGAATTCAGGTGCGTATTCGGAGATGTTGTTGTATGTCATTGAATATAAAACAAGAGCTGTTAATGATTCACGACGGAATTCACCTGAGCAGAATCGGTAGTGTAAACATGAACCTTCATCATCGAATGAACCATCTTGTTGTTGGCGTGATAAGATGTATGATAATGTACGGTTGAGTGTAACATTGTCACGGACTGTCATGAATGGTGACATGATAGCACCGAAAGCGAATGTTGACAAGTAGAGTGATGAGATTTGTTCACCTTGGTCAGAAATGAACGAGAATGAACCATCATAAGCGTTGTAGAGTTGGAGTTTTTGATAGGCGGCTGAGATATTTCCAGCGACTTGCATGGCAAGTGGTGTTTGTAATTGTGCTGTTTCGTTGAGGTAACGAGCAAGACCAGTTAAACGCCAGAGACGAATGAGAGCAATGTCAATACCCATCAATGAGTTGGTTTCAGATGTGTATCGTTCAACGAGACGATCGAGACCAGTGCCTGAACAAAAAATCAAATTGAATAAATATCTTTGGAATATGTCAAAAGGTAAGAGATATTTTACCTGAGACTGAGAATCGAATTGATCGAAGGAATGGTGATGGGGTCATTTTTTCAACAATTTTACCAGATGATTCCTTGCCATTGGTTAAGTCGAAAACGCGAGCAATGATTTCTTGACGTTCAATACCTGATTCACGTACGTAGCTTGTTAAAACTTCATAATCACCACCGAATTCTGATTCAACTTCAAGGACGATCTTGACAACGCCAGCGCGTTTTGGTACAAGAACGATATGACGTGTGAGTGATCCGAGGGCTGGGAGTGTTGGAATGGTCATTGTGTAATCTTTGCTGTTGCTTGATGTACTACGTTCAGATGGGTTCATTTCGATGATTTCGAAGTCACTTGATGAACGGAGACGAACGACGACTTTGGTTAAATCTTTGCCGAGGTAGTTGTTGACACCGTATGTCAAAAGAACACGTTCACCGATTTGAACTTGATCTGGGAAGCTGCCGAGAATGTAGAGACCTTGGTTGGTTGGAAGACGAACTGGTTGAGCAACAGCTAAACCTTTCTTAGCGTTAAGAGCGAATCCAGTAGCAATCCATGTTGAATATGGTTTGGTTCGTGGAAGAACAACTTTGCCTGTACCTTGAGCTTCAATACGGCTTGTGTTGAAGAAGATTGAACGGTAATAACCAGTGCGGGATTGTTCTTCGAGCATAGCTGGTGGTGGAATCATGGTCAAGTCAGATGCAGCGAGGTATTCTTCAAGTAATTGACGAGCTTCATCGCGAACGCTGAATGATTGAGTATCAATAAATGATCGTTGACGCATTTGTGAGAATAATTTGGTTAAGTTTGTTCGTCGCATTTCAGCTGGAAGGTTTAATGCAGAGAAGTCAGAAACAACTGTTAAACCTGATTGCATGAAGGTGAATGCTTCTTGTGTGATTGGTGTCAATTTGCTGTGCATTTTTTCGTACCATGATGGAGTACCGTGTTGACGTGATTGTCCTTGTTCGAGTTCAACATCGTCTTTATCTTGTCGTTCTTCTTCTGGTCGCATGGGTGTAGCGCCTGGAGTTGGTTTGAAGACAAGTGGAGTGCTTGTAGCAACAACGTAGGCGTTGTCATCAACAATAGCATCGAATTGGCTTGATTTCATAGCACGGCGGCGATAGTGTGATTGTGGTCCTCGAGATTGAACATCACCATATAATTGTCCCATGTTTGATGTTGTGTAAGCATCATCACCTTCGACTGTCTTTGTTTGACGGGATGAGCAGTCACCGAAGATCATGCATTCGACTGGATAACGAACTTTGTATCCCTAAAAAAGAAATGATTTCGAATAATAATAATAATAGTCAGCAAGGCAAGACTTCAATCATACCATTTGTTCTTGAATCATCTTGCGTTCTTCACCTTCTTCGCTTAAGACAGCTCGTGTATGTTGATCGTTTTCTTCATCCTCATCATCATGTGTACCATCTTGACGTTTGTTCATTCCGCTTTGTCCTGTTGGTGTCATGACTGGCATACCGAGAATAGGTACTTGTTCGTATGATGTTAAATATTGGAGAACACGTTCTTTGGTCATTCGAGTTGATAAACCTTGAATAACGGCATCGTATTCCATAACATTGAGGCCAACAGTTGAGTCTGGTGTACCGGTGAATGAAAGTTCGATACGTTTTTTGTCTTGAGCAAGTTTGGAGAGTGGAACCGAGGTAAGATCAACATCTTCTGATGAACTGAAATCTTCGACTGATTCATCTTTGTTGTTACCGACCATTGCGTTTGTGAATGAATATGGAACAATTGTAGCATTCAATGTTAATGTACTTTGGAAGAGACCGGCAACTGAGAATCGGTATGTTTCAGCAACATTGAAACCGAATGTTGGTTGGAAGGTATAGACAAGTAAAGTTGAGTATGGAACCATATCACGTGTAACTTCGACTGGTAATGTACCGTTGAAGACACAAATTGGAGCTGATGGTTCTTCTGTTTTGATAGCACGTTTCATTGATCCGCATTCTTTTGTTGGCTTGATCCAAAATTGACCAGTGCGTGTGATACGACCATTGGTTAAAATGACGAAGGACATTGGTAATGGTTCAAATTTCTTCATTGTCTTAGCTGGAACTAATTGAATGTAGAAGTTTGTTGTACGACCAACAGTTGAGATTTGCGAGCTGATAACTGAAGCATCAGTTGAAACTGGAGCTGTCATTGCTGGTAAAAGTTCAATTGTCAATTTACCACCGCTAACACCACGTCGTGGTTTTGGCATAAGTGGAATAGCATGTGTACGATAGCCACGTACTTTACCATCTTCACTCAATGGTGTAATCTAAGCGAAAGAGAGTAAATATAAGAAATGAAAAAAAAAAACGAAAGTAGATAGTACTTACTGTCATGAGAAGACCAATGCAGTTTTCTGGGATTTCAACATTGAAGAAAGCAATATCATTGCGACCACTGAAAAAGAAATCAATATAAATAAACTGATACGAAGGAAATCTTCATTCATACCGTGTGTAGAAATCTTTGATTTCGACCATTTTTTGATCTTGGATTTTGCCTTGTTCATTACCAATCATCATTGTGAGTGTGACAATGACATCTTCCATTTTGGCTGGTTTACCATCTGGGCGTTTGGCAACAAGTTCGAATTCGTTTTCGAATCCAGCTTCGAATTCAAGTGGACGAATGTCATAAACAACATCACGTGAAAACACTGGAATGACATGTTGAATGAAACGTTCTTGGCCTGATTCAAGATCGGTGACTTGAACGTAAACTTGAACAGCAATGACTTTTGTGATATCAACGTTGAATAATGTCATAAGATCGTAGTTGATTTCAATACGGCCAGCAATGTCCATGGTTTGGGATTTCCATTTGCGCCATTCTTCAGCAACTGGTTCTGGTTTAGGTTTTTGTGTTGGATTGCGACGAGCTTCTTCTGCTTTTTCAGCTTGTTCTTTCATCATGTTTTGAACATCTTCTTCAGTGATTGCACCGACGGCAATTAAACCACGACCGAAGATTGGTTCGTTTTCGTCGTTGTCGATTTCAATAACACCACGAAGGAATTTGTCTGTACGGAGAAAGAATCGTTGGAAGATACCTTTAAGATCAAATGATGGAGTCATTGGACGGGTGACCATTACTTCAACAGATGATGTGGTATTGCCAATAGTAGCTGAAACGAGCCATGTACCAACATTGCAGTGTTCACCAATTGGAAAGATAATTGTGTCTGAAATGCCAGAACGAATTGGGACAATTGGAAATTCACCAACAAGTTTGAGGTTAGCATCGTAGATTTCAATTTCAGCAGCTGAGTTTTCAAGTGGAAGAAGTTCTTCATTGGTAGCAATGAGGCGCATTTCCATATCATCACCTGGGCGATAGCTGGATGATGATGTTTGAACGAGAAGAACATAACGGTTGTCATAGACAATAACGTCACGTTTATCTTCGAAACGAATACCGCCAGTTGCTGTGAAGATTAATTCAGCAGCACCAACTGGAAATTCCATTGGAAGGGTAATGGTGGCATTACGTGTTTCACCTAGAAGAGAACCGTGAGAGAAAAACTGAAATTCGAAATCGAAATGAACATACCGGCTTTGACTGTGGTTGAACCGCTGACGCGTTGTTGTCCGATAATTAATTCATACTTGACTTCAACTGGTTGTGAAGCCGCAGCAATAAAAACGGAAAGTTGATTGTCGAACCCAACTTTGAGAAGTTTAGGTGCGATAATAAGATACGAACTAGAAAAACCAGAAGATTTTATTGAATGTTGAACTTCGCAAGTGAAGGATTACTTTTCAGCAATGGCTACGCTTGATAACGCAACCAAACCGAGAATGATCAAAGACCACTAGAACACAGAAAGAAATCTTCGTCTAAGAAACTACACGATCGACTTTCTATACATACATTCATCTTTATGGTTGAAGAAAAGGAGTTGTAAAGTAAACTAACGCACAACAACACTATTTATAATGTCGCCATCGTCGACCAGGCCCTCATGAACGAACAACATAGTTCTATAGTTATCACTCTCCCCTTTGTTGAACACAAAGGAAGAAACATAGAACGAGAGATATACGATTTACATATATTCGTTAACCCTCGATAGAGAATGATGTGGAATGACGAAGCATACGAAATATATCCATTTGATTCTCGAAATTTTCTGTATCGATCATTCTCGATTATCCATCGGCAACATACGATGCATTACTATATGCACTGGAGAGTACAGAGAAGTCGGTGTTGTACTTTTTCAGAGTTGAAATGTTTATTTTCGGAAAAAGAAAAAGTTTATAGTCGAATAAATGTGCTTTTGTATATATTCTTATCAAAGAAGAAAAAAAACAAAATAAAATTCTACAAATTTAAGACCAAATACGTAGGGTTCGATCGCGACCAGTAGAAATCATATACTGCCCTTTAAGATCAAATTTAACATATTGAACTTCATCAGTATGACTACTTAATGGAATTAACTAAAAGAAACGAGTGAAATTTAAATTAAAAAAAAACAAATGGCAACTAGCAGGTCTCACCTCTTCGGAACCGATATTGTAGAGTTTAATTGTTCGATCGCCAGACGCTGTGGTTAATAATTGACCTTGAACGGAAAGTAATCGATTGATTTAGCTGACAAATGAATGTTTACTTACCAGCTGGATGAAATGAAACACTATTCGCTGAATATGGTCCAAAATCTAACGTAACAATACTTTTAACTGTTCTGACATCCCAGATTTTCACTACTCCTTTCGTATCACACGATGCAATTGCATCACCCTAACAAAAATTCATCGTTTATTCTTAATTTTTCATCGCAACAAAAGATTATTTACTCGTAAATTAAATGTTGCTTGATTACAAGCATTTGCGTGACCAGCATAAGTATGTTCAGCTAAACCCTAAACGATCATCAAAAAACAAGTGTGAATATCGAGTTGTTCATTTGGAATTTATTATTTACTGTTCGTGCATCCCATAACATGACAGTTTTATCAACGGAACTGGATACAATTATATTGGAAAACATTAGAAATTCAGCCGAATGAACTGAATCTTGATGTCCACGCATCACCATTCGACAACGGAGACTAAAACCAACAAACAGATATAAATACACTCTCATGAAAAAATGTCTACCTATTCAAATCCCATAATCGAACAGTTTTGTCTTGAGAGGCTGATGTGATAAAATCTCCACATGAATGAAAATTAACAGACCAGACTAAATAAAACAGATGAATGACTCTAATCCAACATTTATAGTATCTTTTTACCAGGTAGAAGATGATTGGTAAACGTATGAACACATTTCTTTTGCGAAAAATCCCATAGCTTAACCGTCGTATCACCCGAACATGTAGCCATCTTATTTCCACTTGGATGAAAATCAACACCAGATCTATTGAAAATCAAGGAATTCTGTACTTATCACTATTCATCTTGAAACGTCTTACACCCAATCGGCATGTCCTTCACCTTTCATAATCATATCACCTTCGGGAATGGCCCACATTTTCCATGATCGATCGTCACTAACCTAAAGAAAAGCAAAGCGTCTTTCAAAAGAGATGAACACTTTCGTTTTACTTACAGTTATAGCCACATGTTTACGTGGATGAATAGCAGCACTAATTTAAAAATGATTGTCAATGTCTGATACAAATCTTTCGATTTTCTTACCAACTGATCGGACCTTCATGTGCTAATAGTTCCTTCGCTAATGTTAATGTCGAACGATGGAAAGCATCTTCAGCAAATCGATTTAAATACGGATTATTTCCTGTATCCGTTGGAAATTCCGAATCCTATGAAGAATTATTTGCTTCAAAACAAAATCTCGAAGAAATGTGTGTTCTAACTTGTGCATTCGATTGATTTGTATCGTCCATCGAGCCCGTTAATCGTCTTTGTTCATCAGTTATCATAACCTTTTTCTTCTCTTCTTTCAATCGTAGTTCTCGAAGTTTAGATTGTGTTGATCCTAAACTTCCTTCTGTATTATCTAAACAGATATACTCGAATCGATTTTTTTGATATTCTACGATATCTTACTTTGGTATGATGTTGATGTAGATAATTTTAGAGCATTCAATTCACTTTGCATTTTATCCCGTTCCAATTTATACAACATTTTCTCTCGAACAGCAGAATCGTATTTTGTTTTTAATTCATCTAATTGTGGTTCATAAGTCGATAGATGGGATTTCAATCTAGACGCAAAGACAATAAATATGCGCATCTATATGAGAAACGTTTTCTGTAGGTACCGTTTAATAAAAGTGACAAGATTATTCTTTTCTTGTGCAATGCGATTGTGATGTTGTCGATGATAGTCACGTTCTTTCTTCATTTTGATAAATTCTTCTCGTGCTTTTCTGAAATATTGAAAGAATAATTCGTTAGAATCCTTTCAATGAACTTACTCAGCTGATTTTCGATAACGATCAACTTCTGATTGTAATAATCTCATTTTTTCGCTCAATTCTTCATTGTGTTTAACAACATCAGGTAAATAACCAGCTTCATTGGTTTTGATTCGTCCCGATGATGACAGATTATGCCATTCGACTTGAAACTGCTGCATGGTCTTTTTCATACCCATACGAACGAGAAAATTACGAACAAAATCATCAACAGCTTCAGGCTCAGTTGTCAATGAACCTCGAGAAATCGATGCAGAAGTCTAGAAAAGAATGTTTCAAAACTAACCGATTTTATATTCGAAATACTGTCATACTGTAGTTGGAATGACTTGCGATTCGCGTTGTTGATCTTTGACATTTCGAATCAATGCATCGAGTGTTTCTTCCTTGTCTAAAACGAAATGAATTTTTCGGATGTAGATAATCGATTTGTGTTGAGATAAATACCATCATCATAGAATTCTTCAACAGGCACTTCTTCATATTGAAATTCATCACCGTTTTCATCAACAGCACGAACATATCGCTCTACAAGCAAAGATTTTGTTGACAAAAGATACACCTCAGATATTCGAAATTACTTTCAACATAATAAGGAACGTCAGCAATATTCGCCAGATCAATTTTAGTCGAAGAATTATTACGTAATCCTAAATCTTTTGGGCCTACGTCACGTGTATTCGATGCTGCCATTGTAGCCATTGTTGATTATAGGAACTATTTGACTATCGAATAGTTAGACTTAGATGTTTGCATGTTTCATTCATCATTTGCTAGTATATGAAAATATGTTGCTAAACGAGTACCTCTATTAGAGTATGAAACGCGACATCTATAGGAATGTTTGTGCGCGTACTTGTTCTGCAAATATCGAAATTCGACGTAAGCTACGATCTGATTTAATCATTGAATGATAAATTGGATAATATTGGACTATTGTAAATAATCATAAGGTACTGAAGAAGTTTAACTATGAATAGAGAAGATTATGGAAATTAGATCGCTTACAATATCTTTTGCTATTCATACTGAAAGGAGTATTATACATTAGAGACCGCGAATGATATTGCAAAATTTCGGTACTGTCTCGTTCTATCTACTGTTTTTATTAGTAGCATACCGTACCACCAGCATATTTTTGAATGTTTTTCCAGGAGATGTTCTAATTCATTTTCTGATCTATATATTTTGTTGATTTCTTTTTCAAAGAATATTGATAATAAATGAACAGAATTTGATGAGCACATGTTTCAAAAGATCTTTGAAGAATACACGATGTTATTCGATTGATATACATCGTTGCACAACTTCACGAAAACCACCCTCATCATTGTAGTAAAAATACTAAACAGATTTATATATATATTGCACTACTGAGTATTTTCTTTTCTTTAGAATGAGAACTAAGAAATCTGACAATTTTTGAGAAGGTGATGAGATCTCAAATAAAGATACATTAGGATAGTTTTTCCATCAAATGAATCTCAGTCATTATAACTGACAAATGTAGTAGTGTTTTGAAACGAATAAATGTTCTTAAGCAGATTCAAATTTTTGAAAATCCTAAACAGTACGATTGATGTCGAACTTGAGAGCAAAAGCAAATGATTATGAGGATTTGTACCTTTTGGATGATCGCGAATAGTCATTTAAAGCTTATCACAATCCGAAAGTGTTCAATCATCTGTATATTATACATTTCATTCAGCAGCAATGTTATCTTAGATGAAAAAAAAACCCAGAAAACATGTGCGAATAATCGTGTTTCTAGACCAACTTTTGACATGAATTGATTATTTATATATGATCATGATTAGTTTTTTTTAAAAACTGCCGCTGATCTACTAGTCCCATTTATAGCTCTATCTTGTTTTCGATAAAATAATTAAGAATTCAAACCATGTGAATAAAATATTAAGAAATAATAATTTCTTGTTCCGATTGCCACTATGAGAAGGCTCATTCTATGAAGACATAGGAATGCGGTATAATTGCCCGATGTCGCATACCGCTAGTCTCAGGTATGCATCAGATATGATAAAATACAACACTTTCAGTACGATTGAAAAGACCTTCTATTAACTTTTACGCTTCCTTCTTGAATAATCCCGAAAACTGTGTTGTAGGTATTGAAATCAATGCTAAATTGTATAAAAGGTATTTTAAAAACGCAACAAGTATCACATTTTATTCATGTGTGAATACACACTAAAGTAACCTAAGAACGTTTACTAACAGCTCGAAGAACATTCTTGTGAAACGGTTAGCCTACTATCTTTAAACATGCTTTTTCTTTAATAAGTATACTCTATCATAAGATTTTACACCTGTCATTTCTCTTTAAATGAATTTCAGAAAACGACGGAGACTCCTGTCATGATTGTGTTTAAAAAAATCTTTCTTTCTCCTTTGTCTTATCATGTAATTGAAAACATATTTTTTTTGAAAAATACGAGAACACGGCATTTTCAAGTCGTTGTCATCTCACTTTTCCTTCTTCCTTTTCCAATTGTTTTTGTCGGCGAAGCGAGGAAAAAAAAAAGACTGACACTTTTGCATAAAAGCCTATTTTTTAAATAGACAATCTTTATTTTTTAACTTCACAAAAAGAAAATTCTGTTTGAAAAAATGACTTTGGCTATCATGTTAAGCGTTTTATTTCTATTCCTATGCTCAACACCTACTATCAGTCAAAGTAAGCACATGACAAACACGAATGTTCAGTGGTCTATGAAATCCTTTAGATTGCTCAACTTACAATCCATGTGGATCGTATGGATATTGTGACGATGATCTGAATGGAAATTCAGTATGTACATGCAAGTTTTGGTGGACAGGAACTGTTTGTACTGAACGTAAGTTTTTAGCTTTCATATCGAATGAATAAATAAACAGTCGACATTTGTTTACTGTGGGGGAGAAAGAAAACCAAATATGAACATTATTACATACAACGCTTAGACTATTTTTATCGAGGTTAAATAGGTTCTTTCACTAACGAGTCTTCAGATATGGGTCACGCATAATCGCACAGAAAATTATATTGTCGGAAACTCGAAGAAGTGATGAAAGTCAACGACTATGCTTTTACATGACTCTTTTAACTGATTAAGTGTTCATATATTTAGAAAGCAGTAGTGGTATTCAAGTGATAACACTTGGTGTTTTGGTAGTTGTTCTCATTGCGGTCTTCTACGGACTTTCAATCGGTTGTTCAATTCGTCGAAAGAGACAACAACCAAAAAAGGAGAAGCCAAAGTAGATTGAAGTTTTTCTATCAGAAAAGAAAAGATATAGTTAACTCGTTTTTCTTGTATGTACATGTAGTCTTCGAATCAATGAAAATAACTATGCAAATTCGAACTTAAAAGAAGTTGCACTAACAAATGTGAAAGAATCTGCTCGATTTTCCTCCTGTTTTGTTGCTGTTCTCATGGTAATTCTGACAATCATTGCATTAATTGTAAAATGGTTACTAATTCAACCGATTCACAATGAATTAGTTAAGAAATACAATGTCAACAATTCATTATTCTATCAGAGAGAACCCATTTGTGATATAATTGATTTCAAGAATTTCAATATGTTAACCTTTCCAATCGCTTGTTTTGCTATTTTAATTTTTATCATTTCTTCGAAACGAACGTCATGTTTACGAAATAAATTCAAAGGATACATTGGTCCAGTTATACCATTGGATTTTTATGTGCATATCAAAAGAAAATTTGCTGCTGTAGTATTCGCGATTATTGCAGACGAACTTTTGTCGATTGTTATGGAAGTTATCACTGACAATAGTTCATCAGATCAAGGTACAAATTCGTGTTTGAGAATTCTCTTGTGAAAGTATAGTTTGTTTATTTAGGTGTAATCATCGTTTATCTGTTACGTATTTTATCCGTTCTTGTCATCGGTCTTCGTTACTATCCTATTTTGTCAGCAGCTTATATGGACACGATTTTAGCATTAACCTGTGCAACGTTCTATGCTTGGTTGAACTTTTGTGTATCAGTTTATCATTATAGTAGATGTCAAAGTGATTTTTATCCTTCGAATGACAATTTCGATGATACAAATGGAACAGAACTTATGACATTGTTTTCCTTTTATGGTACTGGTCAAAACTTGGTTATTATTCAAGTTATTAGTGATCTCCCTCAATATCTATGTTGGTCTTATATCCTCATTAAACTACCGATGTTGTTAGTTGAGAAAATTTATAAATGGTTTCAACGAAAGAACGGTAATCGTTCAAGAAATCTATGTTTAACTCGTGAAGAAAAGATTCTTCTACATTCATCTGTTCCACATTCTGTTGAAATGCTGTATATTCGAAATCTTTTTCGAGCAAAAACTCAACGTTCAACAACCAGATGGTTTCTTGCGCGATTAATACCGAAAATGATCTATCAATGGCGAGACGATTATCGATTTTCATCACGAATCTTTTCAGTTTACGCCACAGTCTTTCTTCTATTAATATTTCTAACAATTCAAGCTTGCATTCTAGTCGTGCCGTATTTATCTGGAATGGAAAACACACTTCAAATACTGGTCGATGCAATTACTCAATTTAATGACGTAAACAAGACACAAAGAGATTTTCCAATACCGAAACTATTTCTTCCGTATGTTCTGGCGATCTTAACAGCTTTTGTCATAACAACAATTCAGCTATTGGTTCTGTTAGGAAGTATTCGACGAAACTTATTTCAAATCTATCGTGGTGATGTTTCCGAAATACCTCAACGAAATAAATCGAATTATTTATCATATACAACTGGCAATTTTCATTTTGCTGGATATTTTATTGGTTATGTTATCTGGGGTTATATTCTCACTGCAACATTTGCATTTATTGTGTACATATGCATAGATGCATTTATTACATACGGTAGTGTGAGATTTCTTGAAAATATTCTCAAGAAAATCATTCCGATTTTGTTATTAATCATATTTAAACAATATCTTAATAATATTTTAGCAAGATATGTGTTTTTGCAGCATTATGGTGATATTTTAGCCATTAATAATCGGAGGATTTTAATGATCTTTTTATATTTTAACTTCTTTCTTGATGCATTTCTTGGCTTTGTTTCATCAATTATCCGAATCATCAAAAGTGTTATTGGCGGATGTTTATACATGTCTCGTTTGGATTATTCTCCTATGGGACGAAAACTTGAAACATTCGATGCAGGATTTTCTGCTTATTGTGGTTTTATTCATATCGAAGCTGTTCATCGAAATCCAATTATGTTAGCTTTCGCAAGTTATGTCTATGGACGAATGAAAGCTGAACAATATGTTTTGAATAATTCAGTTTCATCAACAGTAATAACTGATAAACGGAAAATGAAAACTTATTCGTCAAAAGCAAGCCGAAAATGGTATTTAGCAGTGTTATTAATACGTAATCCATCGTTTGTAACATTGAGAAAACATATTCTACGTAACAGACAAAATGAACAAATCGAAGAATTGAATCCAAACGTTCAGAGATTATCATTGACACAAAACAATTATCATCGAGCGAGTCTTATATCCGAAATTGATTTACAACAGATTTGGCAAAATAATCATGTGAAATGACACTTCTGTACATTGAATTATGTTATTCATTATCAAATAAAATATCTGAACAGTTCTTGGATATTCACCCTCAAGACAAGAGCCCAAAATAGTCTATATTATAGTAGTAAGCATAAACTTCAAAACGAGTAGCTACGTACAACGTTTCAGCAATGTATTGATAAATGAGTAGATCAACCAGTGAACGAATTAAACCAACTAAATTTCTGATCATAGATGATTCTCATATTAGGTTTGCATTAGACATACCTGATTCGATCTATGAAAGACTACAATCTCTGTTCACGGATATCCTCTGAGAAATATTAGATTCTAGCTTATTAATTACTAAACTTAATTCATCAGTTGCTGATTAGTGATTTCATAATGTCACATGGTATGATTTTTCACGAAATTATCTTGTTTAGCATCTTATCCACTAATGTTTTGTGAAACAACGAAACTCGAAAGATCAAGCAGTCTCTTAAAGATATTAGACTCTTTTCAAACATCTTAAATATTTATATTGAATATATCGTCGAAGAAGTTACAAGAAACCTTAACGAATAGATACACAAAATATTGTGCTATAGAATGCAAGACCATACATTGTATTACTAATCAATACAGAAACAGTTAAGCTCATGTAAATGTAATAGAATAGAATTGTTTTCTGAATATGTCCATAACATTAAGCAGTATGAAATAATCAGTCAACAAGTGACTAATTATATTTACAAATTCTTGTAGATTATAACATGAAGAAGCTCTCGAAAGAATTGGTCTCCAAACGGATTAATATTGAAAGACATTTCAAGGAAATATCTTCTCTATGGAACATAATCACTAACTAATGATTTCTGAGACGAGTGGGAGTACATTTATAGAATGAACAATATTGAACAGCAACATAATGATCATTTTGTTGACATTTTTTATTTTCATAGTTAGAATTATGATTGAACGTACTTCTTCATCTCATAAAACGTTCCAAACGTTATGATAGTGATTTGCGTAGATAACGTACGATTGTTAATTTAATTAGAGATGAAAAATTCTTACTTATACTGCGACCAATTCTATATTTCATTATGAAAATTAGATCAGAAAAAGATTTATAAGCACGTTAATCTCAAAAATGCAGAATAGCGAAAAATAAATTACGCATAAATTTTGCCGATTATGATCAAAAGAATAAAGTATTCTAAATTCTACTAGAATTTCTAACAGCCTTTCACGTAATTTACACAAATATATTTCGACGTATAATCATTAAACTTCATTACTAGAAATTATCGTAATCATTGAACTGTGTAGTTTTTTTTCTTCTTAGACGTGTGAGACAATTCAAAACTTGACTTATTTTAGATTTGATTCATTTTTTCAGACAAGTCTTGAAAAGAATTTTCAGCGAATAGCAAGTGAAATGAGATGCTCTATTAAAATCATATCTGTCTGTAATTCAGTACTATGGAAATTAAATTGGATTTTATTTCAGCGTTTTTAAGCAGCGCGTGGCAATTTGACGTCATAGTATGCAATGAAAAGGATATTTTTAAACACAAGGCAAAAATAAACATCAATGAGTTTTCTATGAGTACAAAGTAGAATTGATGTGGAAGATACTTGACAAAAGTCTCGTTTTTTTTTCTTCAAAATTGCAATGACCATTTGCACAGAATGCTCTTGTGTATTTATAAACTTATTCGAGAATTTCACGTTGCGTAAACTGCTCACTTGTGCATTCTGATAAAATTATAAAAAGACTCGTGTCAATGCGCGTTGGCGTCATCTCATCTATATCAAGAATTCAGTCCGGAAATCTTTTAATCTCAACGGAAAATATCCTATAATCGAAAACGTTTATCCCACTTTAAAAAATATGTCATTATAATAACAAAATACTCGAGTTAGAGCATCACATATTCTTAGGTTGAAATCTGTGCAACTATTCATCAAAATCAAACTGTTACAACTACTAAGAAAGCAATAGGAAACCATTATTACGCTGACTAGAATCATCGAGGGTTGCGTAGCATGTGTTATGATCATTAAACAATTGATTTATCTCTATTGACAGTCAAGATACATCCAGACATCTCAGGTTTTTCGTTGTGTTTAGGTGGTCTGTGGTTGTGTGATATTAATTAAGATAATCCTTTGAATAAGAGAGAAAAAAAAACATTTTTCTTCGAAGAAACAGCAGGACAAAGACGACTTATTCGCGTGCACAATTAGATAACCATTGAAGCACGCACGTAAAAGATGATGATGACAATAATTCCAATTAGTCGCGCATATTTTCATCCATCTTACTCACGTGTCATGCCAACGATGAGTCTTCGGTTTGAGAACGAGAGCGAGAGAGAAAAAACTTTGTTTTTAATCATCATCTTCTTCAAAAAAATATGTACTTAAGACTTTTTTCCGTTTAGGAACTCCTCTAGTCTCTTCGTATTCATTGAAATTCATCATTCGAATACGCTCTTTCATCTTAATCTCCATTATCTTTTATCAAGGTTAGTATTCACTTAGATCAAATAATGAGTTCATCTACAATAAATATCAATAGTTTATTAGGTAGAAAAGTAAACCTATCGTTACAAAATAATATTTGTTCTTTCAAAATATTCTCTTTGTTTTTTGTTTTCTATCTAATTCCATTAATCTTGAGAGAATTCGATCTTATCTGTTACTGAACAGCCCACAACATTTGTGAAGCCTTTTTTCTGCATTGTGGTCAATGAATTTAGGTACTCCTACAAATTTCTACGGTAATTCCAATGAGGAAACGAAACAAAAATGTCCTATATAATGGGAATTTTTTTATTTATGATCAACTCGTCCTATTCCCTTAATATTCATTTATTAAAAAAAAACGCATAGAAAGAATAATATATGATTAGACAGAACTCGATAGATCAACCCACAAACGACATTCACCGAATATTGACTTGCTCATAGTACACAAGAATAAAGAAAGGTGAGAAATGTGTAGTTGATGTTGTTGTTTCTTTCTGCTAAGACACTTTCCCTAGTCCCAATTAGAAACGGACAAAAACGTTTGCCGAGGAAAAGAAGAAAACACATTGACTTGCTTTTGTCTCTCAGTTGATTGTTAACTCAAGTAGAATTTCGAACTCTTCGAAAGCATATATTTAAGTTAAGTACCATAACTTCTCGTGAAGTTGATTTTTGCCAGAAATATCGATTACCCTCTTCTCTATTAAACGAGTTCAATCTCGTCAACTTTCGCCTAGTTCCACGTCAATTGTTTACGTAGGAGAATTCGACATCGGATATTAATACAATCGTCTTCTCTGTATTTCCAAATATTAGTATGTTAAGCAGAAAAGAATACATTTGTTATATTCCAATTATTATTATAATATTTAATATGGCCTTTTCTTCTTTCGATGCATCAGAGAATAGAATTTCATACAGGAAAAGATCTATGTGTGAGGAGAATATGACTATCTCTTTCTTGTTTTTTTTTTATATATTGATATGAAAGTATGTGTGAAACATTACTTGACGAAGATCACTTTCAGACTAATGAATTTCCTGAATTTCCATTATTCGTTATCTTCTTTGAGTAACTAAAGATATATAGTCGATTAAATCGACAAATAGCTATAATTGAGAAACACATTTCTTCTTCTTCTTCTTCTCTCTCTCTCTTTCATCTCTTTCCGTTTTCTCATTTTTCCTTTTTACTACACAACATTAAACACGAACATAAATGACAAAAGAACAACCGATGAGAACTAATCAGTGTTCAAATCGATAGTAACTGAAACATAATACCGTTTTTTTTTGTTGACTCTTGTCATCGCTATTTCTTGGGTAAGTCTTTCCAGTTTGATTCGCTTTGTTTTTCCTTTGCAGAACTCATTATGAAAGCTAATCAATTCGAACTTGTAACTTCATATATAATGACAAGAAAAGAAAGAACTTTAGCTGACAAATGATCATCAAATGTCTTTCTTTCTCCTAGTTAAACACGCCTATTCACGTCATGTTAAAGTAGCTTTCATTGATGTTGAATAAAATAATTAAAATTATCATTTCTACGTTTTGTTATCTTGTTATATCATAGGTCATCCTCATCCTTTTTTGCATTTCTATTTCCTCGTCATAATTATCATTTCTTCGTCGTCAAAATCTTTGCTGTCGACATGAATTCTCCATTATTTACTGTACTTTTACTTATTCTGGGTGTTGTCTTCTTTCAACCAACACATCAAGTAAATTATTTAAATTTCTATGTCAATCTAGTCATCTTCTCATTCTCTTTTGTGTTTAGTATCGGCTTTCCAAACGTGAAATAACCGAAGATGTTGTATGTTGATTTTTTGCTTGTTTTTTTTACTCCTAATGATTTCGTTTTCTTCTTACATAGTTATTCGACTACATTGTCAAAACATGTTCAGCAGACAATACCGCTGAGCCTTTCCAGAAGCTCTGTGATCAAACATTACGATCGGCACTTATGGGTGTAAGTTATCCTGGAGAGTGTTGTTTTTGTTTCTTCTTTCCTCTGTAATCATTCGTGATTGCAGGTTCTGGCAAAACTATGCCCCGGAGCTTTCGAGAAAGACAGAAATCTTCATTTGTTGTTAACAAATGCATCTTTGCAGTTAATTATTCTAATTGTTATTTACCGTTTCTTTTCTTGTGTTAGGCCTTCCAACCTTTGACCAACTATTGCCAGCAAAGCGGTGCCGGAATGAGATATTGCAAGGATCTCAATCGACAAATGGTTATCAATCAAAATGCCAGAGCTAAAGTAATTTTCATGATTGATGTCGACGAGAACGAGATAATTGATTTTGAAAATTAACTTCTTTTTTTTCTCAGAAATTCCTCTTTCGACGACTTGCACGCACTGTTCATGAAGATCAAGAGATGAATACCGAACCTGACGTATGTACTCTATTCGAGGAATGTGCAAAAGTATTGAATAAATGCCATTTCTGTGTTTTAGCTCGAACAAGAATTGATTATGCAAATGTGTATAATAGAAACAGGAAAGAATTCAGTTGATATGAATCAGTTCTGCGAACGAAAAGCCTCAGAGATTCAGCAAGGAGTAAGAACAAGAAGAGAAATGCGAAATTTTCACATCGACTTCACTTTTTTTTCTCTCTATAGCAATTTCCTCGAATTGAACTTCTTTGCAAATCTTACCCTGATTCGCGATATTGTCAACAAATTCAAGCGTATGTTTCGTTGGTCAACTCGGTTCCATCATTCGATACTGAATGAAATTCTTCGGAAGAAACGAATCCATACTTCAAAACCTATGTATTATCATTTTTATAATCAACAAGTTCAATGTTTAAAACAATCCTTTGCTTTGATCATTCTCTAAGATCCAAAGGTATCATCATCATCATATGAGAGAGAGAAAAAAAATAATAAAAGAAGTCGAAGTGCAAAGAGAAAAAAAAAACATTACAAAAAATATATATTTATCTCAACAAAGCCAATCGTTTCTCTTTTTCAATGTGTCTACCATTGATCTCATATTAGATTGCCATATTCATGTGTGTTTTGTTCGTCTAAGTGTATATAAGTAAGAAAAAGAAAAAAAAAACTTGTTCTATCTAATCGTATTTTCCTTGCAATCATCATTATTTTGTTCGAGTCATCCTCCGATATTCAAGCTTTATGAGATTGAACAAAACAGTCATAGAGATTGAATACCAAAGAGACAATTCGATCAAGTTGATTTCGGGAAGAGAAAAACACATTCACATCTGCGAAGAAAGTAATCATAGTTTGATAAAGGTGAGGAAGCATATATTCAACGAAGTTTTACATTTGCGTTCGCTTCATCAATAAACATTGTCAAATACAGTCTTGAAAAGAGAGAAAAAGAAAATTTCGTACTTTACATTTGTTGTCGATCACAGAAGGTGTCCTTTACTACTCGAATATAAATATATATACATACCTGATCCGTCTTATATATATTATTGTTGACGATTTCTTTCTCTCTCTCTCCCTCCCTGTCCTTCTCTTTTTCTCTTTGTGGATATGGTTCAAAACGATTAATTTTATTCTAATGTATATTTATATGTTGAGAAAGAAGAAAAAAAAATGGGTGGGTTGTTCTCCCGTTCTTTCGGCACAATAGGTCGTCATTATTTTCGTCAACAATACTTTACACATGAAAAGACCACCACATGATTGTTCCTAAACATTCAATTTAATGCGACAAACGTCTCATATATACATACATTGACATGTATTGACAAAACGAATATTCCATTGAACAAGACAGAATAATAATCGTCGTCTGTATTCTCTCCGGTTTATTGAATAGCACAGCGTATTATAAAGGAGACGAACGAGGTAGAATAGGCAATTCACTTCGACTATGTACACATACGCAACACTAACCGACTTATAAAACCGTCTAATGCAGTTTATCAACTATTCAAGCAAAAGGAAAGACGAGAGCATATAGAATGTCATTTGAGCAAATTTATGAAATATACAGAAAGCAAATAGGACGTTGGATTTTTTTTTGATTCGTACGAAAAAAAAAAACTTGGCATGCTTTGTTTTTCTTTATCAAATAGCATTGAAAATCGAAGTCGGATGAATAATCGGACTCGATGTTATTGATTTTTACTTTGAAGTTCTGCTAGTATCTTTATTTCATATGTTGTTGTCGCCGGTTCACATTCGAATGAAGCAAGCATCAAAGCTAAATCGAAAATAGTCAAACGATAAAAGTAGAAAAAATGCTTTCTATACCATCTTCACTGAATGTCGGAGATGTGATAATAAAATTAATAATCTGATCGTTTCGTTGAAATGAACACTAGATAGTAAACATTTTTGTCGTTCTTCTTTAGCAAAATAAAATGTCCGAACGTACATTACTTTGTTGACATTGTATGAACTCTTCTAGAACACATTTCGATATTGAATAATATTTCTAAAAAAAGATGCAAGATGTTATTCAAAATACACTTGTTTCACCTCTTGAAACATACTTGCAAGTTAATTCCACCTTCGGTTGTATAATTTTTACTACGCGTTTTAATAAAATACACATCTTGAGAAATCAAACTTGTAAATGGAATGACCATACGATCGACTTGCCATTGACGAGTTCGTGCATTCTCCATCGCTCTTTTCAATTGAGTACGATAATAAGTAAAATTCTTTGAAACATTTTTAAATTGTTCGAGTTGAGTGAATTTCTCCAGTGAAACTTTTGCCCACTACAAATCATAATCAAGCACAATCACAAACAAAAACCAGACAAGCTTTACCGTTCGTGTTAAACGCTTCACCGGTTGCATGTTCAAACCACCTAAACGAAAAAGACCAGATAAGTACAAGGTGAAAATAATTAATCCATAATGACATATCTGAGATCTTCCGGTCGACAGCGTGTTACCCTTTATGAATAACACGACATCCTGTCTACGACCGGTAAGTTAAAGTGTGCAACAAGAACATTGATGAAAGCTTTAGACCTCGGACTGTCATGATGTTGTCAAGGGAGTAGAATAAGATGTTTTGATTTACCCAAGATAGCGAACATGGAATTGAAATTGTTTAAAAGTAAACAATGATACGCAGCATCGATGAAATAGGTGACAAGTTGTATTCGTAAACGTCGTTGAGTATGTTTGACAATTTCGGTGGCAACGAAGAAAGTCAAGCGATTAAACCATTGGATGTAGGTTTCAAAGGTAAATGTTAACTTGATGTCATGAGCTACGTGTGAAGATTTTAATTGACTTGATGCTTTGGTTTCCTTGGTCTCTGCTCGTGCATCTTCACTTGCAGATTTTGTTATGAAGTATTGTAGTATTTCTTCTGCTCCAATTGGTTTTAATCTACTCTATTAAGGAAAAAGAAGGTGAAAACGTAGTTGGATTTAACTTCGATGAATACTAGTTCAATATAAGTGACTTGTTCGGCAAATAGAATCGGTGTTGAACATCGATCAATGATGCTTGTCTAAAAAAAGTGAAGGGCAACTGGAAAACTCATTGAATAACAAATATTTACGTCGAGAGCTATTTGATTGAGAGATTTCGAAGACATTTTGTTCAATTGTCGAATGTAATCTTCATAATCGTCTAATTTGCTCAGCTAGAAAATCTGAATCGATGCATATGCATTATTTTCGTTGGTTTACTTTCGAACGCAGTTGCTTGTCAATACGTTTTGTGATTGAGCGAAAACTTGGTTCGTACGAATTGAGTTTTCGTAGAAGTTCTTCGAATTGAGATATCATTTCATCATTACGAAAATCATACGGAAAAGTTTCAGTCCAGTGCGATAATATCTCAAGGAAATTTGTCATTATTCGTACACCTTGGTCCTAAACAGAAAAGGACATCTTGAAAATAATACACATTCAACATTAACTTGAAAGTATACAGGAGTGTATTTTCTCAATGAATTTATCGACAAACATGCTAATTTATTTAACAGTACACTTGGTCGAATATGTAATCTCGAACACATGAGCATTGGATTGATAAAGGTCACCTTAATAGAAAAAAAAACATGTTGAGTTGAAAGTAGCAAAGAAAAAACTAAAATATTTGGAGTAACCTTGGGTTTATAAGTGTCCGTTGGCACTAATCGCTGAATAAGTGAATCAATTGTGTAATTGAGATAGTCAAGAGGTGGATCGTCATTATCTGAAGACGCTTCAGAAACATTTTTAGGCAGTGTTTCCTGTGGCATTGAAGATTTAGGTGGAAGAAAGGCTGATTTCGATTGTGAATGCATTGGTGTATTTAAGTAGACTTGTGCACGAACACGATCGTAATACGCAGTCGAAAACGATTTTCCATACAAACGACTGCTTGTCCCAACATTTATGTGCTGTCTAAGATTATTGAAATGTCCATGACGTGGATTAACAGTATATGAATGTTGCTTTTGCGATGAATCAGTATTTTCCTGAGTGGACGGTATATGAGAATAACGCTGATAGTTATTCGTTGAACTTGATGTTACTCTACACGAGCAATTGGCACGATATATCGGTGCCTCGTCGGTGTAGCGTTCAGTGCACAAGTCAGCACTACTTGGTACACTATTCATGATAACCAATGTGATAAGAACAACTGCAGAAAGGAAGAGGAGAAAAAAAAATGAAAGATAAGATTTTATTTTGTTGTTGTTGTTTGTTATTATTGTTCAAATTCTGTCATACAAAGAAAAGAAAGAAGAAAAAAAAACGAAGGAAAAACACACATTTGATTCACTCATTGTTATTCGACTTTTAGTTATATCAAGAATACATATACAAAAAGAAGAAACTTGGACGGAATTTCTTATTGTTGACGGTGATTTGGAGCGAAGTCAGAGCATGAAAAAAGAATGCTGAAATAAATAAATGTTATTGATGTCTTGAGCGCTTATCACTACCACTTAATGATCGAATGTCTCGTCCGCTTGCACTTGTTCCACCACTTGTTTCTTCGGATCTATCCGATGGTACATCATCAACCGTATAGGTCGGTTGTTCCATTGACGAACGAGTTGCATGTTTTTTGTTCACTAATTCATTACTATTCGTCAATGGAGCAAGTCGTTTCTTATAAAGATGTGATCTGGTCGGCAGTGCTGATGTTGGTTTGATATTATTCGTAACGTCCTCTAATGTTTTTGGTGACATGGGAGAAAATAATTCATCGGTATAGGACGAAGTCGATTTAGCACTGCTAATCGGTTTCAGGCGACCACTTGGTGGTCGCATGTTACTCGGTGGAATAGATTGTTGTGAATAATAGGTATCCATTTGTTGTCGATTTCGAAAAACTTTTTGTCCAGCGACGGTTAAATCGAGAGTAGGATTAGTTTCATTCGAACCTGTTTTGGAGCCAGATTTTAATCGACTTGTTCCTGGTGGATTACTATTACCAGATCCAAGACGAGCTGATGATGGTTGTGGAAAATCTTTTGTAGCTGCTGAACGGTTTCGCTGTCTGGTTCTTGCGGATGTCACAGCTTGTTGTGGTGGCTGTTGTTGTTCTTCTTCAATATAACGATATTCATCATGGATCGATGGTCGATTGACGCGTTTCGATTGTTTATAATGTGGTCGGCGAAACGTTGTATTGGATTGAGGCTGTTGTTGCTGTAACCGATCCTCGTGATGACGTGACGATAGACGAGAAGTGGGCCGAGAAGGCCAAGATGATTGCCATTGTTCATCGTCATTGTCATCATCGAAGTCACTTTGACCGGCATAACCTTCGAGACTGTTTGGTTCGTCGCCATCGGAATGAACAGATGTGATTATAACATGATGGTGATGCTCCTGTTTTCGTCGTGGTTTGGATGTGTTGACAAGTGAACTATTTGGTGTTGTCGAACTTTTCCGTGGTTTCACTGGAGGTGCCATTGTTGAATTCGTTGTAGTCGAAGAAGGTGGTCGATACCGTTGTCGATGGACATCATGGTTATTTTCATCATTGATATTATCCGCATCATCATCATCGTCAAGATACATTACGGTGGTAGGAAGGGAATTTTGCTGAATTGTTGCTGCTGTTGTTGTGTGCGTAAATTGTTCATTGGAAAGAGTGGGTGATGAGCGCATCGGTTGGGGCAATGACTGTGTCATCGGACGACGATTACTGTGACGAATGAATCTTGCGTGGCCATTCACAGGCGGCGTCGGTGCCACATCAGATCCATTTCTCCTTACAGCATTATCAAAACTTCGTGTTGGCAGAGATTGGCTGTCATAGTTGTTGTTATTCTTATCGCGCAGATAAACTTCAAACACACTACGACAAAAATAAAGGCCACGATTTTGCGCATAATCAAATGCAGATACACCATGAATATCTAAAATAATAAAATTAAAACGTGGAAACTATTGTCAAATGTTGTCACTTACCGTGAAGATGTGGATCAGCACCATGATCTAAAAGTTCTTTCAGTACACGTGCATGACCATTTTTAGTTGCTAAATGAAGTGGTGTCTGACGGTACTTATCTCCATCGTGTATAGATGTCGGGTTATTAAACTGAGCATTCATATCAAAGATTAGCCGGCATGCATGTACTGAACCCTGTTCAGCAGCAACATGTAAACATGTTCGTCCATCATTATCACGTAATTGCATCGCTTCGGCTGATAACAACGACCTTAAGCATTCCAATGGTTCAGTTTTACGAACACTATGATGAATCCATGTTCGACCATCATTATCTTGTTCTAATCTTCCACTCATATGTCGTGATAATTCCTAGTCACAGGAAATTCAATTCATTTTTATCAAAGTCAAAATCCTACTTTGAAGTGTTCATGCCGATCGAGATGACAAGCCCACATCGCTGCCGTCATTCCATCTGCATCTCTTGCATGTACATCAGCATTGAATTCCACCAACTGTCTCAAACAATCTGTATTTTCAGCAAGAACTGACCAATGCAATGGTGACCGCATATGTACATCTTGTTTGGTCACATCAGCATGATTTTCCAATAACAATCGAACGATGTCTACATTACATTGTTGGGCCTCATCGCTGTAACATGCACGATGTAAACATGTTGAGCCATCGTTTGCTTGAGTATTTATATTCGGCGATGGTTTACATTCCAACAATAAATAACGTAGAATGTTAATCTGTTGATATTGAACAGCATATGTTAATAAATCCCGACCGAATGCATCCACACGATCGATTAGTTCCGGCTTTGAATTTAATAGTTCTTTGACATAGCGTAAATCTCCTTCCCGTACAGCCATGATTATCGGTGATAAGGTAACGAAATCATTTAATGAGTGTTTTGGCAATGTTTGCTTGACTTTATTAGATTCGACGTCAATCCATGGCCATTCGAATTTATCGGGCGCTTCACGAAATGGTGTGAGAGGACTGAGACCACGTTCAATCGTCCATTGTAGTGGTTTTTGTTCTTTATCACGTTTCTGTAAGATCAAATAGTATTGTTGAAGAAAATGAAGACCATGTAGAAGTGTATCGCGTAAACGTGAACTTGTTTCTTCATCAGGTAGTTTAAGTAAAAATTCGAGTATAATGGATGATGTCTTTTGAAAATCTTTACGTTTAATCGCCATTATATAAATACATATGAAAACTTATTTTCTATACAATACCTACATCTGAAATATAAACATACATACTTATCGACGTAGAAACAAATAGCAACCTGTGCAAACAATCTCATCGATGATTAAAAAAAAAGCTTGAGAATATTAAGAAAGAAGAAGAAGAAGAAAAATGTTGAACTATGAAAAGTTTCCTGCGTGATAATGTTTCTGTTTCAATCAGGTGATCGACCTGCTGTAGTCTAGTAAATCAAAAGATGTATAGTGAAGTCACACGAAAAGAGAAAATGATCATTGTGATTTTGAAAGTTAATCGTTGGAACATGGAGACGAGGTGGAACATACATGGCAATAGACGTGGTTGGCATGCGAGCAGAACGAGAGAAAAACAACAAAGTTGAAATACGAAACTTTTCTTTCTCTTCTCTCGTCTCAATTTTTTCACACAATCAGTTGAATGTTGTCACAATGAGGAGAGGACGGTCTACTTTTTACAACATACAAACCAATTCTGCGTCGATAAAGCCGAATAGAATAAAATTAGCAGAGAAAAAAAGAAAAGAGAAAAAGAAAAACTTGTCAGCACGCTCAATTTCCAACGCTAATGCAAATTCTAACCAATATGTTGATTTCTATCAATGATAAAGAAGAAGAAAAACAAAACACAGTTGAAAATTAAAATACATTTCTTTTGCGCAGATAATTTTACAAAATTTATTTGTTTTCTTTTGATATTACCTACGAATGTGTCATTCTGCTAATCAAAAGAAAATATTTTCGTAACTAAAGATCATTGTGACTAAGTGAGAATACATTCTGCGACATTCGATTTCGACTTTCCAGCACGTACATACTTACAATTCTCTTCGATATTACGAAGAAAAACGAATTCAACATGTGCATCGTCGTTCATCCAAAGAATGTTCAACGACGAACGCAATTAGAAAGTATTTTTCTCGAAACGACTTTTGAGAAAAAGGAAAAATCACTGCTATTCAATAGGTTTTCTATGAGAATCTGACGAGAAAAGTAGTCTTGATGCGAACGGGAGAAAATCAATGATTATAAGTGAAATGTTGTTCTATAACTTCATGTTGAACGTAAAAATTGAGTTCATTGAAAGTACGTTAGGTCCAGTGAGAAATTATTTAATTCAATCTGAATTTTTCAATAGACATTCCTCGTAGTAAATACAAAATCAATGTCATAAGAGATCTCCAAGTAGAATGTTTACTTCATTCATAAGGTTATCGAGTTGTGTATAATTCTTTCTATTATTTCCAGGTATGCGTATTTAATTTAGACAAATACACGTACAATCTAGTTTTTTTCTAATATTAAACTACGAAATAGAAAAAAATCATCAAATCAAGGTAAATACTCTGTCAGAAAGTTGAAGAATCTGACATGAATCAATTTCTACAATATTGACACAAGAACGACTCTTTCTGTTCTATATCGTTGTTGAATATATCAGAATTCTCTTATCATGAAGAAGATAAAACGGAAGGGATGTTATCAAATCGAGCGATTTTTTTAATATACCATTCTTATCTAAGATTTTATTTCTTATTTCAATCAAGTTGCGGTTTGGATATCGAAAACGTTCAGTTAAATTCAATTGATCAACTTTATCTTGTTTGAAGAAATCCAAAATCCGATAAAAATTCATCAGAAAGATTTATTAATGTGTCATTGTGATTAAATAGAACATAAAACTAAATCGTTTGTTTAACGAAGAAAGGAAAAGGTATTTGATAGTCGAGAATCGAAATCTATGATAGGTTAAAAAAAAAAAATGCTAAATTTCGTCATGCTTGATGCCAGTCGATGATGATCAAGTGTGAGAAAAGATGCTTTGTCATGAATTGTTCTCATTTTTTCGGCGGTGCTTTGACTTCATTATTCTCATGCAATGGTTTGCCATCGAAGAAATCCAATAAACTTTGTACAGTGGTTTCAGCGATGTTTTTCAAAGCTTCTTCCGTAAGAAATGCTTGATGAGATGTAACAATTGTATTCGGCATTGAAATTAAACGTGCGAGTGTATCATCTTCCATAACCTAAAAGATAAAACTGATCAGGAGACTTTCGAAGAGATATTTTTGATTATACTTGTTGACTGTAATCATTGAAGAAATATTGTTTTTCATTTTCATAAACGTCTAATGCTGCACCTCGTAATTTGCCTGATTTCAAACATTCGAGAAGAGCTTTCGAATCAACTAAACCACCTCGACTTGTATTAATCAACATCGCTCTCGGTTTCATCTTATCCAAAGCCTCCTTATTAATCAGATGATATGTTGAATCAAGTAATGGTGCATAGATTGAAACTAAAAATGAAATCAAGTCCTTATATATATCTATATTACATTCGAATCCGGTGATTTTCCATACCGACATCACTTTCTCGTAGCAGTTCGTCCATTGTTGTATATACAAAACCTTTTTCCTTTGCCGCGTTTTCATTTGGATAAATATCATATGCTAGCACTGTACAACCAAAGCCAAGAAAAATATTAATCGCACACATTCCAATACCTCCAGTTCCGATAATTCCCACCGTTTTGCCAAATAAATCAATACCGACTAATCCATCTAAACTGAAATTATGTTGTTTAGTTCGAAAGAACGCATGATGCATATTTCGATTCAATGACAACAGAAGAGCAACTGAATGTTCTGCGACAGCATACGGTGAATAACGTGGTACACGTGAAACTTTCAGATCATATTTTTCCGCTGTTTCCAAATGAACATTGTTAAATCCAGCGCATCGTAAGGCAATCATCTTCACTGTGTCACATGTTTTGTGTAGCTGTTCGATAACATTTTGATTAACAACATCGTTGACAAAAACACAAATAGCATCGTAACCAAGTGCTTCATCAACAGTTTCCTCGGTTAATTTACTTTCCAAGAATGTAAAACGAAGTTTATTTTGCCCATTTAAGTTTTTCAATGCAGCTTTAAAAGTTTTTTCATCATACGATTTCGAATCGAAGACAATTACTTTTCGAAGTGACATTTGTTTAATCTACAAGAAAAAGAAAATGAATCATATCAATCGAATTCTCTCATTCGCTTTCTATTGGAGAAGTACTACCAAAATGGAAGATGATGACGTCGTTTATGGGAATATTGTCGTCGTGTCTGAAAACATCACGAAACAGAATAGTTGTTGTGGCGAAGAACGAGAAAAGAAATGTACTTAACATGAAGAAGGATGGTATCGATAGAGTTAGAGCACTCTACCAAGAAAAATCTTGGCCTACATATGGATCCTATGAAGAAACGTTTTTCTTTCTCAAAGAAAATCTTCATGAGAAAATCAAATTAAATTGAAAGGTATCTCGAGATAATCTAATACATCACGAAAGATTGATTTAGAAGTAAAAAATAGCGATTCATTATCATTCCTATCAACAGTTGTGCTGTACTCCTGTTCAAGTCTTCAATTACACTTGCTATTGAGATCTATGATGAAAACTTGACTTCTTTTGTTCTAAACGATTCTGTCTGAAATCGAATTCTCGAAGGTAATTCATTCTACCACGATGTTTTCGCCTAAATAACAGACAATTCTTATCTCTCTGATGGCATTTACTCAAACTAAGAAATAAAACATTATGAACATGGTCGATGAATAAATAATTTATTGTCTAAATAAGATTTCAGCTACAGATTGAAATTTAAAAGGTATATACATCAAATGATAAGTAGACAGGGATATGTTTTTCATAGAATATACTTGCGATTGGATTACATCTTCGTTTAGGTATCATTTGAAAAACTCCAGTAAACTCTTAACGATCGATTCAGCAATGGTTTTCAAGGCTTCTTCCGTAAGAAATGCTTGATGAGATGTAACAATCGTGTTTGGCATTGAAATTAAACACGCCAAAGTATCGTCGTCCATAACCTAAACAAAACGATCATATTCAAATGAAATAATGCATTCAGACGCATCATACTTGTTGACTAAAATCTTTGAAGAAATATTTTTCTTCATTTTCATAAACATCCAAAGCAGCACCACGTAATTTGCCTGCTTTCAAACATTCAACAAGAGCTTTCGAATCGACTAATGGTCCACGACTTGTATTGATCAACATAGCCCCTGGTTTCATCTTGTCCAATGCTTCCTTATTAATTAAATGAAAGGTTGATTCGTTAAGTGGAGCATATAATGAAACTAAACGAAAGAATAAACATGCTTCTATTGAAAATGAAATCGAGATTTTACCTATGTCACTTTGTTGAAGTAAATCATTCATCGAAACATATTCAAATCCATTTTGTTTTGCAAAATTTTCATCGGGTTTAATATCAAAAGCCAATACTTTACAGCCAAAACCTCGAAAAATCTTCACTGCACACATACCGACGCCTCCAGTACCGATAATTCCCACCGTTTTACCAAATACGTCAACACCAACCAAACCATCCAAACTGAAATTGTGCAATTTCGTTCGAAAATACGCTCGATGCATATTTCGATTTAATGACAGTAAAAGCGCCACTGAATGTTCAGCCACAGCGTGCGGCGAATAACTTGGCACGTGACACACATGAAGACCATATTTTTTAACAATTTCCACTGATGAACCGCTGTGACCAGCACTTCGTAAGGCGATAATTTTCACTGATTCGCATATTTCATGGATTTTATCCATAACATTCGAGTTTCGTGCATCACTGTTGACAATACAGATCCCGTCGTAACCTTGTGCTTCGGAAATTGTTTCTTCTTTCAATCTACTTTCCAAGAATGTGAAATGCAGTTTATCTTGACCATTCAATGCTTTCAAAGCGTCTTTGAACGTTTTTTCATCGTACGATTTCGAATCAAAGAAGAGAATTTTACGTTGAGTCATGTTTTGTTTTTCTACAAATGAAGAGAACAGAATGATGGAACTAACAATGAACGAATCCTCAAACTTACATTGGATGAAACACAGCTGGAAAATGTGTTTTTGTCGCTAGTTGTTCTATATCCGCAAGAAAAAAGTTGGCTATGATTGAAGAAATAGACGTTAGTTGCAGTAACTACGCTCGGAATATATGACCAAAAAGCGACACAGAACAAATAAAAAGTGGAAGAAAAGAAGAAAAGAAAGAGAACGAGAAAGAAACGACAGGACGAGTCTTTTCCATTACCCACACCCTCACTGCCAAGAGCGAGAAAGAAAGAAAGTAGTTATAAATCTCTGGCATTAAACAAATCATCGACAGTCTTTTGGTACATTGAACTTTGATATGACTTATTCATGACAAATCCGTATAAATGCTTTTGAGCTAATCAACACATCTGTTGGATATTTATCGAGAAACACTTGTCTGATTTGACAGAGAACTGGAATAAAAATTGGGTGCGTTTGTTTTTATTGTTGTTAATACAATATAAGAAGAAAGCCCAGAAGCACTCAGACGTACAAGAACAAACAAAGGCACAAACAAAGATATAATTTACGAAAATAAATGTTTTCGAGAAGAACGTTTGTATAAAAGTGATCTAAATGTTTATTTTGGTTGAAATACATTTGGTAGAAAGGGAAAAAAAAGAAAGAATTGATAAGATCCGATAGTTCAATGGAAGAGAAGAAGTTTTATCAAGATAATATCACATTGATGGATTAAGTTTAAGAGTACTGAGTGTGTCGAAACGAATTCGATAACGCATTCGGTCCAGGTGAACGAAATCTACAAATATTCAATTCATTTTTATGGTCTTTCTTATGATTGGATCTACCGTTGCTGTTTTTTATTGAAACATTTCGCGGATTCTATCATTGGCGAACGATTGGATAAGGTGAGAGATCGACCTGATAGAACAGTGATAGCTCGAGACTGAACACGGTAATGTTCACTTTGAATTTCCACCCAAACAGTATATTTGCCATTGTGTAAGCCACTGATGGTTGCTTGATGTGTACTAGCATCGTATTTACCATGTAATTGAACAATGTTCGTCATGAGATTTTTCGAAAACAACTAGAAAATCATTACAAATGAATTTCTTTCTTTATAATTCAATGAGATTTTTACATACTTCAAATGAAAGTAATTTTTCCGTTTCGTCTTCTAATTGTGGATGTTCCCATGCAACAACAACGGCTCCTGTTTGACCATCGTCAACACGTCTGAGAGCACCTGCTCGAATACCTGGCCATGTAAATTGTACACCACGTGACATTGGACTAACAACATTCTTTTCACTGCTCAATGCTTGAACATGTACAGTATAAACATCACATGGTATACCATTGGTCAATGTATAGGTTAACTGATCATGTGAGAGAATAGCTGCTAAGCGATTGTTGACAAATATTTTATAACCGACAACAGTAAACTCGCCGTAACTTGTTGCAGCACGCCATTCGAGTTTCACACGGGTGCGTGTTCGTTCCCTGCAAAAGAAAAGTTTATGAAAAACTAAGAAACCTTTGGTTTTTATCAATTGATTACAGTATCGCTACGATTGGCGCATTTGGTGGTGCATTCATTTGAATAGTTGATTTATCTGATGTATATAAAACTGCACCATTTTTATCAACAGCCATGACCATAATTCCATAAGTAAAACCTGGTCGTAGACCGCGCAGTACCTTTCAGAAGAGAAAATTACTGTTACCTCTTGATCACATTCATAAATTCTATCTACTTACAGCATGACGATGTCGTTTTGAAATTTTCATTGCTTGAACTTCTCCATTATTCAAACAAGTATAGTGTACGTAGTAAGCACGTATTGACGGTGTATGTAAAAATGATGTCCAGTCTACATGAAGTCTTTCCTCATTGATCGAATCGATTTGAACTGGAATAATGCGTGCGATATTTTGATCCAATGTCAATGCATTGCCATCGTCATTATTGTAATAAATTGTCGGCACAAGATCGGTTGTTGGTGTCGTTATTACACATAATGTTTGAGACATAACTGAATGTGAACGTTGCGGATGATTTGTAATTGCGCAGACATTGACTTGATAAGTACGATTGATACGTGATGGTATGTCAATCTGATGTGATTTCACTTCGATCATATCACCATTTCGTTTTCCTTCGATATATAATTCATAACCAATGATCGGTATTCCATACGATTTCGGTTCAGACCATTCGACAGTGAAATTCGTATCATTTATTTTAACAAGCCACAATTTCGGTGCGTCGGGTACGCCAGGTATAGGTACAGTTAATTGTTCATATTGATGTCGATTACCATCATCAGTCACAATGATCAGATCGATAACGTAGAAATGTTTTTCATCACATGCATCTGAAAGAAAGAAGATTCAGTTGGAAGATGTGTGTAGAGTGTGAATTACCGATGATAGCGGATGTTTCGTTACAAGCGAGGGTTTTTTCTTGAATACGTAAATCTTTTGACGACCGCCATTGTAAGATAAAATGTGAGATATTCTTTGAACGGCCGATTTTCCATTCGACATTGATCTTTCCTAATGGTGAAGGATTGTTTGGATCTACAAGTGATCGGCTCATTGAATTGTCGTGATAAAATTCAAAATTAGCTCGAAACGATCGAAGAAAACCTAAATAAAAAAAAAACAATTCATAATGAAATCTCTTTTTCCCTTCCGCTGTACCTTCACTTTTCAATGTTCGTACACTCAATGATTTCGATGGGGTTTCGTCTGGTTCAAATCCTTTCTTGTCTTCATCAGTGATCTATTAAAAATAACAACAAGAGTTTTCAGTACATTGTAGTTTTTCTTTTTCTACCATATTTCCCATATTGACCTGTTGAACAATAGTTTGCGCAACTAATCGAATTTTGTATTCTTCATTTGGATGACAATCGGTCAAAACACATTGCCGTTGATCTTCATCTAATTCATTATGTTTTCGATCATTTATATCAATTCGATATCCAATCAATCGTCGATGAATTCTCAATTGTTCATTCGTTCTTTCCGGATGATCAACAACGTCAAACATGCCTGGTTTATTCCAAGCTAAATCAATTGTGTTCATTGTATAGCCAGTTAAGTAAATCTCTGGTTGTTCACACGTTCCTGGCGCATGGAAACGTACGGATGCTGATATATTACTTGTCAAACGAGTTTCTTTTCGATCTGATTCATCATCACCCTCTTCAAGATTGATTTTTACACTAAGGACTGTATCTAGATAGATTTTATATAGACCCGATATCAACGGTCCAGGTATCGTTGCCTTAGTTGTGTTTCGGTCCAAGTCTAGCGACTGTTCTTTACCGCCCGGTTCTAACTGCCAACGAAGAACTTGTTGAACACATTCAGTTGAACCATAAACTTTCGCCAAAGTCCATTCGAGTTTAATCGCTTCGATATTCGCTTGAGTAACGTTGATATTACTTGCCGGTTCATAACCACTTGTTTGGAATTGAAAGGTTTTATATGGTAACCATTCGGATGGTTTCAATTTTTTAGGCAATTGTTTCACATCTCGGCAGCGATTATCGTCTAAATATTCCTGCGTAATGCCATAGATGGTCGCATTGTAATTGGTACGTTCAGCAAGATTTGTAATAATGAATTCGGTAGAATCTGGCATGAAATCCTGCACGATTTCTCTAGCATTCGTTTCTGGAGAAGCAGGTTCACATAGAATACGTAAAGCTTTGATTTCCGCGTTATGTTCAACAAACGGATCGAAACCAATACGAACATCGGCATTTTTACATGCGATTATATACACATTCATCGGTGGATCAGGTGGTGAGCCTGTAGTGAATGATCCGATTTCTGAGGTTGTAAGAACATTGTATGAATCTACAAAAGAAAAAATGTCTCTATCATTCAGGCATTGATATTAGAAAAGGATAGAATATACCTTTCGTTTTTGTGTGACGTCGTTTTTTACATGCTTCTAATTGATATTCATACTTTGTATCCGATTGAAGATCTTTTAGCAGTGCACTGGTTTGATCTTCTGAAAAGAAAGGATGACAAAGAAGAGTTCATACTTGGATTTTAGTGATTTAATCAAATCCTTTACTTGATAGTGTAACAATTCTTGGTTTATCACGTGGTAGATCACTATTATTCCATACCATCAGTTTGTAGCTATCTGGTTGACACTCCGTGGGAGTTGACGGATCAACTGAATAGAATAATGATAAGAAAGATTATCGTAAAAAGAAAAGAAAAGCCTACTTGGTAACCAGCAAATTAGTGCTGATCGACCTGCGATCTGTTCCTCCCAGACTTGTTTAGGAAGTTGAACTATATCTGTAAAATCGATTTCAAGTTTTTCGCTTGGTAAATAATGACCATGACGATCAGCATCGTATTCTATGCGAGAATAAAATCAGTCTCAGTCTACTTATTGGAAATCTATTCTTTCTCTTTACCTTCTCCTTTTCGAAATAGAACTCCACCCGGTTGATCTGTTATTGGTACAACTTGTAGTGAATACCGTTGACCCGGTTCCAGGTCACTGATTGAAGCCCGTCGTCGGTCAACTGGCAATGCTTTGCCAATCGATCGGCCATTATTCAATATTTGATAACCCTATAGAAATCATAATTTCCTTTCGATTTCATCGACATGAAATTTTATAACATACAGTGAGTTTGACATCTCCATATTCTTCCGGTGCTTCCCAAATGATATCAACTCCATTAGAATGCATTCGTTCGATGCGTGGTACTGTTCCTTTGGGTGGTACAGCACATTTCAATCGTAATTCATTGGAACTATTCGATTCGATCTCACATTGGTAACGATTTCCTTCTAATCTCTTCTGTCCAAGTAGAGATTTAACATAAATCGAATATTTGTCATCAGCTTCTAGTTTCGTAAAATCAAATGTGAATGTTTGTCGGCCGTCGTTTTCCACTTCACCATGAAGTTTTCCATTAAGGAATGTTCGATAGGCTGTAATATCGTCGCTTTCATGACTATCGGCTTCCCATTGGATACGAATTGAAAATGGTTTTTCGGCGATAACCGACTGAATCTTTGGAGGATGAGGATGCTTCGGACACACAATACGGATTGGTTCCGAGATTTTCTCATCAACAAAGTCCGGATGAGATGTGACTGAAACTTGAACTTCATTTGTCGAACCTACAGACACAAATCATAGTAATTTTCCGCCGTTTTCATTCAGAAAAGTGTTTACCTGCTTTTAGATTACGCAATTCATATTCGTGTTGAGTAGCTGAGAGAATTTCTGTTGGTTTCGAATTGAGAATAATACGATAACCTTTGACTAACGATGGATCGATCGTATCATCAAGTTTCCATGACAGACTCGCCGTTTGTACACCAAGTTTGGTAACTTTCAATACTGGTCTTGTCAACAATTCGATCAACGGATCAATTCGCTTAGTTTTCACTCTGTTCGATTCTGTTATCAGATATTTTGTATCCTTGGATCCTTGAATATGATAATAAGTTCGAACAAACACTCTAGAATAGAATAATTTATCTTCGTGTCGTGAATGATTCGTCGAATTTTCTTACAAATATTCATGTCGATCGAGTATGCCAGAGATTTCTAACGGAGAATTCGAAACGTTCCAAATGTGCTCGATATAATCTTCATCAGTTGAACTATTTCGATATAGTTAAAGAAAAATCAACGAAGAGATAATCGGTGACTTACCTTTCATCACTTTTGATATTTTCCGAGAACTCAGGACCGCATACGTGAACTTCATTGATTGCAACGAACACTCCAGCAGGAAGTGGCCGATCTCCATACCAATTCGCACGAATTGCTGTTCCACTGATGGTAGAAACATTCAATTTCGGTATGGGAAGTTCTTTCTCGACGACAGTTTTCTACAATATCGTTGACGCACAAATAATGAAGAGAGTGAAAGAAATAAATCAATCTACATACATCCATGGATTCATCCGATGGGTCTGATTTTTGTTTTGTAGTATGTTTCAATCCGCTTCCAGGTGGAACTTCCACATTCTAGTAAAGAAAAATCCATAAATTCACATGAAAACACATACTGAAATAACGTACGAGAATATTTGATGTATAACCCTCATGTTTTTTATTTTTAGGAATAATTTCCAAATAACATTCATGTTTTCCTGGTGGTAAATTAACTTGAACTTTTGGATCAGCCAATGGTGATACTAATTCGCCATATTGTTTCTTGTCAACCACGACCTAAATAACAACACATATTGTATCCATACAACACGCGTAGTTTTCATCGTACTCGATAGTTTTCCACAGAATCATGCGCTGATGGAGATTTCTTCTTCCAGAAAAGAGTAATACCACCAGGATTTAGTTTGTAGGATACAGTTGGAGCTGCATCTCCCACAGCAGCAGGCTAAACGAAACACAAGATGACAATATAGATTTTGATTTTGAAGATCAACTGCATACAATTGGTTCCCTTGCATATCGAAACGATTCTGGTCGTCGTTGTATGGGTTCAGCACTTGGAGTACCTACGAAACAAAAATGAGAGAAAGTCATGCATAAACATGATCAAATTCGTTATTTGAAGCATTTTCTTTATATGATGAGGCTATATGTATGTAGGAATAAATTAATAGATGCAAAAGCGATTAAATAATGCAATAAGAAAAAAAAAAGAGGAATCAGAAATGTCAAGCTAAGAAGCGTCATTAGATTTGATGTAATCATGTTTTTGAGCAGTTTTATTCAGTTTAGATGACCGACGTGGAGGCTTTGGTGGAAGTTTCGTTGTGTAGGTGTCAGATGCTGATGAAGTTTGAGGCGATAGAGTTTGATGATCAATTGGTGCTGCTTCTGAGTCTGCGTAGGTTGAATTGTGTTGTTTGTTACGATCATCGATCGTTTTTGTCAATCTTTTCAGGAGAATTTTTGCTCGAAGGTATGAATCATTGGTTTGTGACGATTCCAAATCTTCTTTCGGTTGTTGTTTACACTTTTTTCGTTCTGATGTCGACGTTTCTTTTGTTAGTAGTTCATCACTAGTCGACGCTTTTCGTTGGTCGTTTCCGTTCTTCTCAGTTCTGTCAGTGATCTGACCATCTTTCTGGGGTTGGATTTCACTCGTGCTTACTACTGGATTAACCATATCAGTTAAATGGGTACCTTGTGACGAAGAGACCTCAGGAGTAGAAGGCGGAGAAGTAGAGGAGGGAGATTTTTGAACAGATAATTTTGGAACAGATAACCGTTTCGAACCCTCTAGAAAACGAACAAAAAAAAAGTTTGTTTTGACAGTAGTCATAACAGTGCGTTCAGTTCTATTCCTGCGAGTCTCTTCGTCAATACGTACGGATAGGGCTTAAGAAAAGAAGCGTTATCTACTTAGCGTGACGAACGATCTCGGTGTTACGAGTGACACTCGACAGAAACAGTAGACTTACTTTCAAGAGGAACATCATCTGGTGTTTGTTCGTATTCGGTGATTATATATGGAAAGAATTGGTCTGTGGTTGACTCTTTGACAGTCATTTTGATCGGCGGAGTAATAGGAATGATATTTGATTTACGAATTTCTTTTCCGTCTAGGTAAAAATACAACGAATAAATAGCGAAAATCAATTGAAACAGACGATTCGATCATACTTTCCATCTTTGCTTCAACATAAATCAAATATTTTCGACCATGTTCAATGTCTTGAAATCGAACAGTATAGAAATCGTTGAAATCTTTTTTGGTTATCTAAACAATGATGAAAAAAACAGTAGACAAGTTTCATTCTATACCAATCCACGTACTGTTTGTGTTTTATTATCATTGATATAAACATTATATTCACTGACTGGACCGTGAATATGTGCCCACATGACAGTTAATACATTTTGATTTTCCGATATAGCCAAACTAATGAGTGGTGCACCGTCCTGAGTTTCTCGTTGCACTTCAAATGTCTAAAATATCACCATGTGATTAATTAAGACGAAAGTTAATGAGTTACTCGTTTGTTCGATGCGATCGATCGTCCGTCGGGTGCATTTGATTTCGGATGAGCAACAACATAAACTTCGTATTGTTCTCCCGCTGCAAAGCCAATGGCTGAAAATTGAGTATTGCGCGTTGTAATATTTTCCTTTTGTGCAACATCATTGATATACAATTCGAAATGATCAATATGTTTCATGTAATCAGCTGGATCAATTTCAATCATTCCATATAATTTATTCGGATATTTCAATGCAGAAGAAAGAATAACTTTGTATGAAGTTGGTATATCTTCCGGAGTAACATGATCACTCGATGATTGTGTCTCGAGTCGTTTCTAATATGTGCAAAAGATTTGTACTAATTAATTTATGCGAGGGGAAAACTTACGCTCAGCTCGTCTCTCTCTGACTCATCCAGTATAAACGTTGGACTAAAACACGAACCAAAATATTTATAAAGCTGTTCGTGAAATCAATCGAAAATTCCATACCTGCTTGTCACAATTAAACTTGAAATTCTTTGAGGTTCAACTGCACACGCTCGTAAGACATGCAGACCGTTTTCATTCAAAATAACTCCTTCGTCATCGTCGTATCGCTACAATCAAACGATAATCATTGATATCTTCATCGAATAAGAGCTTACATGAACATTTGCAGTACGCTGAGTCGGAGGTTTTCCGTCCAATGTGTAATAAATACTCGCATGTCGACTAGGACAAGTGAGATGAACTCGTGCACCGAGTGGACTGATCGTATCGAGTTCTTCGGTGAACTGCGGCGGTAGAACACGTTTTTCTATTGGAAATCGAAGACGAATGACAGAATATTTTGACTTTCAAATCATCATTTACTTTGATCTTTGATTGTTTTTTCTGAATGCACAAAGACAGTAGCTGTTTGTTGAAAACGATTTGATCGAACGATGTACTCTCCTGTTTGGTGAAATGTATGTAAATGCTGAACACTATGAATGAATTTCGTGATATTTCGATTAATCAGTGCGTTCTAAAGTAGCAGAAAAAAGTTTACTGAGGACTCAATACTCGATTTCATTTTTACATCATCAACTTCTTCGTTATCATCAACCGATCTGACATAGATTCGATCAGTTTGAGCAGGATTTGCTAATACCCATGAAACAGTATCATTCTAAAGCAATCACTGTTGTTACTGATTCCATCATATAAACAATATATCTTACTTCAGCTATATGGAGAACAGAAGGCACAAAATCGTAATTACCAACCACAAAGCAGTTTTGACTAAAATGTGGTTCAACAATAATTGTCGCTACAAGTCGATCCTTTTAACAGAACATCGTAATCAAAACAGTTCTTTTCGTTTGAAAAAGATTTTACCTCAGTCGAGCCAGTAACACGTTCGAAATCTAAAAGCAAACACATATCACAAGAATGGACATTATTTAAACTAACCTGGATTAGCGAAAAAGAATGTTCCCGATTGAATACATTCAATACCAAGACATTGTCGATATCGTCCCGGAACAGCTCGATCGTGGCAAGCGATTAAATCTTGTAATCGATCATTTGACTGGATATAACCCACATTATGAGAGATGGTTTCTTCGAATTTCCAAATGATAAAATCATTGATATCAGTTATGATTGGTTTGTTATCGAACGAGTTCTTTCCGACCGTTCGATAATGAAAACGTACGTCCGGTAAGACAATAATTGCGACTGGATGGGTTTCGTCTTTCGCATCATTCGCCGTTGAAAAATAGAAAATGCCCGTCTCTGGAAATGATTTCATAAAGAAATTGACACTTTTTTCTTGAGGTCGGAAAACTGGTTGGTCAACTACGAGTTCCTCTCCGAATTCATCCGTTTGATAAATCGTTTCAACTTTCGCTGCTGATGATGGCTCAAACCAAACTTGATCATTACGATTGATGATCAATGTTGGAGGTTCGAAAACATTGTATTCATTATAAACAACCGTATGTTTCTATCAAAGCGAGAGAAATATACGTATAAATTTCGAGATATATCTTACATCTATGTCATTTTCAACGATGATACTCAAAAGAGGCACATTTGGATCTTCCGAATAAGCAAAATTATAAAGGCCATGTTGAGGAATATTGAGAAGTAATGTTTCACATGTATACAGATAGCGTTGAATCACTGCGTCGGCTCGAACACATTTATGTGCAGCTAGAAATGTACATGATTAAGAGTAACTATGGTTTTATTTAATATTTCCAAGGTTACAGAAACAAATTAGTGTACTTATTCAGACAATAGCTGTTCAATGTCATTTCCGGCTTGCCAATATTTATCTTTTTCTTTTCTAACGGAAAGCCCGAATAAGATGTAAACATACGTCGACATAGTTTCTTAAATTATCTCAAAAGATATACTCATAAGTTGAAAAGAAACGTGATTATAACAGTCTACACCCGTAACTATTATTTTTTTTATTAACAATAGCCCGTTTTTCGATTCGATTGAATCAAAATGTAAAAGCATTCAAAACTCAATATAGTTACTATGACAATCGATTCTTCGCTACATACTCCTAAAGGACAACATTCATGTTTTTCTTTCTGACTTATTTTACACTATGAATAATAAAAAAATATTTTTATCACGTACTGAATATCTCTCGGCACAAATTAAATCAATTAGTTACTTAATAAACTCAAGAGAATCCAAACAACTGACAAATTTACTCACCACATTTGAATACTCCATCGACACCGTTACTTGCAAGTGGTGTAACCGATGACGATGGATCTAGAGTGAATAAAATCGTCTTGTCTTCAGATGAATCCATTAACCAGTTGAATTGTACGACACCATTCGTGTTCATTTCATAAACTAGAAGGCAAAATCAGTAAAATCCTTGTCAGATTGCACAATCGTAGTTTTGCTTTTACTTTTTTGGTCGGGAACGACAGGTATTTGATGCACAGTTTGACGTGCTTCGACAATAATCGTACCAATTTGATTACTTGTTGTTTTGTAGCAGAAAACACCAGTTTCGTTAAATTGATGAAGCATATAACCTCGACGTGTTGAATCATTTGGCCAGAAAAAGTGTTCTTCAGGTTTTTTAAGCTAAAAATATATCGTGAGAAACAAACTTGTTTGTTTAAAACAGTGAAACAAACTTCAATTGATCGATTCGTGTTCGTGTCAACTGAAAATGGTTCGATTTGAACAATTGAATGTTTCCGTTTGGTGTTCCAATCAAACACCACCCAATCTGTTTGTTCAATCCACAAAATATTCGGTTGAATATCTTCATCCGTTATTTCCACATGTTTCACTTTGTATTTTTCATTGATGATACATATGATAACATCATGAATTTCGTTTTGTTCGGTATAACGAATGAGAAATGACATGCCCAAGTCATTGAATGTCTTCACAAAACTTCCTTTTGTCGAACATCGATTTAATCTCTTCTCGTTCGGTTGTTCAACGGTATAAAACCCGCCGGATACCGGACAATATTTTTTCTCTTCGATTCGGTAAAGACGTTGAGATGTCCATTCGATTTGCACAGTATCTGTTTGATGCATGTACACTTTCTGACTTTGTCTTTCGTCATTTAACCGAAATTTAATATCATTTTGATAAAGTTTAAGGCAATTTTTTTCACAGTAGATCTTCGGATATTTCCGACCTTTGATGATAGATTCACGTTGAGATGAAGGAATAACACAGAAATATAACTCGATATCCGGTTGATTCAAATCGAATGAAAATGGAATTCGCCGTTGTTTCGGCGCAGTTCGATTTTTGATGTTTAATAACTGACAACCATATTTAACTGGATAATAATCATTACCATCTTTATAAACTTGAATGATATCATATTCGTCTTTTCCGTTGACTTTGAATTCCACAATGTTGTCACATTCGATACGTAGCCCCGATGCTTTTTCTGCAAATGATCCATTGATGATTTCGATCACATGAATTAGAACAGTGTCATCATGTTCGTTTTGTGTAATGCCGTGTCCTTGTAGTGAAACCGTAAGATTGGGAACTAGAAAAGAAAAGAAACGTGTAATTAAGATATTGTACATAGTGTTATGTAAATTTTCGATGATGAAAAAAGAAAGAAGCCTTAGAAATTAAGCGAACCTGCGGAAATTGGTTTATCATTTTTCTTCTGTGGACCATTAGACTTCGGAGAATTGATCTTATCAGCGTTTGGTTTAACGGAGGCACCACAACCCATAGTGGCTGTCTTGTTTTATCAGTATAGAAACAAAAGACAAGTGAGAGAGCGAATGTGTAAACAAAACTTCCGCACACTCAACTCTTTCGTCTAAAAAAAATGAAAAGAACTTTATGAGAGATTTCTCACAGAAGCGAGAGAATATCAATGATCTAGTTTCTGATTCATGCACAGAAAGTTTTTAATTACTTAGTATGAGATTTGATTGATCAAATAACAAAATAAAACTAAGCGTAAAAGAGCGATTTTTCTTCTGATTCTTTAACTTTCTTTTTCGATTGTTATTTCATTGTTCCATTTTTCTCTTCCGAGTTGCTAAGCAATAATTTAATAACATCTCCCATTCTTCCATCTACTAACTACGATTCTAATCAACATTCACTAATGATTTCGAATTCATTAAACACGCTTTTAATTAATTGGAAGTCATATCATTTTTCTTCTTTTTGACAGATGTCAGTACTCTTCGATTGTCTTGACAACTAGTTGCGGGACTGTTTGTTTCTCTTTCTTTTTTATTCAAACATGCATGTTGAAATCTAAGTTTTCATTATGAATATTTATAATCTTAACGAACTTTCTACAACATCGGAATCTGATAGTGAATATTTGGTTGATTCAAGATATTGCCGAACAACAGTAAAATGCAAACGAAAAGCTTTGAAAAAGACAATTAAATTGATTCATGGACGATGTGTTGTCATCTATCGAGGGAGTGGCGATCTTTTACCGATTGCAGCTAAAGATGCCGACCGGAATTGTTATTCTGGTAAAATCGTCTTTCGAAATCGATCGATTTTGATCAAGTGTTATAGATTTTGTCTTTGTCTGTCATGATCCAAAACCAAAGACTAAACCAGCGAAAGAAACATCCGCCATGCCACGATCAAGATCAGCTCTAAATGAATCATCAACTTCGGAAAGTGATGATCATGTGAGTAGGATCATCCGTGATGAAGAAAATCTTTCAAACGATCGTTTCTCTTGAGAAGGATATGAGAAATAACAATTTTTCGTATTTAACTTCACACGAACCAAAACATTCGACTCAATATGACACAAATGAATCTGTTCGAAACGAGGAAATCGATGTTGACGTTGATAAACAGGGATCCTCGATCATTTATTTCCCTTCATCACATTCGAAAACTACAAACGAAACAAATTGATATGTAAAAGTATATTCTCCTTTGAGTACAGATGAGAACAAAAAAAACATTTTTGAAATTTATCGACGTGTTATGTGTGTAGTGGCCACTTCTATTGATGCTACTTGCTGAAATTTACAGCAGCAACAAAGATACTTTTTCGTTTGTTGACGAAAATGACTTGACGAAGCGAAAAATATATAGAAACTGCTCTAAAAAAACAAATATCAATCTCAAGTGAGTGAAACTCTAGAAATCATCTCTCACTTACACCATAATTCAAAAAAGCCGAAAGACTTGTCACTGTGAAAGCAACTAAATCTTTTCCTTTTTGTTCTGCATCTTTGAGTGTACTCGCTGTTGCTAATGAATAAACATTATAACCACCATACGCTGCTATGCTAAATACAACAATAATCACTTGCATACAAATCATTGTAGTCAACTGTTGATCAGCACTATATAATCGTGCAGTATTTTTTAACAGACGCATATTGTGATATGCAAGAACACCAAACGTTACCATTACAGTAATAGATATAGCCGTGAGAAGGCCAAGAAAGTAAACATACGACCAATACATATTCAAAATCCAATTACCAATGATACATGTACCTGATCTATAATATTAAAAATAGAATAAATGAAAGAAAGAGAACAAGAATAACTTTACTGTATTTGATTGAATACTAAAAATGGAATGCCTTGAGAAATCCATACGGCGAAGACACCGATTGAAATACGATAAGCCCATTTGATTTGACTGAATTGTCGTATGTGAGCACTGCGAGATGTAACTAAGAACTGATCAATGGTAGCAAGACATTGAAACGTCAATGCTATTCCACCAAATGTGGCAATAAGAAACTGACGACATTTGCACCAGACTAACGACACTCGAGTTAAATCATCATTGAAACCAAGAATGAGAAAACGTGGAATCTGACCACTCATCAGCTGTATTAAACCAGTTGCAGAAGCCATCAACAAATACAATGTACAGGGAGTTCGACGATGAGCTAATTCATGAATGAATATCCATATATTCATTAGATTGCCCAAAATACCAAGACAAAATTGAGGTATACCTACGTACCGAGCATATGATTGACTAATAGCTGCCCAAGATGCCATAATTCGGATAGTCTTTCAATTCAAATGTACTTTATCAAAAGAATTTTGCAAGTATTATTATATGATAAAATAATTCTAGTATGCTGTCATCCGATTATTCATCAGTTGACATTTATGGAATCTGCAAAGTACAAGTAATCTCTCTCCCCTTTTCCTAAAGCAAAATTCCCACGTCGACCAATCATGGTTGCATATCTAAGAATATTAATTGAATAGGTAATTATCAAACATGAATATCCAAAATTTTGAAATCAAAATCAATAAATAAATCTCATTGTTTTCTTGAGATTTTCCAAAGCCTATATATAAAATAGATTACAAAGTATATACCAAATCTCTTCGCGAGATTTCTTGACACTACGACGCAACATTATTAATCCCATTATCATCAACATATTTCATTCACATAAGTAACACCTCACAACAAGACTAGGAACGATGAAGATATCCTTCTAGGCATATTCGTACCTTTGGAGTTCATGTCTATCGGAATGGAAGCCCGACCTTATTTTTAGAGTTTATATAGTCTATCGCTTCGATAATTGCAATCCTTTTCCGAAGATGGAACTATACATGAAATAAAAGGTAATGACATGTGATGATGTTCATTCTAATTGACTTGATTTAGATCCGTTATTTGTGTTGTAACAAAGTTTTTCAGTGATCATACTGACTGACTTACGTCTTTTCATATATAATTATTCTAAATCAACAGCAAATTGTAAAAAAATGAGGCAGTAACGAAAAGTATGTGTAACATTCCTTTCCAGAGAATATTCTCATTTGTTTCATATATTGGATCCTATGATTAACCATAAATTACTGATGGTACGTTCTTCTTACAAGTACCAATTTAGAATAACACATGATTCAACATGTGACATCGTGTGAAACTGAAAGACATGACATTTAAAGATCAACAGATCGTGATAACGCAGAAATTGCTGACACCTATATGATCATAATGTTATTTAAAGAATAATTAGACATATATGTATATTTATATTATTTTAAATGAAGAAAAAATATTCACAATCTCTCTCTCTTGCAAATCGAATTGAATACTTGTTGGGAAAAGAAGAAAAACAGACGAGTGATACATGAAATTTGTGAAAAGAAAACGAAAAAATGCTCACGAACAAAAAAAAACACAAAATGAATGCGAAGAAGGAGAAAAAAAAACAAGAAAATCGAAAACAAAACATCAATTTAGATACAATAAACTTCATCCTTAGACACAATCACCGATATCCAATCAAGACAGATACACGAAATAATCTTCAGTTATTGTCTTCTGGAATCCTCATCTTCATCCTCATCATCTTCCGAATTGCTTGAATCATCATTATTAACATCAATATCGGAATTGTTCGTTTCATCATCATGAACACTCGCCGAAGGACGAAAATTCATCGAATCTTCTTTCAAATGATGAGGATGATGTTGTTGTTGACAATCACAACAATCATTTGACAAAGCGCATAGATCATTCTTATCATTACTAGTTGAATTCTTCGTGGATGAGGTGGACTCTGTACCATCGGTGAAGTTATTATTGTTATTATTATTGGTTGAACTTGATGTTAGTAATTCTCGTTCTTTCGTATTTCGCCATTTCATTCGACGATTTTGAAACCTAAAAATAACACAAAGATTTTTTCTCTTTCGCTTTTGTGCATTTATAATCGACAAATCGATTTCACTTACCATATTTTAACCTTGATGATGGCGATAAAGAAAAAAAAGCGAAAATTCATTTCTTTCATCTCATTCAAAAATCAATTCTTACCTGAGAATCTTTCAGTCCGAGGCGTTGAGCTAGTTTTTTTCTCTCAGGCTTACTAATGTACTTCTGTTTAATAAATGCCAATTCCAAACCTTTACGTTGTTGATCAGAAAAAACAGCTCGTCGCAGCATGCCACGACGTGGTTTACTTCGAAGACCCAATGGCCAAAATATACTTGAAGGCGGAGGAGGAAGATACAGTCCATTCTGTTGCGCCGCGCCATTCAACAACGACGGTGTTGACGAAGGTACAGACGATGAACCATTATTACCGAAATAACTACCTGGTTGATTACCTATGTGAAAAAAAAACACAGAAGAAAATCATCAGAATCAACAAAAATGCATTTATTCATTCATAAATTGAATGTCTATTGTTTTTCTAATTGAATTGATAGACGACGATAAGAGAAAAATATAATGTGATTAGAGACAAATATGCATCGAGACAATAGAACTAAGCCTAAAGTGAAGAAATCAAAACAACCTAGCCGAAAGGACTAGAGAGAAAGAAAGGGATCGTATTGCCTCTTGGCAAGAACTTGCATCTTCGATATTTATTTCTTCTTAGATCCACCTGCGTTTTATCATTTCATATATATGTACACACTTGAAATTCTCATGTGAAATCTGATAGGTAGTTAGCAAATAAAAATGTTGATTGGTAGTTGTTCTCATCATCATGATCATCATCGAATTAAAACCTGTTGTATATGTTTGCCCATGTAGTCAAGTAATTGAGATGTACATATAAGCAAGCACTTCGATGATGAAACAAGAGAGAGAGATGAAGTAGAAGGAGAAAACGGCGAAGAACATGTTCTTTAGAATAAATGTGTACACGAACAAGATTCAATTATGCTCGGATGTGTGTGTGTGTATTTATGCACATTTTGACTTTTAATTGAAGAATATAAGGTAGAGAATGAGAAAGAGGAAGGTGAGAGCGATCAATATGAAGCGATTATAATTACTTGTGACTAGGCGGGTGACGAGTATTGATAGGATCGAATTACAACGGATTTTACAAGTAGTAAAAAAGAAAATGAAGACGAAAGAAAACTTTTTACGTACCTATAAATGGTCGTAATGTAGGGCGCCATAAACCATTGGGTGGCGAAGGATGACCATCGAATGATAAGTGATGTTGTCGATTAGCTGAAGCCATTTGAAGAAAAAGACGATCTTGAAGAAGACTTTGATGCATTTGTTCATTGTTATGATCTCGTTCTGAACCAGTAATACTATTACTGTTATTGTTGTTGTTGCCACTGATGCTGTTGGTATTGTTATTATTGTTTGATGTGAAACAGTTGAATGGTAAATACATTGATGATCCATAAATAGAATGGCGAAGTAATGCTGAAGAGGGTAAAGAAGATTGATCCGATATCGGCGAGCTACTATTGTGATGTGCGGGGAACGGAGGTTTGAATAATGGCGATTTAGCTGATGACGGTTCATTTGATGATACCGATGAACTCGGAGAAACAGGAGAGGCAACATATGCGCGAACTAAATAGAAAGAAAACTATAAATAATTCTAGTGAACCTTTGAAACGTACCTTCACGTTTTGATTCATCTTTCGATTCATTATCTAAATGTGTTTCAAGAATAGTATCGACGCCAAATTTAAGTTTCTTTCGTGGTGGTAAAATATTCTTATGATTATTTGCTTTTGTTTCCAAATCCGATTTTGATGTTAACTCATCTTCATTATCATTTGCTGAATTTCTCTTCATTTTATTACAACCGTTACCTGTATTTGTTAATAATGGTAATAAGTAGGAAGATTGGCGACATGCAGCGTCAATCATCATATTCTAAATATATATGAATGTATGTCTGTGCGTGTGTGTGTTTATGTCAGGCAGGCAATCAAAATTCTCATTTTGTCGATTAGTTCGACGAATGCAGAGTCGGATCAGCTTCCATTAGTGTCCAATCATTGTCGAGAGAGAGAGAGAGAAAGAAAAAGAAAACTAAATGACGACAATCATCCACCATTCATAACGCTTGCAGGTAAAAATATAATTCTCTCTCTCTTTCTCTCCCTCCATTTGCCAACTTAATATGTATATGTGTGTGTGTGCGCTCAAGAGGCCCGATACTCAATAAAAAGCGGCATTGATGAATGAAACTAAACTGATCCGTATATGAATTGAAGGGAGGAGAAAAAAGAAAGAGAATGTATTATAAAGATGTACAAACAATATAAGTAAAAGGAGAAAAAGTAAGAATTACGAAAAAAATCGAATGAATTTAATTGATACAATTAAAAATAAAGAGAGAAAATTTCTGATTGGTTCAAATTTGTTTCTATATGGGCGTCGTTTATTCGATGATGATAATAACAATACTCAAAAAGAACAATAGCAAATTTTCTACTTTTTTTAACCATCAATCACGAATGGCAATCAGCTCTTCTACGAAATTCCTCTCAAAAGAGAAAAATCTGGGAATTAAATGGTAAAAAAGATTCTTTCGTTCGATCCTTTCATACTGCCAATCGGAGCGTAGAAGAGCACTTTGAATTTTCGAGTGATTGACATAGAAAAAGCAAATTTGCTACCAGGCAAATAGACTCTTGCTTACTAAAATGAAATAGCTGCACAATAATGATGAAGGATCGAATTGCAACTTGCTTTCCAATCATCGCTGAACATTTTTGCCTTTCCTCATTTCCATCTGATCATATATCTTAGTATTGTCTCGATTGATTTTCTACTTTCCATTTGTTCCGGTAAACGATTACGGAAGAGGTTAAATTTCTATTTGTGAATCGATTGAAAAAGATCTTTATATAGACATTTTCGAAGAAAACAAAGTCAATTTTCTTTTAATAAATCAGTCGTATTCTATCGAACATGAACTTGTTCATTCTCCTGTGATCTTGTATTTTATATAAGAGATGCTTGAACTGTATATGCTTGATTACCTTGAAACTCATTAGTTCATATTGATAAGTCACCTAGATGTTAAGCTATTTATTTCACCGCCTTGTTCTCTCTTCAAGAATGAATGATAAAAAAACGGAAATCGGTATATTAAACAGAAAGGAAATGGAATTTTGTAGTAGTGCCTGCGAAGAGAGAACAATCTGAAATAGCTGGTGTTGTTTGTCACTGTCGAGTGAATAGGATTAAAATGTGTAAATGAAGTGGTAACCGAGTTTGAGTTGATTGTTAGGAGAATTGAGAAGAAAATGAATATGTTCAAGAGTAGTCATCATCTACAACCTCTTTACGTGACACGCATGGTGAACATCTTCTTTTTTCAATTTGTTCACGAGTCACTTGAAACTTTTGACGGATGACATGAATAATGAAATAACCGTTGATGTTTCACGCGGTGAGATGTAATGATGACGACAACGAAGAGACATCATATAAATTTATACAGATTCGAAAAATCTGTTTTGGATAGTTAATTGAAAAAGATTGTCGAGACAATAGATCATCGCCAGACAGAAAAAGGAGATGATACCAAATGGAAAATCATGGCATGTCATCGAAATTAATTTTTTTGCCCCACTATTCCAATGGAGGAAATCTTCTCGGCACTGTCACTTCTGATTAAGCTGTTTGTATAATACATAACATACATTGCTTTCTTTTATTACAAAGTATGTGATATATGAAGAATAAGTAGATGTTTCAAGTTCATGATGAAACATTCGAAGAACAAAATATCGAGAAGTTTATTAGTAGATCTTGATTAGAATCAAACACGAGATTCTTACTCAATTTGATTTAGTTTACAGAAAAGCAAAATAGCAAAATCTGCACTTTTATTTTCGAACACGAAACAAAAATAATGATACAACGATATTTACATATCTTCTACACTCCACAGATATGCTTCTTGTGCTTTAGCATGTCGGTTGGCAATTGATTCGAAGAGTTTCTTCTCATAACCATTCGAACGATCGACACCATCCCATCGGTAACCGGGCCAAATATCAAATCTGAATGTAAATGAACATATAGATGATCGATAGAATGAAGAAAAAAATACGATTCATACCTATTTTTTTGCGGATCAGGTCCTCGGTAGCGAGGTTTTGGTGGAGCAGCATTGCCACCTGTTGATCGATCATTTGTATCAGGACCTTTTTTAGTCAGATATTTGAGCATTGGATCGTCTAATTCGCAAAAGAAAAATAGATTCGAATTGATATTAATGTAAATGAGATAGAGATTACTTACCTTCACGTTCTCGATCTTTGAGCAATTTGTCCAGACTTTCATCATCACGGTAACGTGCTAATGGTTTATCTGCTTGTTCTAAATAATCTTTAACTGCGTCTTCCGTTTGTCGAACTTGAGCTAAACCACGACCCCATTGTGCGTATCGTTCAGAAACTTGTTCTTTATGTTCTGCTAATCGTCTTCGTTCAGATTTAGCAGGTTGTGAGGGTAGAGGAGGCGATTCTTGTTTAACTCGACGGTGACTTGGCGGTGACTCGTGTCGTGAATGTCTATCGTTTCTTTGCTGAGGTGGCGAAGATCGATCTCGTCGTCGTGGTGGACTGGAGTCACCATCGAATCTGTTCTTTCGTCGCGGTGGAGAAGAGTCACGTTTTCGAGGTGGACTAGGATCGTTATCGAATCTGTTTTTACGTCGTGGTGGGGAAGAATCACGTTTCCGAGGTGGACTTGGATCATCATCATGTTTTTGTTTTCTTCGTGGAGGTGACGGATTGCGGCGTCGTGGTGGACTTGGATCATCATCATTATCTTTTCGTTCTTTTTTTGGGGGAGGTGACAGATTGCGACGCCGTGGTGGGCTAGGATCGTCATCTGATTGTTGATTTCTTCTTCTTCTTGGAGGAGAAGGATCATCTTCGTCATCATTCTTTTGCTGAGTTTTACGTCGTGGTGGCGATAGATCAGGATCAACATTTTTCTTCGAAGAATCACGATCCAGTTCGGGATCACTATCATCAGATGATTTATGTTTTCGGCGCGATGCAGATGAAGATTTTTGTGGTTTCGGTTGCGGTCCAATACTACCGGGTTCAGGAACCTCATCAAACGCTGATGTTTTCCACCGTTTCATATCTTTGAATCGTTCTTTTTCTTGAAGAGAAGGTGGACGTTCATCGACGATACCTAAAAACATAGTTTCAATTTACTTCTTCAATTGTCAAGAGAAAGTCATACCAACAACAACTGGAGCATCATCAACTAGGTCGGGTTCTTCCTCAGCAAGTTTTGCAGCTGGTTCATGCGCTGCGTTCCATGGTACATATGCATCATCATCGATAATTTTAACTTGATCTGCAACTTTTGGCTTGGACTTTTTATCTTTGGATTTCTTCTTTTTTTCTGACAAGGTGGATTCGATTTTAAAGCCTTTTCGTTCAGCTAGTTGACTCATATCTTAAAATTTGAGAAGAAAATATCAAGTTAATTCAAATTCAGTCATTTTGTTTTACGATACGAATAAAAATAAACGAAAGAATGGATCTATCATATTGCTGTTCTTTTCGTCTTCGATAATCAATAAAAGAGGAAAAATGCATATTACTGTACGTTACGGTGGAAGGAGAAGCGAAATGTTATTGCACATAAATACGGTATATAATAATAGGAAAAAGAAAGAACAGAAAATTTCGTTTTTGTTCTTTTTCGACAAGAGCAAAAGAAATAAATTAAAAGAAAATGAAATTGGTTTACACGGGGGGGTTTTGACTAAAAAGTGAAAGGAAAGATAAACGGAATGTAACAACATAGAATACTAAGAAATATCATAGAAAATAATGATGAAAGTTAATTTTCTTCCATATCTCGGAATGCGGCTTGCATACGTTCGTTAAGATCATCAAGATCACGTTTAATCTTATCTTCGGAATCTTTCGTTGGATCCTATAAACGAAAAAGTCCTTGCTGACATTACTCTAACGTTAATTTGAACTTACCTTGAACTTCATGCTTGTTAATTCATAGAGAATATCATTAAGATTTGTACGAATGTCATTCCATGTTATTTTCTTTTCTGATTGAGCTGTTGTTTCGACAGCATGACGAGCCAAATCATAGAACGAAATCATATTACGAAGCATTAAAACGCATTTATAGAATGGACAATATCTTTGAAAGATACAGCAGATGCGATGAGTTCGTTGTGAGAAGAATTGTTCTTACTTGTCATGCGATGAGTAGCCGTTTTGTTGAAGAAAATCATCTTTGATTATACGAGCCACTTCGAGTGTTATTTTGTCTGTTTCAGCTAAAGAAGCTTTACCAACGAGCTGAACGATATCCGAAAGATCTTCTTCTTCTTGTAAAATTTCTTTACACTAAATAAATTCCCAATCGATTACAATTTTCTTCTTTCAAGATAAATAATCAACAATTGATTTACCTTGGCACGTAATGGCACGAATTCCGGAAAGTGTTTGTCATAATAATCGTCAAGTGCACGTGTGTATTTACTATATGAAATAAGCCAGTTAACCGATGGGAAATGTTTACGTTGTGCTAATTTTTTATCTAAACCCCAAAAGACTTGAACAATACTTAATGTTGCAGCTGTGACTGGATCAGCGAAATCACCACCGGGTGGAGAGACACTACAAAGAGAAGAATTGTACAGATTTGAGTATCGAAAGCAATTCAAAAGATAATTACGCTCCGACAATGCTGACTGAACCTTCACGTTCTGGATTACCCAAACATCGGACACGACCAGCACGTTCATAGAACGAAGCTAATCGAGTACCTAAGTAAGCTGGATAACCCGAATCTATAGGGGAAAAGAGAATACGTTTGTTAACAATATCAATCGTTTGTTTTCTTAGCAGATAAACTTACCAGCAGGCATTTCAGCTAAGCGACCTGAGATTTCACGTAAAGCTTCGGCCCAACGTGAAGTTGAATCAGCCATCATAGCAACATTGTAACCCATATCACGAAAATATTCCGATAGAGTAATACCTGCAATAGAAAGTTTGGTAAAGCATAACAAATCTCCGACATTTACCTGTATAAATAGAAGCTTCACGAGCAGCGACAGGCATATTGGAAGTATTTGCAACCAAAGTTGTTCGTTCCATAATAGATACTTCTTTACCGTTAACTTCCATTTTCAACTAGAAGAGAAAACCATATTACCTTAGAATAAATTTTCTTAACGAAGAAAATAAGAGCGTACTTGAGGAAAATCACGTAAGACTTCAGCCATCTCATTTCCACGTTCACCACATCCAACGTAAACAATAGCGTCACTATTAGAAAACTTCGATAATGATTGTGAAATAACAGTTTTGCCACAGCCAAAGGCACCTGGAATAGCTGTTGTACCACCTTGGACACATCTAAACAGAGAAGATATTGATTTTCACCAATAAGATCTGTATAATTCACACATACGGAAATAATGCATCTAAAACACGTTGACCAGTTAGCAATGGATGATTAGCAGCAAGTTTTTCTGCGACTGGTCGCATTTGTCGTACAGGCCAGATTTGTAACATGGTATGTTTAGTTTTTTCGCCATCGAATTCTGTTTCCAGAACGACATCCTAACGAACGAGGAAGAAAAGACATTATCAAAGCAATCTCATTGTCCTTTACGTACATCCAAGGTATAATTGCCATCTGGTGCGATATAGGTAATTGTACCTTTCGCTTTTGGATGAAGCATAATTTTATGTATGATCATTTGGTTTTCTGGTACAGTACCAAAGATATCACCACCAGTTATATGACCTCCAACCTAAAAGAAAAGAAAACAATCGGGAAAAACAAATTGCGTAACAAAACGTTCGTACTCGAAGACGATTATCTGGAGTAAAATGCCATGAAGTTGAACGCTTTAACGCTGGTACGTTGATACCACGTGGAATATAAATGCTCTTAGTATGATCATAAATAACTTCCAATGGTCGTTGAATACCTATTTTCAATATTGTTCGATAATTCGAAGATTTTCTTATCGAGTAGAATTAAATCATACCATCGAAAATACTTGTCATGATGCCAGGACCAAGTTCAACCGATAATGGCTTACCAGTTCGTAAAACTGGATCACCAACCGTAACACCGGCTAAAGAAAGCAACAGTTAGAATAGAAATTTCAACAAAGTCTCCGAATTCTTACATGTTTCTTCATAGACTTGAATTGTCGCTAAATCATTTTCTAGACGAATGATTTCGCCGACCAGTTCTTCATGACCGACTCGAACCTAAAAGTGAAGGAAAGCGCACAATTTTAGTAAGAAGAAATGAATGCGAATTTTACCAGCTCGTTAATTGCTGAACCAGCCATATGATTGGCAATGACGACTAAAGAAAGGAAAAAAGAGTTAACTTCGTCTATAAAAATGTTTTTGATTTGTACCTGGACCAGAAACACCGAAGACATAACCATACTGTGCTTCTCGTTCAGCATCAGCAACTCTTGGAAGATTATCTCGACTACCCATGGTTTTGAAATATCAGCGATGGATGATAGAAGCAAAATCTAGAACGAAAAATTTTTTTTTCGAGATTGCTGTAATGATATTAACAATTAATAGAAAAGAAAACGATAGCAAAAAGAGATGATGAATATTAAAGTTTTTTTTCTTTCTTGGTTTTTTTGGGTTTTCTCTTCGATAAATTCATTTCATCTTGATCGTCGTTCAAATGTCCACTAGTCGAGGGGAGATTTGCATTGTTTGCCAATGTTGGTGTGTTGTTATTTGTGGTTCGATTTAACATTCCAGCAACTGGTGTTGTTGTTTGTTGTTGAATGACAGGTGCCGCATCGGTCGGTGCTTTTCGTTTAACATCTGGTGATACACGCGAAGTTTGCTCATTGAGAACACGTTGGACTTGTGGAGATGGTCCGGGAAGTGAACTGGTAACTGAGGGAGCAAGAAGAATGTCTGTAGGAGGAACAGAACGCGTCTCTTTCGGTGAACTTGTATAGATCTGATACGTATCAGGTAGAATTGGTTCACGAAGTAAACGAAATGCACTTAATTGTTGCTCTGTAAGTGGAATAATCTCTTTGGGAATGACAGGACCACTTAATAAAGGACGTAATGTTCCAACACCACCATGTATATCGCCGGCAAACGATGCGGCTTTGTGTTGTGCTGTTTCAACTAGTGGAATATCTGTTAAAAAGTCACTTAATGATGGTGGAATAGGCAGTTTGACATATCTATCAAAATCACGTCGTAAGCCCCAATGATCAATAAGATTTGTACTGCCGGTTGGTGGAGATTCGAGTGGGAAGTGGCTTAATAAGTAAAATGGAGGTGATGGTCGTTGCGGTTGAGATTGAAGTTGTTGTGTTGAAGTCGCATCAAGCATCAGAAGATCATCATGTGGCATATTGCCATTGGTTTTTGGAAGATGATAACCTCCTGTTAAACTCATATCTACAAAGAAAAATCGTTTTCTGATTAGAATGATAAGCAATGAAAGCATGTATACAACTACGCGTTCTTTTTCTCAAAAAGACGCTAAATCACCTAAATGCTTAAGCGTCACTCTACAGTATAAAAACGAAACAATATCTATGAATGAGACAAAACGAATTACGCTGAGTACATAAACGAAAGTTTGTTCGGACAGAAGTAACATCACAATGACTTCACTTTTTCTCTTTGCCAAAAGATTTTGAACGTTCTTTATCTTGAGATGAACTTCCTATCGATCCTGATCGTTCGTCTTTCCAAACATATGTGCCCGTATAAATATAACCATGCATAGCAGCGCCGGCAAATGCTTCACGTAAGCCCACTGCGCCGAACTTATACGGTATGACCGGAACTTTTTTCTTATCAATTTCCGCAAGAATTGGATCGACAATGCGCCAAGCTTCCTGCAACTCATCGGAACGGACAAAATTGATTTTCGAACCGGTAAATACGTCCAGTATCAAACGTTCGTATGCGTCAGGTAGTTTCACATCTTGGTAACGTTCGTTGTAGGTTAAATCTAATTCGGTTTCTTCGATACTGAAGCCCATTTCGCCGGGTCTTTTTGTGTTTACTTTAAGATAAATAGCTTCATTGGGCTGGACGCGAATGACGAGCTCGTCACGAGCTAATGTTCCTTTTACACCGTGCTCTGTTAGTTCTTCATCAAACATGCCACCGGGAACGTCGCGAAATTGTATACGAATTTCAGCTTTTTTCTCATTTAATGCTTTGCCTAAAGGAAAAATAACACATAGGTGTAAAAATGAATGATATACTCGAAACGATATCTCTAATATATATAAAACAGAAAAACATCATTCCTTCAAGGACTCATCGTTGATGTCGACAAAATGCACTCGATTCAAAAAAGTTCAGTGTCGTGTATCAGTTACCTGCACGTAAGATGAAAGGCACACCATCCCATCGTTCATTGTTGACGAAGAGTACAACTTGTGCATATGTTGGTGTTCTCGAATCTTTCGGCACACCATCATCATCTAAATAACCTTTCTGTCGTTCAGGATCCGTGGAATCTTTATCACCGATGTATTGTCCAATGACGACATCTTCTAACTTGATTGGAGCTATACAACGTAATACTTTGACTTTTTCGTCACGAATATCTTCACCTGTTGTTGAACGAGGTTTTTCCATTGCAACAATGGACAAAATTTGCATGAGATGATTTTGTATCACATCACTAAAAGTGAACAATCATGAGTGATGAAAATTGCTTTTTCATGAGTACATACCGAATGATTCCGAATTCATCGAAATATCCTCCACGTCCTTGTGTACCAATATCTTCTTTGAAAATAATGTTCACAGCAGCAATAGAGTCACGATTCCAAACGCGTGAGAAGATTTTATTCGAGAAGCGTAGAACAATTATATTTTGAACCATTTCTTTTCCTAAATAATGGTCAATACGATAGAGTTCTTCTTCCGAATAGAATTTGCTCAAATGTTCGGATAGTTTATTTGAACTTTCAAGATCTTTTCCGAATGGCTTCTCCACAATTAAACGTAGGAAACCAGGCCTAAAACTCCAAAAATAATCAACTGATCAACAAGACAAAGATTTGCATACGATTCCGGTCGGCAATGTTTGCTTATCATTTCTGACACACTTCCATAAACACTTGGTGGAAGGGCCAAATAGAAGAACCGATGTGCAGTTGCTTGTCCGGATATTTTATTTGTTTCCTCATTCAAACGTTCGAAATCTTCCGGTTTATCATACGAACCATGTACATACGAATTTATCTTGATAAACTGCTCATATTTCTCACGTTCATCATCTTGGACCTATGTGAAGAATGGTACACAATGACTAGGTCTTTTGTCTTGACTTTAACTCCTTACTTTCATATATTTAGCGGCATTTTGAAAGATTTTTTCCACTGTCAATTGACTACGAGCGTAACCAATAAAACAAGTATTTTCTGGTACAAATCCATCCCGATAAAGCCACCTACAAATAAAAATCAAACTAATCCCTGTCAAAGGTCTTTGTTTGTTACAAACCATAGGGTTGGATAGATTTTTTTCTTTGCTAGATCACCCTAAAATTTTCAAGTAATTTCATTTCGAAAGTGAAATCGATGGAAAACATACCGATGCTCCAAAAACAAAGAATACATGACGTTGAGATCCAGTCGATGAGCCAATATTTGTAACATGGGTTCGTAGACGTTGATAGATGCAATCGACTTTTTCTTTCACACGTTCTTGTAGACTCATATTCGTACTAAATAAATTGTTTGACTTGATAATTTAAGCGAATGTATGTATAAAGTGTGCTGTACTTATGATTTCAGATAGATACTGATAAGAAGAGAAAAATAAATAAGAAAATTTGTTTCGACATGTTGACGCGAACAGAAATCTGAATAACCAACGGGCGAATGGGAAAGAACTTCGAACAAATAATATCACTTTTATGAACCAATGGATAGGACGCTCAAGCTAGCGACACCTGCCGATAATCTTGAAAAAATATTAATGAATTTTTCTAGTAAATTTTATTAAGAGAATATATTTTTTTCAATTGATTTATTCCAAATAGAATATTTTCTTTGAATATTAGTTGCTTCACAACGGATGGCAAAAACGTCATTGATTATGGCCACAAAGTCACCGATTGATTAACGGTGATTTTTCAGAAGAAAATATGCAAATTGCTAATCGAACTACACGTCGGTATATCACACCACCGGCAAATAATCGGTTAGCAAGTAAAAAACCAGCTCATGTTCCACCTGTGTAAGAAATCGACTTTTTCACTGAACAGAAAGATTCGAAGGTAATGCATAATTTAGATCTCATTCTTCACCGAAGAAAGCCGTTGACACTTCAGCGCCAAAAACGAAAGATGATCCGGCGACGTTAAAGAAGTTTGTTTATAAAATCATCAGAAGTAAACAGTACACTTATGGATTCTAATTTTAGACTTGTTGATCGTTTCCGTTATGATGAACCTCAAGCCCGGCCAGAGCGCGAATCAATTAATTCTGATTTCTGGTGGCTACATGGTAAAATTTTCAGAAAATATTGATCAAATCTTGTGATTGGCCATGTAAAATTTAGATGAACTGAAAAATACTTATGGCTCGAACACTGATCGGGATGATGGGTCTCAGGCAAATATTCCTGAATTTATTGAAGTAAAGTCTTTTATTTTAATGATCAAGACATTCTCTCACGCATACTTCTTCTCCTAGGTCTTTCCTTCGACGGACATTGATCATGATTTGAGTAAACGAGCGTCGTTACTTCTTAATCAAACTATGAGCGCGCATTCATCTGACGTTGGTCATGTTTCAAGTGTGGGAATTGGTTCGACGCCATCAACAACGATGACTACAACCACTACCACCAGCACTTTTCAACCTCCTATTCGAGAACAGCCAGCTCGACCATTGTTTACACGAATCAGTACGGAAAGAGTCGATCTATTACTACTACTACTATAGCTTATTTCAAATATTTGATTCTAGCTGATTCAAAATATGACTTTAAAAGTGATGGCGGTGATGAAGACATCTTGTATCAATGGCGATTGAGAAGACGATTAGAGCAAGCACAGAATGGCGAACCCATAACCTTTTCGTCAAAGGTAACCATAAAATATTTGACACGCACCCATATCTTAATTTCTATATTTTTCAGATAGCAAATAGAGCTAATCTATCTCCTGTACGTTCAATTCTACCGTGTGTACCTATCGAAATACCTACAGTGGTTCTACCACTTCCAACACCACCTCCTCCACCAATATCATCAGTGACAAAACCATTGTCACCACAGCCGATAGAAACACAACAACAACAACCATTAATTACTATTTCCGATTCAGAGCCTGTCAAACAACATGTTACCACCCCTATTCCGATTCGACACTATTCAGAAGCAGCAACTCAAACACTACAAGTATGTTCAAACCTTCACTATAAAATGCCGAAACCATTTTCCTCTTTTAATAGGATGCTTGTATTCAAACATCTCCGACTATTGAGCATTCTCTCTCTTCATCAAATTTCATGACAAATGAAATCGATCTTTGCCCTACACGAGATGAAAATCACCAGTCATCAGTATGGCATCGTCCTCCACCATCTCTACCTTCCAAATGTGAACTTACACGGACACCATCGTCACCTTCGCCCGTCAAGCGTCACCACCACCGTCACCATCATCATCATTCCTTTCGTCCAGTTGTAAGCGCTGGCCATCCTACTATCCAAGACAGTTCTCATCATCAACAATCAATGATTTATCCATCAAATACTGTTCAGTCATCGCAAGATAGTACTCTAACACAAGTGACCTCAATTATGTTGAATGATAATCATCACCATCATCCAATTAATCTTGATAATCATGAACCATATCGAGACAATACCAGCATTACGATCATCGACGAATCTCAACAAGGTAATTTATGTGATATCGAAGAAAAAGCAAATTTTTGAATAATATCGTTGCAGATTATGGACATGTTGATTATTCAAATGATGAAATCTTGAATATATTAATTCAGAAACGTAATGAACTACTGGTAACATTTCGGTAAGATTTAATCTTTTCTGTTCAATAAATGTCACTAACTATGTATGATTAACATTTCTTTATAATAGAGATATTGAACAACAACTTGCATGCATGAATTGAAAACATAAACTGTAAATTTTGATTAAATCAAGTGTCAGATTGTTCATATTCTCCTTTTAGTATTACTTTCTTTCCGTTGTTTTCTGTTCATATATTTTTTCTTATTAAATAGAATAAATTTAATGTTCAACAAGTCTTTTCTTCTCAGTTGATCGCAATGATATTCAATAGTAGATCAAAAGATTTTTCTTTGTTGTTCTTAATCCACGGACGTCACAATTCGTATAAATATGTACAAAGAAGAACCTTCAAATAGACACATATCATCCAATGAAGATACATTCTTGTCTAAAAACTTTCATATTTCTCACAACAGCTCTTTCAAGAACCAGTTTTTGCTGATCCGATATATAGATGAATAAATTCTAGTCTAAGGATGAATTCACGTACGAAATAAAGGTGCTTATGTCGCGAAATTTTATATTGTAGTTACTTCGAAGTTTTATAAAAATATATCAATGCAATGATTTTATCGATTGTTACTTTTTGTGTTATAAAAAGTGTTACACATCATAAAAAATCGATTTCTTTAAAATTATTTTCTTGTTGATATATAGTTTTTTTCTTCTTATAAAGAGATCGTGTGAAAGAAATCACCAAGTATGTCTTATCAAATGTTTTACTGCATATCTAAAGGCCATTCGATATGTGCATATTGCCTGGAGATTGCAAAAATATTAGAAATTTACGAACCAATCTATCTTGCACTTTTGTTGAAAGAACCGACCTATTGAAAGAGTTTCGACTAGGTTTCATTCGGCTGGATTGTTCAATTAACTCATTGAGTTTTATTTCGAATAAAAAGAAAAGATACTTGTATACAAAAAAAAAGAAAGAATTGAATAACAATGGTAATGTTTATGTGAAGCAAAATGGATGAGTTTTTAATAGACGTGAGAAGATACAATCAGAAAGAGTGAAGAATCAAACATGAATGGTTATATTTACACTAAAACAAAACGGAAAAATATGACCATTCAAGTTGATGGATAATTAAATAACACTCTTCTGATTTGTTTTATTGTTCTTAGTTGTCTTTAAAGATTTTGTTTTTCTTAAACAATCAAACAAATAGTTACAGCAAGTAATGAAGAAAGAAAAACAAGAAATCGATTAATAATTTGCTTTTCGCCAGCATTCCAATAGTAACTACCAAAATTACCCGATGAAGGATAGTAATTCGATTGATAACCCGGACGATTATAATTACTACCGGAATAACCTGAGCCGGAATAGAAATTTCCCGAACTTGGATATTGATTTTGATAGAAACTACCATACTGTCCCATACCTTGTCCATACTGTCCGTCTTAAAAATCAATTTTTCCAAACAATCATCAAAGAACATTGTTGTTACACTTACATTGACTCGATCCGTATTGACTACCATAACCTCCTGAATTGCCATATGGATTGTAGATAGAACCTTGTGATCCGTAATTATATTGTTGGTTTTGATACGGATAGTATTGTCGTCCGACTTGATTTTGCGGTCCGTTGGCATCTCGTGGTATGCCAATACCGCCCTGGGTTAGTTGTTGTTGCTGTTGATTAAGTTGTGGTTGGCCTTGAACATTTAAGATCTGTGGATTTGGTGGCATTGGTTGTTGGCGAGCATCGGTTGCGGCATTTATCGTATTTGGATTAGCTGATTGTGGATTTAATCCCGATTGTCTTCGACGACGAGCTCGATTGGCATCGATTACTAAAAATCGAGAAGGACACAAAATGAAAGAACGTTATTGATCATTCAACATTTGCATATTATTTACTTAAATATTTTTCAAATGGTTTAGTTTAACATATCCTGTTAAAAAAAGAATTTCGTTATGATCTAACTCATTGATTACACCAAATAAAGGTCAGCATAAGTCTGCTGTTTTAACTCATTTGATGCTAACCTTTAATTTCATCTTATTCATCTCATACGAAGGTCATTGACTGACACATTCTGAATGTAAAGATTATCAATTATTTTATCTTCTAATCTTACATGAAATCAAAACGAGACTTTTTTTATTTATATTTACGAGTTTTTCCTCAATTATTCATAAAATATTCATCATTTTAAAACTCGTTCGTTTATCAAGGTGACGTTCGCTTTCGTCAAGACATGCATTGAACAATGAGAAATTACAGCACTTACCTATAACATATAATAAAACGATGGTTATGATCGTTTTCCAGATTGCGGCCATGTTAATTGAATAAATTTATTGATTTTACTCAAAATCTGAAATCTGAAGTTGCATGAGAAGTGTTTAAGAAGAGAGAGAAAGGGACACGAGGAAAAACTTTGCTGCCCAAAATGTTCGAATTGCCTCATTTCTTTTCTTCTTTTCTTTGTATTTGAACAGTAATGGCAGACATAAAATAGCTGATGATGATGACGACGACGACGACAACGAACAGTATATGTAAAAACGAACTATGGGATGTGCTGTGCATTCGCATAAACTTTTCTCTTATGTCTCCTTTTATGCTTTTTCTCTTTCAATTTCTTCATTTGCTATCCTTCAGTATGTCTACAGTTCTTTTAGTGTATTTTTTTTTCTTTCTCCCTCGTCGTT